GAGTATAATTTTATATTGCAGTGACGTGGACGACTCTTACTGGAGGGGGATTTTTCCCAAAACACTTTGCCCCCGATTTTCTCTTTAATTGGACTACGGCTCCTAATTAAAAGGAAATTGAAGTTACACGGTTGCGAATTTTGCAAGAGGCGGTTCAAGGAGTGTCCATTGTCATTCTGTCCCAAGAGCTTCTTCAAGACTTGCTTTTGCTTTCACTGCATTCTTTGCTTCGTTATGAAACCAGGTTAGTTCTTCATCTACTTCTTTGATCTCAATGTCAGACTTTTCTTTTTGTAGAACTTTCCTTTCATGTATGATCTTTCGTTTAGTAGGACTCATTTAATCTCAAAATATGTTTGGGCCAAATACGCCTTAGGCTGGCTGAGCTTGCTTGACGGGCTGAAAGTTTATCATTAACGATCTTGGGCTAAATCATTTTCCTCTCTTATATTTTGGAAAATCTTATGTTGGTGGAGCTTTTGAGGTTTATTACTTTGACCTCCCTTAAGATTATAAAAAGTCAAAATATATTATAATTCAAAATTTTTACAATACAAAATATATTATAAAATCTTTAAAAAAAAAAAAATCAATTTTCTATCTCATTTCTCTTATTACTTTCTCTCTCCTCTCCACTACCGTTATCCCTCTTATAAAAAATATTATAAATAAATAAAAAAATAAGTGTAAAGGCAACTCAGTTATTGTATGATTTTTTTTTTTTAACAAGTTTCGATGGAGATAAGGTTGTTGAGCATACACCCGAACCTCAAGGGAGGTTAAAGCAATAAATCTAAAACACTCTACTTATATCAGATTTGCCCAAACTTAGTGAAGAACAAAGATAAGTGCCCTAACTCCCTCAACACCAATGCGAATTCGAGGGAAGAGGGGGCCACAACCTCTCCCCTCTCACGTTTAGTTTTGGAAAAGTCAGAGCATTTAATTAAAAAAAAAAAAAAAAAACTTATAATATGGTAAAATCAGTCAACTTCTTTACTAGACTTTCATTTCTTTAAGAAATTATTATATGATCCCGACCAATCACTAAACAACACATAATCAAGTGTGTCAATTTAATGTTATTGTCATTTGGTTTTTTTGCTTATGTGTCGCTTAATGATTGGTCGGAACTTTATAATAATTTTTTCCTTAGTTTGTTTGGTTAGCATGAAGTAGATAGAAGGGAAAAGAAAAGGAAAATATTTTACTTTTTTAGGAGTTTGGTTAGGGTGAAAGAGAAAATTTTTAGGAAAGTAATTTTCTTGCAACTGCTTAATTTTCCTCAAAAATTTTCTGACATAAAATACAGGAAAATTTTACTTTCCTATGAAAGTGGTGCATTCCCATCTTAGTTTCCTATTATGCTCATGTCACCCTCCTCACTTTCTCCACAAACTTCTATAATAAGTGAGTTTCATTCTTTTGTAAATTGCTTATAAGATAATGTAAAATACTAATTTGATTGTATATAGTTTTATATCAAAATTAAAATTTTCTTTTATTTTTTTCCTTCCACAATTAATAATGATTGACAGTGATATATAGTGTCATGATCTCTTGCTCTCCATAGAGTAAGAAAATTAATTCACATTTTCTATATAGACCGTTAGATTAAATCTAATGACCATTTTTCAAACCCACCTAGATCTTTTCTTTTAATACAAAACCACTCTCACCCTATTTTTACTTTCTTTATTTAATTATACCATTACTATCTACTATAACAATAAAAGGTAATTATTAAAATAAATATAGACACCTTTGAGTGGGAGGTTTATATCCGGTGGTCGGGATAGATTGATGACTCAATTCAACTCTCTTTCCATTTTTTTCGTGCGTGGCTGAATTTGAATCAATGGACAAAAGTGTGGACAAATGATGACTCTCCATGGATTAGGTTATGAGAAGAGCTTCACCCATTTTTTTTGGACTACTTTGTTGTTTTTGAGGTAGATTCTACGGTCCCACCATAATCAGTACATTATCATCATCCAATAATCAAACTCACAAATTCACATATTCAATAATGAATTTCATCAAATGCCCAACTTCAAATTAAAATAGAAAGAACTTTTGTTCAAACTTTAAATGAAATTTTCTTCAATTCCAATTCCAATGAATCAATTCAATATTCCAAAATACAACAATACAGTATATTTGTTGATAAATTTACTTACATAAGAGAAGTATATTAATTTACTTATACTAAGATAACAAGATGTTTCTTAGAAAAATGTTATAATATCGTACTATTGTTACAAAATTGAAAGATACGGGTATTGTTTTTCTTTTAAAGAAACATTCAAATAAAAATAAATTTATTAATAAAATATACTAGTATTATTATTATTTGAAATGTTTCTATTTTTAAAGTTTCTATTTTTATTTTGATAATTACCTTTTATTAATACGGTAGGTGATAATGGTAAAATTAAATATGAAAACTAAAAATAGGGTAAGAGTGGTTTTGTGTTTAAAGAAAAGACTATAGATGAATTTGAAAAATGACCGCTAGATTTAATCTAACGGTCTATATAAAAAGTGTGAATTAATTTTCTTACTCCATGGAGAGCAAGAGATCAGAACTCGTGATATATATATATATATATATATATATGAGTATTTAGTAACAAAGTGTTGGGTAAAAAACTAGGTTAGTGTCTTTACGAATACAAGTTTTTAAATTTTAATTTAATTTATATATATATATTTTTTATACATAGACTTCTTATGACTTTAGGACTTAACTACTGAAATGTACCAAACTCATTTAATTTTAACTCTACGTATATTAGATATACCAAATTAATTTAGTTTTAACTCTAGGTATATTATATGTACCAAACTAATTTAGTTACAAATATTTTATTTCTATTTGACTGAAGTTTTTTTTTTTTTTTTTTTTTTTTTTTTTTTTTTTTTGACTAAAAGTATATATATTAACTTCGACCTTTTATCCTCAAGAATTTTCGGATCAAAATTTTTTATTAATTAAACTTGTACCTATAATCACATATATTTAATTATTAAACATAGAAGACAAATACTATAATATTTATTAATTTATCTTTAAATTTAAAATTTTAATTTTGTTCATAATTCTAGAGATATGATAGTATTTCAAAAGAGTAGAAAATAATCTTATAATTAAAAAGGTAGTTTAGAATGTACAATCACTTTTTTTTCGCTTTCATTCTTTTCAAACTCACAAAATAATATTTTCTTACAACTTTCTTGAAAATTTTTCTTACTAACCAAATACATAATAGAAACTTGATTTCTTTTCTTTTCCTTTACTTTCTTTTACTTTTACTTTTCATAAAAAAATTTTATCTAACCAAACGGACCCTTTTTGGAGGCTTAAATAGAGAAATTTTTAATTTTAAATATATATTTTTTCTGCATCTCTTTTATGTGAATAAGTTAAAAGATGACCCCACAAGCTTATTACACAAAATACTTGCATGCCTTATCTCTTATTAATCACATAACATTTCTTGTTACTTTAATTAAAAAAATTGTTTGTTCCTTAGTGATAAAAAGTGGAGCACTTTTTTTTATTATCTATTTATGAATCACAAAATCTCATTCTCTTGCTGTGGTCATAATTAAAATGCCATTTCTTTTTCATCATTAAAGTAATTTTGGCTTTTGATTCCTTTTTCAGCATCGAAACGCAATCACCATTTCATCCCGAGGGTGATACTGTTAGGTCACGGGCCCTTTAACCATTTCATCCTCCTTTTCTTGTGCGTGCTCATATTTTGATCTTGTTAGTTAAATATATATATTTTTTGTATCAAAAGAAAAGTGCATGTTTTTTTTTTTTTTTTTAAATTTTTTATTTTGTGAGAAGAACTTTTTGTATGTGTAAATAAAAATAAATGAAAGGGTAAATTTGTCCATCGATTGCTATTACTAATTAATTTGATCATTAATAAGATAAAGATTTTAAAAAGAGTGTATATTCTCATTTAATAATGATAAGAATCTTCGTTAGATATTATTTATTAGAATTGGGTGTATTCTAATCTAATGCTGAATATTTTGAAAAGATTGTGTATTCATATCTAACGCTAATAAAGAATTTTCTGTACTTCAACATTTAGAAAAAAATAAATGAAAGGGTAAATTTGTCCATCGGTTACTATTACTGATTGATTTGATAATTAATAAGATAAATTATTATAAAAGAGTGTATATTCTTATTTAATATTATAAGAATCTTCGTTAGATATTATTTATTAGAATCTTGAATTAAGAAGTTTATTCTTATCTAGTGCTAAAAATTTTGAAAAGATTGTGTATTCTTATCTAATGCTAATAAAATTTTTTTTGTACTTCAACATGTAGATAAAAATAAATAAAAGGATAAATTTGTCCATCAATTACTATTACTGATTGATTTGATAATTAATGACATAAATATTTTAAAAAAAGTATATATTCTTATTTAATACTAATACGAATATTCGTTAAACAATATTTATTAGAATTAAGAATATTCGTTAGACATTATTTATTAGAATCGTGAATTAAAAAGTGTATTTTTATGTGATGCTTAATATTTTGGAAAGATTGTGCATTCTTATACTCCGTATATGCTAATAAGAATCTTGTTAAACACTAATTAATAAAATCCTAACTTAAAAATAAAGTGTATTCTTGTCTAATATTGACAAGAATCCCCTTTGAACGGTATTTATAAGGGTCCGGACCAATAAAAAAATAAATAAAAACCGTAAATGTAAGCATTACTCAAAATACAGTAACATTAGTGTACTGGACCCACACGCCATAATCGGGGTCCTACATCCACAATCAACAATCACGTGTCATCATTTCATTCCCATCACCATCAGTGTACAGCTGTCTCCTTCCCTGGAATCACATCTCCCATATACACACGGCACTTTATATATATCGAAATATTTGAAAATAAATCTATATCCATGTATGATGACCATAATCATGAGCATATACATACACATGATATACACATAGCTTTTCTCAGTGTCCTTTAAAAGCAGACTCTCACCACAGAGACATAGCACTTTAGAGAGAGAGAAAAAAAAATGGAGAGTCTATCATCTGACACAAGATCTAGGGTTTGTGGAATCTCTGTTGAGGAGGAGGGCCCATACACAAAAGCCGAATCCCTAGAATTTGCAGACTCACCAATTGCGTTGTTCAAAAATGAAGACCCATGGATCAAGAGCAAGAGCAAGAGCAAGAGAAAGAAGAACCAAGTCTATCTTCAAGGTTACGTAGAGACGTCTGATGACGAAGAGCTCTTGAGGACGAAAAGCTTGACGGATGAAGATTTGGATGAACTCAAGGGCTGTTTGGACCTAGGGTTTGGGTTCAGCTATGAGGAAATTCCTGAGCTTTGCAATACTTTGCCTGCTCTTGAGCTCTGTTATTCCATGAGTCAGAAGTTCCAGGATGAGCAACAGAAGTCGCCGGAGACTCCCCCGGCGTCGGCCTTACCCGAGTCGGGTCCAATTGCCAATTGGAAGATCTCTAGTCCTGGTGAGTCAATGGAGAACTTGTGAATCTCATTTCATAGTGTAAAAATTGGAACTTGTTATTTTCCTTCAAAAAAATAAAAAAAGGATTTTTTTTGGGGATTTTCTTATAGGAAAATCTTGGATTTGATTGTGGTTTTGGTATGCTTATGGGGTTTTATGGATGGAATCATGAAATGGATTCTTTGATTTTTGACATGCCATTTGTTTTTTTTGTTTGTTATATGGTCTATTTAGGATTATTTATATGTATATATTTTGGTAATGGGGATGATGTATGGATTAGATAGATAGATATATAGAAGATGAGATTGTTTTGGTTTTGATGCAAATTGTGGTTTTTGTTGGGATAACTTCTGGTTTGGGCAGTTTTGTTTTGATGAAATTAATTGATTATGAATTTTTATTTCTTCAATTTTGGTTGTGTTTGAATATCTGATTTTAACTCTGTTGATTCTTGTCTATTAATCTTAGGTGATCATCCTGAAGATGTCAAAGCAAGGCTGAAATTTTGGGCACAGGCTGTGGCATGTACTGTGAGATTATGCAGCTAGAGGAGATGAGAGACTTCTGAGTTCATCAGAAGAGGAAAATGAATGTACATTCTCTTCACCATGGGAATTTCCTATCCTGGACCTTCATGGAGATGGACATACCGGGACGAAAGTTCCTTCAATTTTTTACCTGGAGATGGACATTCCGGTATCTGTCGATCGATCGGCTTTAAAGATGTCAAAGAAGTTGAGGAGGAAGAAATGTTGAGGTCCGAGATTAACCAAATACATACCCTAATGTGTCACTGACATAATTCGTCTGAGGCTGAGTTATATATTTCATGATCATTGTATCTAGTGGAATATAAATTATAATATAAATAAAAGTTTTCTTCATCATCTTTTTCGTATTATTTGAAGGGGGGTGTTTAACAATTTCCGTATATTTCAATGGATTCTCCATTGGGGAGCTTCATGAGCTCTGCTTGGAGGCCTGGTAAATTTGTTAATTGGATGAACAAACTCTGTTTTTTCTTAAACCTTTACCATGGCTCTAGAATGAAAACTTGAATGGATGATTGTGATTGAGAAAATTGTGTTTATCCACTCATGGATTGATGAATGCATATGCAGTTGTTGGCACTATGTGAAGGTGTGGGGAAAGGGATAATAACAATCATGTGATAAGACCTTCCGATAAAAAAAAAAAAAAAACAATCACGTGATAAGGATCAGTGTTTATCAAATTGGCAACCATTGTTGTATTGACCACAGAATTTGCCACAAAGTTCTCTTTCTTGTCTTTCCTTACAATTTGCTTGGATAAGTTTTTTTTTTTTTTTTTTTTTCATAATTATTTGCTTGGATAAGTTGCTAGACTCCAAAATTCCAATGTCCACACACTGAAAGAAAATCACTCTTCCAAAAATGTTTTGTTTTGTTTTTAATCTCTCTCTTTCTCTCTCTCTTAGCTTCTTCCTTATCCTCCATCCATACTGGATAGACTCCCCCTCTCTCTCTTGGCTTCTTCCTTGTCCTCCATACTGGATAGACTCTCTCTCTTGGCTTCTTCCTCCTTATCCTCCACACATGGGGAAGAGTTCAGTGTGACTTTTCAATAAAGCAGAAATGAGAATTAAAGAAGGCTTGTGTCAGTCTTGTTAAAGAAAAAAGGGATGGGAACAAGAAAATGAAAGAAAGAGACTGAGACAATGACACAAAGGACCGTGAGCTTGTTGTACAATTGCAACACCACACATCTATTGTGTGTTTAGTGGTTCTTCAACCACCATCACAAATGCATCTCTACTGCCTAATTGGAAAATTTAATGCAATGTTTTTCAGCACCAGTCCTGCAAATAATTTAGACAGTTGAGAGGGATTTTTATAGCTTTTGAGTTGTTGCTTTAAATACTGGAAGGGAAAATAAACAACACTACAAACAAAGTCCTCTATGTTGATGCAACTGGCAGTATGGTTAAAATGTGAACTCCCAGACCAAATTTATGTCTCCTGCAAGGTCATAAAGAAACGTACAATCAAATCCCACAAATTGCAGCCAATTTCAGTAGTTTTTAAATGAGTTCCAGAAAAATCAATTGTTTGCTCACAATAATTATGAATCTATTCACCCAACGGGTCAGTAACCTAGCGGTATCAGCCTCTTACTTCCCAAAAGGAGGTCAGGAGTTCAAGTCTCAAAAGAGACAAGTGTGTGTGAGTACCAACTAGGGAAAAAAAATTTATGAATCTATTCCCCAGTGGACCAGGCTCTTACTTTCCAAAAGAAGGTTAGGAGTTCGAACTTCGGTGGAGACACGTGTGTGTGAGTACCAATTAAGAAAAAAAAATTATGAATCCATTCTATAGTAGGGGGTGTCATCTATCATATATGGATTTTCACTTCATAGGCACAATACTACAATAAAATAGTTTCTTTCAAAATTTATAGTTAAGCAGGGACCTTCTGTATGATTTGTGACGAAGGAAAAGATAGAAACTCAAAAAATCCTATTTGATATTCTTTCACGGTGTATCCCAATTTATAAGCTTAAACATATGCTTTATGTAATATACACATACTGGCTAGCTATCGAAATACAGTAACATTTTGATTCACTGACTATCATGAAACTTGTTTAATCATCCTAGGCATGCCAAATTCTCCAAAACAATAATCAATCTATAATCAAGCCGGGAGGACAAATTATCATTACAAATCTTCAAGCAAGAGTCTGATGATTTATCAATTGATATTCCTAGTTTTAAAATTCACGCGAAGTTCTTTATTTTTGCTTGCTTGCAGGGAGAGGGGGAAGACAGTATAAAAGAACAATGTTTTATTCTCTACGTGGTTCGTTGCAATAGAAGAAATTATCAAGTCTGCTACTTTTGTAAAGCATGAAAGCTGACATAGAAAAATTTGTGCCAATTATTATCATGAAATCCACTCTTAACATACACTGTTGTAACTTAATAATGCAATACCAATTAATTAAATAAGGTGGAATATAACATCAAACCTTGATGCTCAAGAAGATCCCAACAAGTTTTGTATTTCTGTCTGCAAAAGGAAAATAAATAAGAAGAATAATCAATTCCGATATTTACAATTCCTTAGAACCAAACACTATCAAAAAAATCTTTTTCAAACCTCAATTTTAAGAGGTGATGTTCTAGGAGCATATCTCTCCACCACTTTCCCTTCTTTGTTTACCAAAAACTTTGTAAAGTTCCATTTGATGGCAGCCCCAAGTATCCCTCCTTTCTCTGATTTTAGGAACTTGTAGAGGAGTGATGCATTCTTTCCATTCACCTCAATCTGTAACAGCTCTGAGAATAATTAGTATTTCTTGGTGGCACAACAGAACAATTGAAACTAATGTTATCATATGACAGTTCATTCACTCCATTAAACATATATTAAAAGTTTCTGAGATCTCATTTGCATCAAAATAAATGCAAATCCAGGGGTTTAGATTTAAGATAATTTAAAATGTTCCGTTTGTATACATCGTGATTTCCATTTTATTATTAGGAGACAATCTTATGTGTGTGTAGAAGAGTCATTTTTTTATGATTATAGAACATGTTCGATCACATATTTGTTCTGTCCCAAGTGAATGCTTAGAAGCTTTTCTTTATGTGGCATAATACACCTCTTTTATTTGAACAAGGTTGAAAGGGGCTATAGCAGCAATCAAACTCAAGCTTTTTCATCTCTCCTCAAGTTGAAACCAGATGAGGATTTCCGAAAGTTGAAACCAGATGAGGATTTCCGAAAGAACTATAACATGGATTTCTTCTTCTTTTCTAAAATATAAATGCCAACCAATACAGATCGACCGAGAGAGACGCTTCTTTTGCCATTCAAGCACGCCAGTGTAGAGACCCTTAATTTAGGTTTGCCGAGCCTACAGCTGATGACTCTTGGTCACGACTAGAAATAGCGGCTATTCCTTGGGCTAGGAAGAAGCTAGCAGGAGGCCACAGTAACCTCTTTGACTGTACCCATAATAAGAAGATTTCCATCGCTAAGGAAACTTATTGGGTATTTGGGAAGTGCATTTACAAGACAAATGTAAATGTAGTCTTAGTAAGGGGGTAGAAGTGGTTGCGTGTGGTTCAGAAAGAGCAAGGAAAAAGGCAAATTTGCAGTATGAAAGGGAATAAATTGGCCTTACAACCATCCTTTATGACTATCTTTCTCAACCGGCCACAAGAAGACAGGCTCTGTCCTTGTTGGAGGAGGAGTGAAGAAAGGCAGGAATGAGACGGGTCTAGGGAAAGCTTGAAGCCAATTTCTACAGACCCTAAGGTAAGGAGAACGAGTAGGTGGGGGCGGTTCTTAATCTTAAGTACTAGAGAACAAGCTTCACTGCTTTGAAACACTATTAGACTATGCGGTTTTCGTGGATATCACACTGCTTTTATTCTATAAAGAATTACCTTATCAAATATTGGGAACTCAGCCTTGAACGTAGTGCATGTTTCCTGAATCTCCTCATTGGTTCCTGGTTCTTGCCAACCAAATTGGTTGCAAGGAAATGCTAAAATCTCAAAACCTGACAGAAAAATGCCAACATAGAGGTTTGAATCTCAAACTCAGGAGAATAAAAGGAAACAAACTGGTAGGTGAAATTAAGGAACATGTTCAGTGAGAATGACTAACCTTGGTGTTTGTATTTTTCATACAAAATGTTCAATTCTTTGTAGTTCGATTGTGTTAAACCACTGTATAAAATAACGACAGAAAAGGTGGAAAGTTAAAGATATTTGAACAGCTTTAATATGGTTGGAAACCAACTGATAAACTCAAACAAACAAACGAAACATAATTCATGGACCTAGCAACTAAGTAGGTTTCAAGAGACTAGCAGCATCCTGACCCCCAAGTTTGAAACTAATGGATCTACAATCAAACCAAGGAATAGTTTTTCCTCCAATGGCCAATATATGAAGTAAAATAATTTCCGATAGAACTCCTAATTTCAGAGGATTCACCTAGGAATATAGTAAGAACCTTAGAATTTGTTGATTTAACGAGAAATGAAAAGAAAAAGGGAAAGGAATTGTGATTTCCCTCAAGTTCCTTTCATGCTTTAATAAGATTAGAAATCAAAACTTCATAAAAAATTGAGTAAAGAATATTTTGTCTAGCAACTAGCCGGGATTAAGAAAAGGATTTTAAACTTCGAAAGGGTGTTCCTTTTCATAGGCAATCTTGGATAACAAATCAAGCAGCATCTAGTATATACTATATAATGCAACTCCATGAATGAAAAGGAAAGCACACAAAGCAAAATAAATAAGATAGATGATCAAATTAGCAGGCTGATGAGGAGGGTTGTTACCTTGGGGCTTTTTCGGGGCTTCAAGATTGGTCCTGAGGCAGTTCATCAATTGGAGATTTCTCACTTGTTGTTCGCGGATGATACGTTGGTTTTTTGTGAGGCACAGGTGTCCCAATTGAGATACCTGAGATGTGTCCTGGTTTGTTTTCAGGTTGTTTCTGGTTTGAGAATCAACGTGGGCAAGAGTGTGCTTGTTCCTGTGGGGGAGATTCAGGAGGTGAATTCCCTGGCAGCTGTTCTTGGATGTAGGATGGGTTTCTTCCCTATTTCTTATCTGGGTTTGCCCTTGGGGGTCTCCTCAAGAAGGGTGGGTTGCTTGGACCCAAGTGTTGAGCGCTTCAAGAGAAGGTTGGTTGGATGGAAAAAAAAAAATCTTTCGAAGGAAGGAAAAGTTACGTTGGTGAAGAGTGTCATGTCCAGTCTCCCAACATATTTCCTTTCTCTGTTCCAGATTCCCTCTTCTGTTGTTAGGAGACTTAAGATGATTCAACATAACTTCCTTTGGGGTGGTAGGGGGGAGGAGTTTAAGTATCATCTTGTTCGGTGGGAGCAGGTTTGCAAGCCTCTTAAGTCAGGAGGCCTTGGGATTCGGAGGTTGGTCCCCTTCAACAGGGCCCTTCTTGGCAAATGGCTTTGGAGGTTTGGCAATGAAAGACATAGACTTTGGAGGAAGATCGTTGCTTGTCGGTATGGGAAGGATAGAGAGGGTTGGTCTGCTAGACAGGCTAGATCTGCTATCAGCGTGGGTGTGTGGCAGTCTATTGGGAAGCGTTGGGATGAGTTTTCTAAGCATATTAGATTCAGAGTCCGGGAAGGTCGGAGTGTCCGGTTTTGGGAGGATCCTTGGTGTGAGGAATGTCTTTTGTGTCTACGGTTTCCAAGGTTGTTCAGGATTGCTGTGGATTGCCATGCTTTGGTTGCTGACTGCTATCACCTTGATAGCGGTAGGTTATCTTGGGATGTTCGGTTCCGGTGAGCTTTCCAGGATTGGGAGCTGGATGATGTCACTACCTTTTTGGACCTTTTGTATCGACAAGAGGTGGATAGCACTGGGACGGACCTTTTGACTTTGGTGCCTTTTTCGCAGGGGACCTTTCAGGTCTGGTCTTTCTTCTTCTGTCTTTCCAATTTTCAACCCCCCTCTTATCCATGGAAAACGGTTTGGCATTCGAAAGCTCCTCTTAGGGTGTCTTTTTTTGCTTGGACTGCTGCTTGGGGCAAGATCCTGATTTTGGACAATCTGAGGAAGAGGAGACATGTCATTGTTAATCGGTGTTGTCTGTGTATGACCGATGGAGAGTTTGTTTCTTGCACTGCCCAGTGGCCCATGATTGTTGGAGCTTTATGTTGGGTCTTTTTGGCGTTCAGTGGGTTATGCCTCGGACCTCACGGGGTCTTATCGATATTTGGAGGGGACAAAGGGTTGGGCTCGAGTTCACGACTTCTGGAGGGCGACTCCCTCTGCATTTGGTGGTGTCTTTGGAAAGAACGCAACAGAAGATCCTTTGTTGGGGAGGAGTTACCCATTGAGGCTCTTAAGTATTCTATTATTTATTCCCTTTTTAGTTGGGGTATGGGGAGAGATTGTTCTTCCGTTGAGGAGTTTTTGGACTTTTTGGGGTCTTTGGATCCTTAGGCTTTCTTTTTTTGCTTTTGGTTCTTGTATAGCTCTTAAGATGCGTTCCCCTTTTGAATGCTTTCTAATACAATTTTACTTATCAAAAAAAAAAAAATTATGCATGTGATGACCTGAATAAAATAGTATAGCGTCATGTCAATAAATTAAAACAAAAACGGATAGAAAGACTGACCATTTTGAAGCAACATTCACTATTAGAAGAACCTTCCCCTTGTATTTGCTCAGAGGTACATCATTTCCTCGGATATCCTGCATTTCAACTCAATCAGCAACTATACACATACACAACCATAAATTTTTACTCATAAATCAAAAAATGAAAAGGAAAATTGAAAAATAGGTGAAAGAAAAGCGAAAACAGTCTTAAACCTGCATACAAGAAATTAAAATAAACAAACACATGGAAACGACAGATAAAGATAACAATTAACAACCCCTCAAACAAAAAAATAGAACAAATAAAGAAGCACATTAGCCCTACAAAATAAGAATGGTAACTTCCAAAACTCTTCTTTTATTTTCTTCTCTTTATTCTCATAAAGAAACAAATCCAGAAACCATATTTTCATTGGTGAAGTCATAAGCAAAAACATATAACATCTATAAGTCATAAGAATTTAAAGAATAGAAGATCAAAGACAAATGTATTGTACGAAAGTACATTTCAACAAACAGATAGATGCTGAAAAGTAGCAATAAAAAGTGAAGAACTGTTAGATAATGAGAAAGCCCCAAATCAGTAAGCTAAAAAGATGAACTCAAAATCAAAAGAAAAAGATTGAAAATTTATGACATAAATAACCAAAAAATCATAAAGATACCTTAACTGTGAAATCATAAATTGATTTGGGGATTGCTTCAGCCATGCTTGGAGAAGAAGGAGATTGGTATCTGTAGAATAAAAACAAAGAAAGACCCAGAAACAGAACAGAGAACCAGTTTTTGAATCTCAACAAATCCATATTGCTTATCAATCTAAAACCAATGTATATATAGTTAAATGTTTATTTCTTTGATCAATTTATTTTCCTGTTCAATTGGGAAAATAGCAAAGAAAGGAATAGGAAAGATCTATTTGAAATGGTTTTGTGAAATTTTGGTTTCTTTTTACTCGTAGTTGCCAGTTTGTAAGAGCGATGAATATGATGGCATGCCGCACGAGCACGCTGACAAACTGCCGGAGTAGAAAAAAAATTAGTGTGACATGCCGTTTTATGGGATGTTGTCAACTATCGATCAATGAAAGCCACGTAACCTCTTGGTTTATGCCACTAAAGCACAAGTGCATGATTTGTTGGCTCTCAGTCAGTCTCACAAGTCAAAACACGTGCCATTTTAGTGTTACAATGGTATTTGTGTAGAGTGAAATGGGTATAAGTGGTGGGTATATAACAGTTCCATCTAAATATATATATATATAGCAGTTCCTATTAATTTAAATTTGTGAATAAATGATCAACTTCCCAAGGTGTGGAGAGACATTCATCTTCCTAGTTTGACATTATTAAAAACAATAAAAAATAAATAAAAAATCTAACAATTCACACTTCTATATATTTTTATTTTATTTTAAGACATTGACTTCTAATGAAGTTTGGACAAATTATACATGATGATCGTTTGACCTTTATTATTTTTGTTTGGCCTTTCGGTGCCCCTTGCTCCTTAAAGTAGCAAATTCTTGGTGAAATTGGACTTGTTTACCATTGATTGGGTTTGAAGAGCGAACTAGTGTGACTGTACAATGTTTGGTTCCGTCAAACTCTTCCTAAAATACCATTATATTGATATTGATTTGTTTTTAATTAGGTAAACTATATTTAGGCTCATAAAATATTTTTAAAAAAATATTTTTTGTGTTTTATGGTATTTAGTAATATGCTAAAAATAATTAATTAAATATTTAACTCGATATTTAATTAAACATTCAAATTAAAGTAATAAAATAATAATAATACTAAATAAAGAACCTTGACCAAGGTTAGTATTAGATACTTATATCCTTAAGACAATTTATATTCCGCATGATGCTTACAGACTCTATGACGTTTGTCTCAGACTCGTTGGTTAGAGTGTGTATATGCAGTGGATGCGTAGCTGGTTATAATAGGTTGAGATGTACCCTGCTAGGTCTAGGTACTCATGCCCATCTTTGGGTGCGTTATTGACATGTTCAACAAGACAAAAATAAATTGAAATAGTGGATGATTCTTGTTCTCCAACAAGAAAAAATAAGGTTAATGTCATCAGTTCCTTATTATCAATATTCCACTTAAACTTTTGACAGTACTAATAGCCACTTAGTGGGCAAGGGGTATCTATCATTTTGGCCAAACTTCAAAACATTATTTATTGTCCAAATTAAACTTACCATTTTCAAGTAGCACTTTCTTGGGCGGTCTTCTCTTTGTCTATCCTAATGTATTCAATGATTAAAACAAGCAACCTGCCCAACCACTAATTAAAGTGAAGACGAGATGTGGTCCACCAGGCCAACTTTTAGGTAAAACCCCCAATTTCCACCTCAAACCCTCAAAATGGGTCAAGATTTTCGGACTCCCTAGGTTGCTCAAATTCGAAACATGAGCTCGAGGGAAAAAAGTACTTGTTGCTTTTGGATGATGTATGGGAATTCTTGAACTTGGCTACTGTCGGTATACCAAGCGTAAACCAAAACAACGGTGGTCTTTTTGAGCAATTTAATAACATAATTCTCTAGAGAAACGAAGATATCTTTCATATTTCTCTAGAGAAATGAAGATATCAATGAAAGATTGGTATATTTGAAGGCATAAAAAATATCTAAAAGAGCCAAGCATAGACATTTTAAATCTTGTTTTCATGAGATTTGCAAATTTTGAGGTCAAAGAAGTATTTGAACTATATTTACGAAGAAGAAAAAAAAATCTAACAAAAATAATTTATTTATCAATTTTTGATAAGTTATTTTACACACCCAACCCAATGGACTTGATATCAACTTCGACCTAGATTCTTACCAAATATTATAGTTCCTAGATCCTTACCAAATATTATAGTTCCGCGAAAGTAGAGAGCACAAAAATCCAATGTGAGAAAAGAAGTAGGACCTTGGACATCAATTCACTTTAACCATCCAGGATCATCTTTGCCCCGTCTTCTCTTTCTAACAAGTTAGCCATCAGCTCTGTGTCTGCCTCTCTTTAACCATAATTAGTAGCAGCATGTATTATTTCAAAAGTATAATGTTGCTACTCACCTAATAGATGTAACCAAGTATTTTGCTATTCAAATTAATGTTCGATTTTATTCTTCCCTTCAAATTTTCTCTCATTTTGGGACAGTTCAAATTTGATAAGTAATACTTTCCTGGTTAAGAGAGCAACCGAGGTGAAGAATTAGGCACACTGCACAAAGGGAGGATGTGGAACAACAGTGCGTGTGCCCGCGAGCAGTAGAGAGAGAGATTCAATAGTTATAACATTAAATGGCCTACAAACGGGCTAGTGTCCTAGCGGTATCGGCCTCTTACTTCCCAAAAGGAGGTTAGGAGTTCAAGTCTCAAAAGAGACGTGTGTGTGAGTACAACTAGGAAGAAAAAAAAAACATTAAATGACCTAGGTAAAATATTACAGACAATGGGGAAGAAAATAATAATAATAATAACCCTTTGATATGGTAATCTCAACCTGAACTGGAAACAGATTGCTCACTATTTTCTGCTTCAAAATCATCTGCGCTGTCAGAAAAACTGGGGGGTTTAGGAGTAAGTCCAAGCACCTTGAACATGAGTTGATCAGCATCAAAATCATTGTTGGGAGTTGTCAGGAGCTTCTCGCCGGTGAATATGGAATTTGCGCCTGCAAGAAAGCACAATGCCTGCTCGGGCATAGAGAACCGAACTCTGCCAGCAGACAGTCTCACCATTGCTTTTGGCATCACGATACGGGCTGTGGCAATCATCCGAATCATCTCCCATATTTCAACTGGCTGTGCAAGAAAGGCATAACCATGAATTTTATTTAGTATCCACCCTTTTGGGCAATGTGGAAACGAACTTTTTGAGGCCACCAATGTTCTGATGGCAGAAAAGGACTTTCAATCTAGCGTCTCGGTATGATTTCTGGTCAGTTATGGATATTTGAAGGGCAGGTAGCTAAAAGTTTCTTTTCAATGATGGTCTGTTAGTTAGTCTAGCCTTTGAGCACTACATGGTGAGTGAGTTATTACTACCAATGAAGTGGGAAACAGGTTTCATGGGCTACAATCAGTGGATACTTGACAACGTGGATTTTGACCTTTAAAAGTTTTCAATTCCTACAAAGGATCGGACTAATGATATATACAATACTTGAATTCTTGATAAAGACGGGGCAACAAGTTAAAACCTCAAAAAATATGTGTAGAATTTATCTATTTAACAATATTTGCCAAAAACCAATAAATATGGACAACTGAATACAGTTTTTTAGGACTTAAAAATTTTAATCCATTCTATTTTCCTTCATATTTTTAAAACATGACAAATGCTCACAAATATGAATTCAATTTATTTAGAGTAACTGATTGAGCAACAACTTTTTGTTGACAAGGATTAGAATTACCTTCTGATCTTCCAGAGGTGTTCCTTTAACTGCAAGCAGTGCATTGATGGGAACGCTCTCAGGGTGTGTAGGTAGCGTTGCCAATGTATGCAACAAACCAACTCGGTCCTCCTCTGCTTCTCCAAGCCCTATTATTCCTCCTATTGAAAAAAATAAAAGGTAATAGCTCTTAATAAAAGTAAGCAATCTAATAAGAAATTCATTTTTCCTTATCAAGAAAGATATCATGTAACAGAAGAAACTGATTGAATTAAGAGATAGGAACATCATAAAATTAAATTAAAGGCGAAAAGTTAACATAGCATGGCAACATCAAAGCAGAGAAGCTAGATAAACACATTAGCAGGAGGGAAGGGGCTTAAAAAGGGAAAAGTGTTATTCGAGTATGTCACATTAGGTTCAATCCATGTTATATCTAGAGCCTTCAATAGGTTGCTAGAAGTAATGAAAAATCCTTTTGAGTTTTTGACAGGAACCATAAAAGTGTAGTCAGATAGGACTCCCATTCTATCAAATATGGGAAGTCGGAAATAACATAAAACCTGTCCCCCTAGGTCTTGATGTAATGGTAAAAAAGCCTTGGACTGCAAAGTGTGGGAAACCACTATGTACAACCACTAGAAAGTTTACAAACAACCACTTTGTGCAAAGTAATGCCAAAGGTTATGTTTGTTTCCACTCCACCCCTAACACCCCACATGGAACCTTCTGATAAATCTTAAGTGATTGCTGTAATCCTAGAACTTTAAAACTCAAACAAGCCAATCCATAAGCTTGCAAATGAACTGAACTGTTCATAACAACTTGGCCTCAATTAGTTGATGGGGTTATTTGTGTTTGTTCATTTAGTTAATGAACCAAGTTCGAGCTTTTTCAAGCTCGTCTAGAAAAAACAAAAATAAAAACAGGCAAAATCAGCTCTTCAATTTTTCTATTTTTTATTTTTTATTTTTTATTTTTTTGTTCTTTAGGTTCATGAAAACTATAGTAAATGAAGGCTTCATATAAGGTTATTGTTCTTCCACATTTAAATATTGTCAGCTTCGGAGGGGTGATGACTAATATAAGAGCTAAATATAAATTAAGCACACAAAGTTCCAGAAAATCCAAAAGCCACATCCTTCCTCATGTCTTCTTATAGCAATAGATCACCATACAGATTTTCCGAAAAAAAAATAGATCACCATACAGTCATGATTCGAGTAGCAAACTTACATCCACGTATTTAAGGGAGAGAATAGGAAAAAAGGGTTTTATTTTCATGTTTCTCCTCAAATAAATAAGGCATTATCTAGTATTGGTCCCATCTACCCAAGATGCTAGAAGGAATGAATTAAACAAAGACTGACTTTTTGGCATCAAAATTTCATGCTAAATAGTTTGCATCGTCAAGTTTTTTAATATAAGAGATTTGGACCTAGGTTTTGTAGTTGTGTATGAAATTTTGGATTTTTTACTCTCAGATCTGGGTTTTTGCGTTCAAATTCGAGTTACTCTTCATAATACCGAGCCAAGCTCAGGCATGCTTAATCCATGAAGACCCAGCTTGAACATGTGCATGAACATATGCATGGAACTTGAGTAAATTCAAACCAAGCTTGAACTCATTCACTGCCCAACCTAGCCGAACCACAACAGTCCATTACCTGACCAAATTCAATTCATTTGAAGCCCTGGTAATTCAATAAGACAACTTATTTACAATTTACTCAACTCAATGTATCTTTTGAAGATACAGTAAATACATTAAATTTAAAATGATATCACGATTATTATTAAAATATTTTCACTTGTCTTAAATTGGTTAAATTTTAGTTTACTCATGCAAAAAGTAAATTAGAACAGAATAGATTTATTGTTTGGTGAATTTCAACAGGAAGTTCATGAAATAAGTTGACCATGTTTTGACTTAACCTGATTGACATTGAAATGTTCTAAATGCTCAAATTTTGTGAGCCCCTTGAAATGTTATAAGCTGTGCTACAAGCAAAAGCAACTAAGATGAATCCCATAGAAAGCAAGTAAAGACTGCGAACACTAGTATTTTGCCGACAAGTCATCTCCTTCTTTCCACCTACTTCTTTTTTTAACAACTTAGCTACAAGATTATCATATACCATCAGTTTAAAGTATGCACGTTCACCTAATTCCTTTGTCCAAGTTTATGCTTTTGCCCCTTCTTTACTATTTCAATGAAATATAAACTCAAAAGAGAAAAAAGAAATAATAATAACAAGGGATAGAAGAAATTGGCCAGGTAAGAATCCAAACAACACAAGATTTGTTTCCTATTCACCTAGATTCAAGCTAATATATGTTGTCCAGATTAGCCAAATTACCTGAGCAGACATTGATCCCTGCTTCGCGAACATACTTGAGGGTTTCCAGCCGCTCATCATATGTTCTTGTTGTTATAATATTAGGGTAATACTCTCTTGAGGTATCAAGATTATGGTTATAAGCTGTAAGGCCTGCATTCTTGAGCTCCAAAGCTTGCTGCTTCTCTAGCATCCCCAAGGTGCAGCAGACCTCCATCCCCATTTCCCTGGCACATAATAAGACTTGTGAAATGGTAAAACATTTGATGGTAAAAGAGATAAAGGAAACGTTATACAGGCTACGCAGGAAATTCGACATAATGGAAGATAATTAAATATCATAAATAGTATCTTATTGCCACTCTTTATATAATAGATTCTGAAGAATTTATGGACAATTAAGGATGTTCTCAAATTACTCTCAAGAGTAGGATACTACCAATCAGAGGAAGGTGAGGGTGGGAGGGTCAGACTTCTGAATCGCCATCTCTTGTGGTTTTTTTGCATTACTAAACAATTATGTTTGATTCTCAAGTCGCAATAAAATGTCTGGATCATCTTAGTGTAGGATATTACCAATCACGAGATGCTGGCAGGGTTGGGCTTCTGAACAATTGTGCATCTTATGTGGTAATTTTGCAGTACTGAGCCTAAAAGGACATCTAAATCACCACCAGCCCAATATGGAGTCTCAGAGTCTACTGACACAAATATAAAAGGAGTGTATAGTGTCCGTAATCAAGAACCTGCTTCTAAATTTTGGACCTCTACAAAAGCCTTATATTTCATGGTCATGAGAAGACTTTTCTTCTCACTGCTATCCAAGATTTTTTGGTGTGTAGACTTTAAGCATCAGATAGAAGAATTAGGATATATTGGTTAAGAGCCATAATTCTAGGATCAATCAATCTTTTTCAAATTTCTATCCCTGAAAAATAGCCTCCAAGCAGATATTTGGATCTAAAATAGAACTCCAAGAAATCCTTTGAAAAGTCATACAGTTTTTTACTTTTTTATTTTTATCAAATAAATTGTTAAGAAAAACACAGCGAACCAAGAACAAATCACGACATAAAAATAAACACGCCACACACAAAAGAACATAAAGATTTATGTGGTTCGGCTTAAGTGTAAGCCTACGTCCATGGATATAGCGAAAGATTTCACTATGCGAAAAAACAAGAGAATAAAAGCTGTGGTGGACTTGGGCACACACAAATCCCGTTGCGACCCGGGCCGGAACAAAATTCGGGCCACAACAGTCAATATTAGAGAAGCTGTCAACAGTCTTGACCACCTAGCCATTTAGTACAGAAAATACAAAGTAGCGGTAATAGACTTGAATCCAGTGGTTAGGATAGAAATACATAAAACATGTCTAATAAACCGGCAGAATTTTAATCAGTTCGGTGTGCTATTTTGCCACATTAAATCTCAACAATCCTGAATTCTATAATAAAAGGAATAGTGATACAAGCTCTCAACTCTGCTAAAAACAAATCTTCTACCACAATTCCCTCGAACATACATACTCTCTATTTTTGACTGATGGTTCATTACCTTATTTCTTTCACATATTCAAGGATATGGTTGAAATTGGTCTTCCTTCCCACAGTGTCTCTCCATGCAGCACCCATGCAAAAACGAGTGCTACCAGCCTCTTTTGCCTACCAATAATACAAATACGTCCAGATGAAGTCAGAAAACAATTGGGGGCCGGAGGGGGGAAGGGGAATATACCACATGCACAAATCTATTCAAACACATTTCAAGTTGATTTCACCAATTTAAACATGAAATTGTAATTCTCTGGCTGCAATAACATAAAGTTGTGAAATCTAAGCATTCGTCTTCTTATCAGATATGTGCAGTGAGTGCACGCATGATTTGCAAGTCCATTAGAATTAATCACTTTTTTTCCCCCAAATCCATTTAAAGGAGGGCAGTAAATCTGGAGAGGTAAAGGAAATGAAAAGGAACTACACCATTGGAAAGGTAAAGTGTGCCCCCCCTTTTTTATGTTTTAGCAACTCAACATTAGAAACATTTTCTAATAGCAACCATGCATGCCATCATCAAATGGGCGGGGGGAAGATTCCCTATGTTAATCCCACCCTCGACTAAATCCCAAATAGAACTTAATTTACATTATGAGACTTCAGTGCATTTAAACTCACAAAATCGTCTCAAAAAAGACAAAGGAGCTGTACCTTTTTTGCTGCTTGAATAACAGCATCCTTGTTCATAAGCTTTTGGGCTTTTAAACCAGTGTTATATCGGGAGGATTGAGGACAATATGAGCAATCCTCACTGCACCCACCTGTCTTAATAGATAGCAGAGTACACTGCTGCACTTCCCTAAAGTTATGAGCATGCCTATGAACTTGAGCCTATAAAAGCATGAATTTCATATTAGATTACAAGCTCAACATTAAAATAATGACTACGATGATGATGGAAACAACAACAACATTATAATAAAATTTCTGTTCAAGAATATAACATAAAAATCCAATGTAGATGATATAAAAACGACAATGATGCTACTGACAGTAGCAGTTTTGTTTAGAAAATGAAAGAAATAATTGATTAGAATGGGCTGGACAGAAAAGTCTGAAATTAGAGAACGACTTCAATATATTCAAATCATGTCACTGTATGTGAATTAGCATGTGTGTGAGCCATAGAAATCACTCAACGCCATCTCTTCGTGGAACTAAGCAACTTTTTTATGTTTATGTTAGACAATAAAAATCAAAGCTGATAGAAAGGACTCGAAAGCCATGGTCATGTTAATTTTAAATTTAGTTTCTTCATAGACCAGCAAGCCCATCCTTCTTTATCCACAGCGTGAACATATATGCAGGAAAGTGTCTTTAGCTGATTCAATTAAATTTTGAAAGTACAAAGAGGCAATAGATGTCCGTGTGCATAGTGCATTCCTCAATGATGAGCACAGTGAACAAAATTTTATCAATTTGCAAATTCTTCCTCAGTTAGTTAAAAAAATGAAATTGGCCGATATTATGACGATCCTGACTACTTCTGATCTTTCTAGGGGCATGTTTGGTATTACAATCCCTGGAGAGATGGTTCACTAATAGACCGAGGGATAAGTAATTCGATTCATTCACATCACGCAGTGGAGCCGTAGACAGTCAAGTGAAATCCGTACCAGAAACAATGGTATCTCCAATTATAGCCCCTCTGGGATGTAAAATATATCTCTTCTCACCATCCCCACTGACAAAGGCATTGGTATATAACACCAGTATGAGATGGGTCCTGCTGCAGGGATGTGCCTATTATCAACTAGAATGAACTGGAAGTGCCCAAAGTTGTAGATGGTCATGTGCATAGTGCATCTAATTCCGAACATCACATGCATCTAAGTAGCAATTTATTTCAGATAAATTTGATAGTTTCAACAACTGCCCTGATTACATTTGAGAAATTACATCAGACACTTCGAATTTGAAAAGGAAAAACCCTTCAAAAGCAGCATAATGATTGTAAATAGGAAGACATGCAATGGTACTAGGTATTGCAATAAACAACGTCCCTAATCCAAATTGGGAACTTAAAAAGAAAATGAACACTTCTTTTCACGAATTCCTGAGTTTATCCGAGTGATCCACAAACAACTTAAAATTTCTCTTTTGCCTAACTCTATCCCGGTTAGCCAAAACTAAAGCTCTTATTTTCTGTTACATAAATATGGTAGCATAAAAATTTAAGAGCCAATAAATTAGATTGCATTTTCACTTCTGGTTGCTTAAAAGTAGAAGAAAATTGAACTCCTCGATTTCACAGTTGCTTGGTCATCTGAAAGCAAAGAACAATGTCCTTTTTACTATATTTTATTCTTTTTTGCTGGAGGAGTTCGTTCAAATTGTTCTTTTACTCTAAAAACTTTTCCCCTTCCTATTTTCATTTCCTTAGTTTATTTTCTCGGCAACCAAACAGAGCGTTTCAAAGACCAAACAAAACATATATATATATATATATATAGAGAGAGAGTATACTGACTCCATAGAAGAGGAGATCGAGAACAGGAGAGTGGTAAATGGAGTTGATCTCGTCTCTGGCCCAGTCATTTCTCAGACCTTCTCTAATTGTTCGCTCTGCTTCGGCAGCTGCAGGTGAAGGCGACGATGAATAATGTAGTGAATGCAGGTGCCGCAACAACGGCGAAGAGAACCGTCGATTCGGACGAACTGATCTTATCAAAATCATCCTTTCGTACTAATGATTAAATAGAGAAAGTAGAGTTTAGAAGAGAAAGAAATGCAATGGCTGTAGAGAGAGAGCACACTTTCTCTCTCTAGGTCTCTTGGAATCGCCGCTGGTTCAACTACTTCACTACTAACCGGTTAACTAAAAAAATGGATTTTGTTAGCAATTGAAACACGACACTCACAAGGAAACAAAAAGACCTAGACAAGGGTAAATTATACCGGCCTCCCCTAAATTTCTCTAAATAACGGATGCCTCCTCTTTATTTTGCAAAATCACACACACCCTTTTTGGTCAAATAATCCGATCCGTTTTTGCACCCATTAATTTTTTTTTTTTTTTTTATGAATTCGGACCTTCAGCAACTCTTGATGGTCCCATTCCCATACAATCAAACTCCTCTAATCTTCAATATTGGTCGGCGATCAATCCAATCACAACTTATTTTTAAGTTATTTAATTAATTTCTTATCTTTCAGGACAAAAAATATCTAAATAAAACTAACATATTTAGTCACAGCTTGTAATTAATTAATTGCGTGGTCTCAACTATTTCTTTTCGTCACCCAATAATAATTAAAATTTTCATGCATTAAGTCTAAATTTAACCCTAAGATCCTATTGCTACCATTTTACAAGCTAGAAAGTCTAAGTTTAACCCTAAAATCCTATTGCTATCATTTTACAAGCTAATGTCTCAACTGTAATTTTTTTTTTTTTTTTTTTTTTTCTTACATGTCAGGTGATGATTGGCCGTAAAAAATCTTCTCTCTCTCCACTCGTTAGGGTGGATTTAACATACTACTCGTAAAGGTCATTCAAATTCAGTGAGACACAAAATACTAATCATGAAGCATCCTTTCCAGAAATAATTGAGAGTTGTCTTATTAATCTTTTAAAAAAGTAGCCTTTCCACTTGAAAATGACACCATGAAAATAGTGATTGAAGCGTTTTCTAAAAAGAGCAAATATGCCTCCCGATAATCTTCACGGGACTCTCCATCATTGAGAAAGCGGGTTCAAATGAAAGATTCCGAATAGACAGACCTATTTTCAAAGAATAACTAAAAGCTTTTCTCATAGAACTTGGAGAAAATTGAAACAATTAGAAAACAACTTATTACCTTAAAATTCATCTTCATTTTCAAGAAAAGGAAATTAGAACATCAAAATAATGAATGACAGAAAAAACGGTACATCTCTTGCCCCATCAAAACCACGTAACAAAGTAAAGCTTATAGTAGTATCATTCATGCGAAATATATTACACAAATCCGATCATGACGATCAACTTATGTATTTCATCTGAGACTCTGAAAATGGCACCAGGCAAAGCCTGCATTTAACCTTGTGAGGTATAAACACATCCTGTGGTAGCTCAACCCAGTTTACCCATAGCAAACCCAAACTTACAAGTTTATATGCAGACCTTCACGAGCCCCTTCGAACCACAGGCCACATCATGAGAGCAGTGGACTTGTAAGCAAGGGAATGATATACAAACCACCATGGCACCTTTCAGCAGCAAAAATATGGGATAAGGCTTAGAAACAGTGCACCCCACTTCGATTCTTCTACTTTTCCCAGTCTTGGAACAAGGCTTCTCTAACGCCAGGTATTCATTTCCTCAACCAAATAAGCTATAAAAATTGAAAGTTCTGCTCTAGCACACCCAATGTCTGCCCAGCAATGTAACCGAAACAAAATGAGGTCAGCTAATTCTGTATGTCCAGTCTCATTTGCCACGTGCCTGCCCGAAGATCCAACAGTACTTCAGCATCCTCCCGCAGTACCTCGGTGACCCTCGGGAGTTGGGATGCAACTGCAATTGTTAAAAGTTTATACCAATCTAGGAAAGCTAATACAGATTGTGCAAGAGGGCCTCCCTAATGCATGAAGGCCACAGACAACAGCAGCTTCTATTTGGACAGCACTTGTCACACCTTTGATAATTAAACTAATACTGAATTATCACCAGCATATTCAGCAACCCATAGACAACAACATGGATCTAAAGCCACCAAGTTTAGCCTTCTCAGACTGCAAGAAAAATCAGTCCTTATTCCAAGTGAATCCTTGGAGTCCTTATCCCCTCCTTGGAAGCTTCAACTCCTTTTATTTAGAGGGGCAAAAATCATATCGAATCTCGTGTTTGCTACAAAACCATATCTCATTGGTATCCCCTGAAAAATCGAATAGGTTAATCCAGCGCTATTTCCAGCAGCAGAAGGTTACAACATATGGACAAATGCAACATTTAAATAATGGATGACACAGGCTGTCTTACCTGCACCTGTGATTTTAAAGTAGTCAGTAGCATTCCACATCAGCCACCGGATGCGTTTACTCTTGAATTGATTTGTGATTGAACTTTCCTCCCCCCAGGCTGGTCCTCCAAATCCTCTCGAGTATTTGAATGATTTAGAGGCTACTAGAAGCAGCCAGTGGTAACCAGAAAAAAACTCACTCATAATATTGAAATATATGCGTGTATATAATGTCATTACAAGAAAAGTGCTTGCTTACAGCAACAGAATCCAAGATGTTGGCCATCATTGTCAGCAAAATTCAGAAAAGCATAAGCACAAAGCTTGGCAGGTTAAAGACAGCAATAGGTTCTAGGAACTCTTCTGCGAACAAATTTCTTGAATATATGAAGGATTACCAGGATTTATTAACTTAAAGAGTAAAAGAAAAGTTGAAGTGAAAATCCTGTTTCACCATCCCTCGTGGATGCATCAACTTTAAGAATATAGGGAATTGTATATCCTTAATTTTAAATTTAAGATCTCTGCAGAAATCCAAAGCAACGATGCGTTTGAAGTCATCAGTGGCAACTACATCACAAATATGAACAACAATGATTTGACAACCTGCCAAACCAGTGTGTGATCCCCTCCATCCAGTAGATTCCAACATATAACTTTTTTCACAAATTGAATCTCCAAAAGAATCAAATGCATGCAGAGTTTGTTTCGAAAGAGAATTATCAAACTTTCTAGCTCAGGCCCTATAGGCACCCTGTATGTGGCACAAAAGGAAACTATGTTTTACAGCCAAAACAAGTATGCATCTGCAATACATTGGAATACATCTTGAAGTGTCATGTTAGAGCCACATTGTAAATGTCTTTTTCAGAGCCACATATGAGTTCCTACTATGTCCATGGTTCCACCTCCCCGTAACCTAACAAAAAAGAATTTTGAATGTTAAAAGCATAAAACAACAGCTGAGGACAACTGAACTGAATTATGGAAACATGTAATCTGACCAAAACAATGAGCGGACTATAGGTAGACTGATGCAATTTATCACCCTCCTAAGTCCTAACATTACAGAACAGGAAAATAAATGGATAAAGAAAATTCTCCATTATAGGAATTTTAACATTTCTCTAGCCACAACTCCACAACACTATCAGAATTAAAGACAGCATTACATACAAACAAACAAACGAGCAAACAAAAAATCATGTATACAACTCATAGAATAGCCTGAATTACAACGAAATATCACACATAAGACATATTAAACCATATGATACACCTCAGTCAACAACATGGAGCGTGCAACAAGATATATATGTATATTTTATATGTGTGTGTGCATAAATATTGTGGAGAAATATGAACTGCCAGGCAATTATAAATATTACAATAAGTTGGCTTTTTAGGTAAGTAATGCCTGATTGCTAAGAATGCACGATACTAAATTGCAGCATAAGTTTGTGAAGAACTGGATATTTTGTAACCATGCTTTATTCGTAAAGGTAATCTAGAACGGTGTTGAGAATCCTTTGTTCGTTATCATTTGTTTCAAGTGATCCTTGAATATATTCCCTTCCATTTTTAGAGATAGTCACATTGGCCACCCCCGTTAAACCATCCTTATAGGCATGCCACAAAATAAAATATCAGCTATATTCTACGGCACACCTACAAATTACTGGGATGAGTGGCTTCACAGGGATCGAGTTCTTTGTATCCATGACCTTTCTGGTTATTTCTTTCAAGTTAATGGGGAATATTCATTCTCCTTCATAGTCCTTGTTGCTACTTCTTTATAATATGTACACAGTACACACACACACACATGGGGAGAGAGAATTTATATATACACAGAGACATTTTTATGTCGTTAACAGTCCATACTAGGAAGCTCATTCTATCAATTTGAACTTTCCTAGCATATTAAATTACAAATACTAGAAATTATTTAATAATAATCCATTCTGGTAATCACTGTCTGTAATACCTCACTCTATAAATGCAAAAACTTACTCGCCGCTAAAATAAAACAGAAAAGTTTCTGTAAACTTTCTCATATTTTGATATAGATTCAAAAGATTATAGTGTTTCAAATTTTCAGTAAATAAATGTACATATAAGAAGCAAAAAATAAAAAAAGGGAATAATAATGCTTCAAGTTGACATTAAGAATCTCGCCATACAACAAACAATCCTACTATATTTCTCATGCCAAATATGGTTAATGTTTTGAGTACCTTCCATCCAAGGAAAAAACACAATAAATACAACATTTTTTAATTAATACCTGTCCTACTCAAACATTAATGGTAAATTGGAAGATGACATCTCTAACCAAAATTATTTAATATGGGTATCTCCATCAAACCCCTAAAACAAATTTACTTTTGCTGATTGTTAAAATAACATATATATATATATATATATATAATAAAAATAAAAGAGTCCTTCAGATTACTAAAAAGGCGGTTAAGTTTAAGAACCCACCGACCAAAAGCCAACTCAACTCTTTTTCTGGGAGTTCATTTCTAATAATAAATTAAGTGTTCACTGTTTTCTAAATATTAATAATGATCAAATTAATTTAGGTCAATCCAAAATAGTGGGTAGTGTAATTTCCAGAATGAACTTGAACATGATCCAACATGTATTTAACCCCTGGGTAAATGACATAAAAGAAACTATAAAACCTCAACACCCAATTTCACTGAATCAAGATGAAGCACTAGACAGTCAATAAGCAGGCAACAAGTGGACCTTACATAGCTCAGTGACGCCTTATTTGATCTGTTTTTAGTTACACTTAACTGCATAATGCCACCTCATTGTAACTCTGACTTCCAGAAATTTGTTTATGAAAAGTGGATTTAAAATATGTTTGAATATGGGAACTTATTTTAATAGATGGAATATCTACAATACATGAATCAGTTGTTACTTTTCTGAACCTTTTGTCATAAAAAGCACCCTGGAATCCAGGGTGAGCATTTGGAAGAGACCTTACATTTTTATTCTTTATTTGTTAAACGATATTCAAAATTATGGTGAATATTTTTTATACCAGAAAAAATAAATAAATAATTTGTTCACATTCTTCTGATTATCATACATAGTTTGGCTTTAATCTCATATTCCTCATTTCAATTGTATAAAAAAATAAAAATAGAAGTGAAATATCTCAGGCAGGAATACCTGCAACTAAGATATAACTCTTGATATATGCTTGTTAGGGAAAGAGGACAATGTAAGAAAGAAAGATTGTATAAACAACATTTTCAATTGTTTTCCAACTAAACTTAGGAGGCGCACAGTAGAAGAGAGCAAACTATGAGTTATCCAAGTATAGTCCATGGTTCATATGATCATACGCAGATTCCTTGGCCAATGGAGATACAACATCATTTGGTAAAGCCCACTTGTAAGTGTATTTAACTTTAGGAAATGGAGTGCTGTCCAAGGGTGTGACCATTTAACACTTATCCTTCTTCTAATCTATTACCATTACTGTTCAAGAGAAAGAATACAATACTTCCCCCCTCCCCCACCACCAACCCCCTAAAAAAATAAACACACAGACACTTTATGTTTTCAAATAGTACATAAATTAAAAGGCTAATCTAGTTTTTAGGGCCTTCCAACTTGTATCCAGAAAGGTTCATAATAATGTTTCCTATCCAATAAGAAAAATTTAGATTGTCAAAAGTTGTATATAAATTGAAAATTTTGACAGAAAAAATGGTCAATTTGAAACATTTTTACTTAATTTATGAAAGACTGACAAGTAATACAAATTTAATGTGTCGAAAACCACTTCCAATATTTTTATCATCTTATATTATTAAATGGAGCAATTGCAGTGCGTGTGAACTATGCTCTAGCACTAGTGGTTTACCGTTTAGTAGGGCCTTTTCTCCTGGTGGTGGTGTTGGAAGGTTGATTGAGCAATTGAAATGATTATAGTGGCTAGGCATGGAAGTGATGACACCAGTGATAGTGCTGGTGCTGGTTCTAGTGGCAGTGCAATGATGGTAATAACAGTCACGAGGCTAGCCACAAAAAGGTCATGTTGAGCTGGAAGTGTAGCAGCAATAATAGTATGTTGGCGGCTATGGAATAAAGCTCTCATAATGATATACTTATCCCAAAAAACAAAAGGCTCTCGTAATGATATAGAAGAAATCAATAATCCTAATAATAAGCTATTAGAAACAAATGGATAGGTGGATAACCTCTGAGGCAAGGGCATTGTTTGGAAAGAAATCTACCAGTGATGCTCAAAGGGGCGGCAGAAAATACAGTGCGGTAGTGCCAGTAGCGGTATCCATGCTAGCTTTATTGGTTGAGGTGGGAGATATTTGGATCTCAAGAGTGGGAGTGGTTAATGAGAGGCTGACTGGCTGCGGCAGCTGCTAAAAGGAAGGAGCATCCACAATGCAACCATATAGAGGGCACTTTCATCAACCTTAAGCTCTTCGCTAGGCCCTGGACTGGCTTTGCCTGTTTTTCGTTTTGATTTTCATTCCTCGTCTTTATCATTACTCACAGAAAATTTTGGTTTGTTACCCCCAATAACAAATAATAAATAAATAATCATGTACAATATGATTAATATTTAACCAACTATAGAAGACAAGGAACGCCATATCTTATTTGCGTTCCTATATAAGGAAAACTAATTAATATCAATCTGAACTTTAAACCTGGAAAACCTAAGATGATGAAATGTTTCATTAGGACAGAAAGTATCCTATTTTAAAAAGATGCCCTTATTCTAAATCAAAAACAAAAGAAACAGAATTAGGCCAAAAAATAAAAATAAATATAAAAATAAAAATTAAAATTAAAATAAAAATAAAAATTAAAATAAAAATAAAAGCAAAAGCAAAAGGAATTGTTTTAAAATCAAGCAAAAGTTATGAGAAATCGAACTTCTATGTTTTTGGGGAGGATATGGTTCCATTGATGCTCTTCCAATTTTAGTGACATAAGGTTTAAAGATACTATTAAAGACGCTATGGAGCACTGTAGTGTGGTAGCCCTCCATACGAATGTATCCAGTTGGGTCTGCCTAATGAATCCACCAGTAGTTTAGGAGACAAAATAATTATTAATATACCGCACCAAACAAATGTCAATGAAAATACCACTAAGGCATTAAAATTACAGTTTACGATGCCCTCATTTGATCAGAAACATTCACTAAATAATGTGAAATCAACATAAAAAGATAGAATGTGTTTGTGACTTACCTACCAGGGAAAAAAGAAGAAGAGGAGACAGACAGACAGACAGAGAGAAATACAAAGAGATAGCAAGATTGATGCTGCTAATATATCTCACAGTGATGTGCTCTTGTCAACGATTCTGGTTTCCCCTTAATTGTGTTCTTTTTTTTCATAATGGAAGTAGGTGTATTCTGATTTTTTTTTTTTTGTCTTTCCTTGCTTTGTACTGTAAAGGTACACCTTCACAAATTTCGCGCATTAGTTTCCTACTCTTTCCAATGCATTCAAGGAAAAAAAGGGTAGTGAAAGTGCTTTCTTTAAAGCTAAAGTTTAGTTGGAGATTTCTAACATTATATAACCCTTTTTCTCCTTTGATATCAAGTGATTCATTGGACTTCCAATTGATTGCACTAACAAAAAATATATACAAAATTAAAGTGTGATGTACAATCACTGTTGTCCAAGGCACTCCAAAAATTCACATAGGTGCAAAGGGACTTCTTTTAGTTCTTCACCTTTTTTATTTCAGAGACCTATATGAAGACCACTATGCAGTGCCGGTCCTGCATGCACAGGCTGTTAGAAGGGGACAGATCTAACCTTTGGCATTATTTGCACAAGTATTAATCAACTATATATTTCTGATGATACTCGAAACCTTATCATATGATGATAGATTGATGTGGGTTTTGCCCTTTAGCTTTAAGACAGAATAACTTCTTACCATATATACCTGATTATACTCGAAACCTTACTACATGATAATAGTTCTGTGGGTTTCTCCACTCAGCATATTCAATTATTTTTCTCTCTCCCTTTACCCGTAGACAGAAAAGGAATCATACTCAATTATATAATAACTCCATTTTTAAGACAAAATAGTTTCTTTTCTTAACCTCTTCAAGTTTTGACAGCAAATAATTTCTTTGCCAACGTTTGCAACATAATAAGCTCAAGTTTCCATATTAAAAATCCATAACATAGTCCTGACAACAAAGGGCAGATATCAAAGAGAAAATTCTGAAAGGCATCAATAGCAAACACAGAAACATTTCATGAAAAGCAGCACAAACTTAATAAAAAAGGATAGCCAAAAGAAGAAATTAAAAGACTCTTAAGGTACCTTAGGTAAGCAAATTATATACTTCCAGGGCACCCCTGGTCTCTTCTTTCACCCCTGGTCTCTTCTTTCCCCCAAAGTTTTCGTCTTTGCTTTATTTGATCAGAATCTTACATCTGCTTTTTGCATCATTTAACTTCTTCGCCCATGTATCCCAAGATCAAAGCAGGCAATACCAAGAAGGCCTCAGCTACCACTTTCTTGATTAACCAGAACATTATTTTTATTTATCCTCAATGCAGCTCTTCTTTTGGCTTGAATTTGGCGCACGTATTCTGTCACTACAACATGGAATTTAGGAGCCAGCTTACTTGATGATGAAACATTAAGACCAGCCTTCTTCAAGGCCCGTGTGACATGTTTCTGAGCCTTTTGAAAGTGGACGCTGCAGAGAGCGGGAACTGTGGATCGCAATATTGGCTTTCCACAGGTTATAGGCCCTGCCTGTGCACTATATAAAAAGCCATGTGATTAGTTACAAAAACAATCACCACTGATCATCCACAAGAGAAAATACCAAAGAATCAAACATTCAGTAATTAGCATAGTCTAATTCAATATAAAACGTACTAGGGTAAAGTGCATAAAACCCCCCTAAACTATTGTCCTTTTGCAAATAACCCCCTGAACTAAAAATTGCTCCCCCTGAACTATTGATTCGTTGCAATTAAGAACCAAATATTATCTTTTCTCTTATCTAAATATTAATTATACTTATTTACCTTAATTTTATTATTAGTATCGATTTATCATAAAAATGGAAAAAATTAAACAGATTTGTAATCATATTTTCTAATATGATTAACTCATAACTAAACTATACTATTTATAAAAAAAACTTCTTATACTCAGTTTAAACTTTTTTTTACCATAAAAAATACCTTCTTTTTCTTTTTCTTTTTTTTGATAAGTAAAATGAATTAAAAAATACCTTCTTTTTTTTATAAGTAAAAAATACCTTCTTTTTCATACAACATATTCATGAAAAATTAAGAAATTATTTAAATAAAAAATACCTTCATTTTCATGCAATATATTTATGAAAAAAAATAAAAATTACTTAAATTGTTTTAAAATTTTCTATGGAAGATTTTTATTTAAACAATTAATATAAAATTTAAAGATAAATTTAAGCAAATTTAATGGAGAATATGTCATCAATATAGTATGAGTTCTTTTTTTCATAATTTATTTCAATAAGAAAAATAAATTAAGTTTAATTTAAAAAGAAAGGGCATTATGGCCACTTAATGAAAAATAGTCTAGGCATTGGGGCATTTTGCAACCGAATGAGATAGTTCAGGGGGTATTATGCACAAAATATAGTTCAAGGGGGTTCCTTGCAAATTCGGATATAGTTCAGGCGTTTTTTTGCACTTTACCCAACGTACTAATAGAGAACATATGTACAAGCTCGAATTTTCTGACAGGTATTCAGGGTTCACTAATCTGAAATTTGTGCAATCCACAAAGGTTAAGGGAACAACTATGAAATCACAAAGAAATTCCTCCATTTCTTCATCAGCAATTGCTCCTACAGACTCGCCAGGCCAACCCTCACGGGTGTCACTAGACACACTTCCTATGATCGTTGATTTCACTGACCTAATTGACTAGCCAGAGCACTGTCTCCTCTTGTGAAAGCGAAAGTATACTTCAACATTTGTTGGATAAATGAGTACAGTTGTTTGTATTCTGTTGCTTTTAAACTCCCTGTTGTCAAACAATATCACCTACCTACCAAAGAAACCTAATATCATCCTTTGTAACGACATCAGGCAAATATAGAAATCTTCTCTGGTAATTTGGAAATTCATAATAAAAGAGTAAATCCAAAAAGAAGCTTATGCCTCCATAACACAAATAGAATCAACAGTAGCCTGAAGTATAATAAGAGGGGGGAGGCAGTTTGTTGGGTATTGAGACATGATATACTTGAGAAATTCCCCCTCTATTTATTGATGCAACAAGAATCAAACGCATAAGGCCATAACCCCGACCCCTCCTCTGATACCACTACTCTGCTAGGCATAGACACTAAGTTACTAACCATAAGAGATCATATTTACCAAGCTTTAAATCAGACATCTCTATTAAAGTTGAGGATCTAGCTTAAGACCTCCAGGGTTGGTCATCCTCAAGGAACTGTCTAATATCCAACTCATGGGAGACTGTTCCAAGAGACTTGCTGAGATATCCATGTAAAGATTTCTTGCCTGGTTCTTTTTTTTTTTTTTTTTCTTTTTTTTTTTCATGGCAAGAAAGTCAGGGGTTAGTGGTTAGAGGGGAGGGGGAGGGTGCAAGGCTCGAACACGGTCTCCCAGACACGGGGAGCAAGTGAGCAACCCAACCACTCGGGCAATACAGCACTTGCATTTATTGCATGGTTTATGCTCTTGTATTCATAGATTGGCCAACTCCAATGCAAATTTATTTACTATAACTGAAATTGTGCTTCTTTCATCGTAACCTTATCAAACGAGAGAAGCGGAAAATACAATTGGAAGGAGGCAGTCTCTCCCACAAAACAATGAAAAAGATAATGCAACAGCTAAGAGCAATTTAAGAATAAGGAAAAAAAAAAATAAGGATATCATTAAGTGATCCCAAACAATCATTCTGAACAATATGCAGCATTAAAAGCCTCTGTATTAGAAGATTTGGATTCAATAAATAGAGCAATTCATGGTTTAACAGGTCTACCACCCTTTTGAAGTCATTAAATACCTTCCATGTACCTCATTCTTCCTTGACCCATTTAACTCTGTTGCTACCATCCCCTTCGAACACATACCCAAAAAAAATCATGGTTTTGACTTTTGACTTTCTTTAATCCAAAGAGAACTCATATCTCCACAAAATGAACATTGCAGCTAATTGTATTGAGAACATAAAAATAATACAGCATTCATCCCTTTAACACCACGCTGTCCTGTAAATTCCAAGAAGCATCCACTAAAGTAAAACTTGTGTTTCCTTAAGAAGTCTTCTAGAAGGAAGGTTAGTGAATAAGTTCTACCAGCTGCTTGCAAATGACAAAACATTTAAGAAAGGTCCAACTTCTTGTGATAACCTTGTCCATTTCCAGAATTTTAGTAAGCTCCTGTCTATTTGGAGAGTATTTTCTATGGAAACAGAATTTTAAGAGAAATTTTCCCAAAAAAAGGCATTTCAAATATGCTGAACAAAAAGTAGATAAGATATTTCACCACGAAAATACTGAAACTGTGAGATTATTAACCTTCAATTAATAGCATAGTTTCCTTTCCTGGAATAATTTCAATGCTACCCAATAATAATATTTTACCAAGTTCAATAGAAATAATTGTTATGACAAACGCAATGAACCCAAGTTGAACCAAGAATCACAACAGAAAAGTAAACACGCCACACAAATAACACAAATATTTATACGTGGTTCGGCAACAGCCTACGTCCACGGTTGGGATCCAGCGAAAGTTTTCACTATGTGTAAAATCGGATATTACAAGTTTTCAGTCCCTCACTCTGTTTGTGTACGAATATGAGAGTCTCTCTCATCCACCACTCCAAACCCTAAGCTCCCTTATATATCGAGCTACAAGAGACTAATTAGGGTCCACGACCCATGAGCAAAAGGGGGTCAAAATTGTCCTCATATGTTGCGACCCGGCGCCAAATTCGGGCCACAATATCACAATAATTAATAATTCCATACAAAAAAAGTACAAGATATAGAATAATCATGCAGTGTGGGGTAGAAAACACAATTAATAGTATTATTCCTTCTCCATGTCAAATAGCAATTGTTAAAAGTTTTCAGGGCAAAAAAAGTAAAATGACAAAAGAACCTCGTGAAAGTCCAGACAATTGATAGCATTGTTTCCTTTACCTGGTACTATTTCAATGCTATTCAATAATAATAATTTTATGAGTTCCATAAAACTAGTAAGAGTGGCGCTACTCTAACCGAAGAGTAGCACCGAATTGTTGCACCGAAGGACTCTCAGCCCTCAGATGCATGCACCGGAACTCAGCATTGGGTCCCGGTGCATGAATCTGAGGGTTGAGAGCCCATCGGTGCAACACTTTGGTCCTCCTAATAGGACAGAGAAGCATTTTCCATATTGTAAACATTTCTATAGAAATAAGTAGAAGATAAAGAATAACCACGCAGTGTGAAAATATCAACCATTAATAGTATTATCCTTCTCCCATTTTCAAATAGTAATGATCATGCAGTGTGAAAATGTCAGCCATCAACATCAGTCGAACATAACATTAAGACATGCAAGAGTAGCCTTATGTTATTCTAGTATCTTATCATACAAGATAGCAGGATGCAAGTTCATGGTTTATGGTTCGAGGTTGCGACCATTGTGTTAATCCATGAGGTAACAATATTGTTCGATGACAATCACCTCTCGAATACTATTTACGGGTCATGGATGCAGCACGAGGTCATTTCCATATATCTTGTCCATTGTGGCCCAAGATCATTACGTAATCACCACGATGGCCACAAATGCCAACTTATTAATCTCTAAAGTCCGTTTCCAAGCCAAATTCAATTAACTTTTTAGTTTTTTTTTTTTTCCTAAAGCTTTTAGAAAGACGTTCAATTAGTTTTCCTTAATATTTTCTATTGCAATTATTACGAAGAAGAAGTATTGACCTTTATAAGGAAAAAGATAGTACTTCCTGTTGATGACTTATGAAAATTATTAATCCCTCTGTCCCAAAATACTTGGGCACTTTGGAAATTGTGACTCTTTGGGACAGAGGGAGTATTTGACGACTTCTGAAAATAATTTATATTAAATCATATCTACTCTTGGAATCACGGAAAACCATTTTTTTTTTCCCTTAGTTGGTACTCACACACACATGCCTCCACTGAGGCTCGAACCCCTGACCTCCCTTTGAGAAGTAGGGGCTTGGTACCGCTAGGCCACTGGCCTGTTGGTTTATGAAAACCATTAAAAACATTGATTTATCGATTATAGTGTTAAAATATGTGTATCTTTATTTAATGAGGAATTGGGCGCCACAACCTTATGGCTTTAACATCTGCATTTATGTAACTCTTGTTACACTAATGTCATGCATCGCCATGATAAAAAACATAATGACGAATGTAACCACAATCTCCCATTCTACCTCCTTTATGTTCTTGAAAGCCCATCTTTGCCTGAGTATAGCCTCTTAGCAGGCATGTTTTCCCCATTACTTAGAAAAAATGAGCCAACAATTCAAATACAAGATACTATCATTACCAACTGGACAATTAAACATCCAACCCATAGCAGAAAAAACCCAATTTCAAGAGAAAAGCTCTATTAACTGAGCTATACCCCAGAAATAACTTAAATAAGTTACATTTGTATGATAGGTTCTCAAGAATCTTATATATGTTGCACATAACGCATGATACAAAGTGATACAAGCATCTTATACAATATTTTGGCCGGTTAGTCAAATATATGAGTTGGCTTAATACTACAAGAAAAGGCTTGTTTTCATCAAAGTAATAATAATAATACTAATAAGTAGCAATAGCATCTCATAGAGCTTTTAGGTTCAAAATAAACCATTTATGTCCTTTATACCTTGTTGAGTTTAAGACATTAGGGCTTTTTCTGCTGTTTTCATGACAATTGAGATCTCTCAATACCTACCAAAAGGAAAAATCCTCTCACAACAAACTCTAATTTCAACACATTTGCATCCACATGTTTTAGCGAGAGTTGCAAACTAGCAAATTTAATATGTGGAGATTAAAGAGCAACTTTGCAGCCTGGTAATTGAAGGTGACGTTTCTTTGTCCACAACCAAATATTACACTTAGAGAGTTCGTTGTGCATCTTGGAATCAAACGGCATGTTTTTCACTGAATTTATTTCATTTTTTCTATTTTTAATTAATTATTCCTTGGATACATGTATTTGCCTTTTAGCTTGTAGTGTTTTTCATGAAATTCGTTGTAATGTTGCATGGTGCTTAAAGTTTTAATCTTGTAACATATATGTGTGCTTTATGCAAGAATACCCTTTTTTTAACATATAAAAAGATAAACATAAGAACTGGCCCCAAGCTTTGCTTGGATAAAAAATATTTAGGCAGCTTATCCAAGGCTTTCGTGGGATAGACCCAACATGACTTGGGTCTCAAGCTAGCAGCAAATTTCTCATCCACCACCAAGAATCACCGTAGCTCAACACCACGTGGCCAAGCCTAAAACATACATGTGTACAACTCTTAAACCTACAATTTTTTAAATACATTAATCATAGATATTTGAGAATTGGTTTTCATAATCCCTAATATAAAAAATAAAGGTGAGAAGCCCTTTTTTTTTTTTTTTTTGATAAGTAAATAAAGGTGAGAAGACTTAATATTGTCAAATGCTTTGCAAAGTACAAAGAACGTGTATAAAAAAGCGGAAGAAAGAAAAAATATTATATTTTAAACAAGTCATAGGTAAAATGCAATTTTCAAGGTATATTATAATCAAAAAGCTCTATATATGCGTTGCCACGATAAGTTATCATACAATTGCATGAATTCTGAGTTTAAAATATTTGACATTATTATTTTGCTTCTCATTACTATAAAAACTTTAACTTCCACCCCACCATTGGAAGTCTCTGTTATTGCCGATTCGTCCACTTCATAGGGTATTTTAAGATGATAATTGCATCTCAGAATAGAAATATCCACTTCTTTATTAACACCTTGTAGTGTATTCCCTACATTCTGTTATTTAGAATTAGTACAATTTACTAGCATTGGGTGCACATAATGTAAAGGCATCACTATACATTATTATGTCACACTATATATTAATAACGTGTTACCTAATGAATGTTCCAAGAAAGATCCTTAACGTTGACAATTGGCAAAGAATTGGTGTATTATTTGTGGGCAAGATGGTCAGTGTCTTCTAGTGAAGGTTTTGCTATGCCCTTTATTTGGCAGTGGGTTGGTGATGCCTATATGTGTGTCTAAGGCCTTGAAAAGCAGTGGTAATGCCAAGTAATACGAAACTCCATTATGCCCTCAAGGTGACTCTCGAGGGAGAGAAATCGGTCTCAATTGAGGGGGGTGGAGTTGCCAATTTGGAAGTCAACACACTGTGATCTGAGCTCCTCATGGACCTTCAGTTTTGCAGTAACTACAGATAGCCTTGAAAAAGCAAAAAAAAAAAATGCATACCAATTTCATCCAACAAGCGATATATATATATATACTGGTGGTGTGAGGATAAATGTCAAAATAGCAAGGGAGAACATTATGTCAATGCAATACTTTTGGAACTTTCAATCGTCCTTAGAAATTAGCCTTCAAACCAGACAACAAATGCATGAAATTGGTCATGAATACTGCTATATTAGGTGATTTGGACATTAACTAATATTAGATGTTAGATATTATATTCTAATTATAACAGTTTCTACTTAATATGGATGCTACATGTAGTGAATAGAAATATTTTTACCAAATAAATTAATTAAATAAACAAAACAACTAGATCTTGCTAGATAAACTATAAAGCCTATAATACTTCTCGTAAAAAATTGCCTATTTTTAAACAAAAATTCAAAGAAAAAACACACATTGTACCAGAATCATCTGGCTTTTTACTAGCTTCAAATCAACACCATAATTGATCTTCTTAGATAGTTTAACTGACCTTGAATCTTGCCATAGGAAAACTCCCAAACAGTATATATCCATATTATGCACCAAAAATATCTATGGTGAGGCGACTGATAAAGAAAATAATTTCTAACAAACCAAAAATATATATCGAATATAAAAATTATATGCTACTCTTTTTTTTTTTTTTTTGTTCTCCTAGCTGGAACTCAAACACCAACTTTGCCCCTAAAGTGACTTGAACTCAACCTTCTACTTTAAGGTTGATGATATACCACTAGGCTACAAACCTTGGTATATAGCTACTCTTTCTTGCTTGCAAAGTTCTCAAAAAATATAAAAAAAATAAGGAATAAAAATGGCAAAAAATCAACTTCCCTTTCTTCCTTTAAAGAGATCTATTTTGTAGCATTAATTTCACAACAGACACAATACGAAATCTGTATCATATCAGCCATTTCTCTTACCCATCACTTTTGATAGAAATACATCTGCCTTCTTGAAGCTCCTGTGTTGTTGTCAACATCACATGGGCCGGACTTCACTTGCTTTTCTTTTCATTATATTTTCTCATTCACAAAAGTTTTTTGAAAAAAAAAAACTGTACTTGCACATGGAACCATAAATCTGGCTGATTTCATCAGTATTACGTCGATGGATAAGCAAAAGAAGGGGTTATCATTATTATGGAACCAATTACCTGCCTTTATTTCAATAAAGAAAAAGAATGCCACAACATTTAGACCATTCAGCAATCATTACTGAATCAATGTGTCATACAACAATGCACTGGTGAAAATGCTAACTTAAAATATCTTATAAACCATTTGGTAGGAAGGGAGAATTTAGGGAAGGAAACAAACAGGAGGGGTAGATAGACTTTCCATTGTTTGGCATGAAGGAAATGGAAACAGAATGGATGAGATGAATAAAGACCCATGTCTCCAAGCCAACCATATTCCATCCTCCCTAAACTGGGAGGAAATGAGGGGAAAGGATCCCTCACTTTGCATTTTTGCGTCTATAAACCACTGTTCTTTTTTCTTTTTCTTTTTTAAGAGAAAAAGAAAGGTACAATAGTAATATCATGGAATACCCCTTTCCTTCCATTTTCCTTTCTTCAAAGACCTCCTTTTTCCAACTGATAACTTTTTCATCCCTCTTACAGTCTTACCTTCTCTTCGTTGCCCCTCTCTATCCCTTGTGCCTAAGGAAACACTAGTGATAAAATGTATGTACATTTATTTTATCCTGGCAGAAATCTGTACAGACTTCCAATTTAGTAGAAATGTTACCAAATAAGTGTATATGAAAAAACTCTTATATATAAACCACAATTCAAGTTTCCGACTGTCGAAAACAACCACAGGCCATTGACTCAACTTTTATCATGAAATATAGCTGAATAGTAAAACACTTAAAATGACTGATCATTCATTCAAATTCATTGCTGGAACATAGCTTCGGAATAGAAGAAAATTTCATTTTTTCGACTGCAAATCATTTATAAGTTTATAACCACGGATCATCAGTTGAACTTCTATAGATCCAAAATAGCTTCAGAACCAGAAGGAATTCTATAGTCAAGGCATTAAATATAATAGCTTCCTATCAAATCCATACCTAACAACAAAACATGCATAAAACCCATAAAGAATTACTAAACCCATTAATTACTCCAATAGATACACGCATACAAATGTATATAAAGGACAATTCAATTGAAATTAACCAATATAAAAATAAAAATAAAAACGAGGATAATATATATTTGAACAAAGACAGAAACACATTAACTAACAAATTAAGCAGATAAGCTAATATCGAAGAGAAGAGAGGTGAAAATTTAAAACCTCTTGATGACAAAGTCGCACGGCTTATAAAGCTGTTGCTTCGAGTCAGAAAGGATGTGTAGCTGACAAAAGTTCGTCAACGCCATCGCCTTGAGCTTGCAACCATAGAACACGCAGAGAAGATTGTTGGCGTTGGCATTGGTCTCGCCACTGCCTTCGATGATACCATCACAGCCGTCTTTGGTACTGCCCTTCTCCTCATCTTGCCTGAACGGACTCATACCGTACTTCCAGACATAGTCCCTGTATTGAACCCTGAGATCTTCCATCAGTGCCCAGTATTGGTCTCTGTAACACTTGGAGAGTTGCTTGAGGCGGTGTGACCGGAGCTTCAGGACTTCTTGGCGCGAGAGGTGGGATGAGTTGGAGAGATAGAGGTCCTCCGGAGATGGTGTTATGTCGAGAGAGGGGGTGGGCGAGGTGGCGTTGGGGATGGTGGTGGTGGTGGTGGGGTTAGGGTTTTTGTCGCCAATTCGAGTGGTGGTGTTAGGGATTTTGAGGGGTTGAGAATGGGGATGGGGTGGAGGGAGGGAAAGCGAGTCCATTTTGGGACGCTTGGAAGAGGAGGAGGAGGCATGGTGGTGGTGGGCGGAAGCCATGGTAGAGAGAGAGTATCTAGAGAGAGGGAGAGAGTGGTAGTGGTACTTGGGCGAGTGTTCGGTGAATTGTGGGAAAGTTGGGGTGAAATGTGGTTGAGGGCTTCATGCGACTAGGAGAGTAAATCCACGCGAAAATATTCTCAGGTCTCACTGACAGTAGTCGCCTTCAAAAAAATAAAAATAAAAAAGAGTTCTCAACCAGTAAATTCAACAATACAATGCGTTATTTAATTTATATTATTATTGACTCTATAAAATAAAGTAAAATAATTAAATTGTATAAATTTGTATTTAAAATTTGACAAGTCACGCCTAGGTACATATTTGTACTCACATATAGCATAGGACATGAGTTCTACTCGTACAACTGTGACTAAATGATTTTTTTTTTTTTCCGTGTGTGCCTCATTTAAATATATATAATCATTAAAAAATATTTGATATTTTATTTACCAAAAAAAAAATTCTATATTTTAGCCAATATTGAATCTCTATTGAATAATATTTTGTCAAATATAAATCAATGCATGTGGAAATAATGATGGCTAGGCTAGTACACTCGACTAAAGTGTTGGGTTAAGAACATTTTAGTTGTCATGAGATATTTCGGCCAACCTGAAAGTGTTCCGTGGCTGGAATGCTCTCGGCCCAACACGTTGTGACAAAGTGTTGGGTCTAACAATCATTTTATTTGATATAAATACTTACATAGATGTTTGTTGTTATTATTACTATTATTATTGCCTACGTAGATCTCTCTACGCAGGGTGATAAAGTGTTGGGTCTAACAATCATTTTATTTGATATAAGTACTTACATAGATCTTTGTTGTTATTATTACTATTATTATTGCCTGCATGGATCTTTACGTAGGGTTCATATGAAACCAGATTAAATATGCCCTAGTTTCTCCAATGCCAATGCACGATTGGATCATGAATAAAATATAACTTGTTGAAAATTTGACATGTAGCATCTATGTACGTATTTACTCTAAAAAAACACGGCCATGTAAGAGTAACATGTAGGGATGACAAATTCCCCATCTCCGCTGGTGCCCTGTCCCGTTTATAGCGGGGATGGAAATCTTTTTAACTAAATAGGGATAGGGATGGGGTCAATTTATAAATCCCCGTCAGGGTGGGGATGGGGTAAACCCGTCCCGCCCCAATTAAGTATGAAATTACTGATATATCCTTACATATAATAATTTATTAGTAAGTTAAATTTATTATATATATAAAAATAAGAAAAAATATGTTTTTTTTTTTTAATAAAAAAAATTATGAGGCCGGGACCGGGGATGGGGATAAGGCGGCGGGGGCATGTATGGGGATTCTGGCAAAATTTTAAGCAAGGGTGGAGGCGGGAATGGGGAATGAAAAATGCATCGGGGATGGGGAATGGAATGCCTGCCCCACCTCGCCTTTTTGCCATCCCTAGTAACATCAGAGATTAATTTAAGTTATAATGTTTTTAAATGATTATTTTTCTAATTCTCACATATTTGATTTTAATATAAATAAACATTAAATGAATCGAGGTTTGAACTTGGGCCAGTATCAAACATATTATGTCAAATATAAATTATGTTAGTAAAACTCATTATTGAAAATAATGGTGAGATACTTGGTTGTTCATGGTTTGGTTTAGTTCCGTTAAGTTATGGATGAATTAGGACCAAATTAATTCCATGGATTTAAGAAATATTGAAATCCTACGAAATTGTTGAAAGCAATTAAATCATACCGACACACAATTTTTATAAAATTTGTGTACATATATACAGACACGCAATTTTCAACTCGTATTTTAGTTGTGTACATTGAGATTCCAAATTATAATTATGATTTTTCAATTTAAAAACACAAAACAAACCGTTTTACTATTAAACCAGATTAAATTGTACCGTGATTCATCACGGTCTTATCTATCAATTTTAATGATCTTTTGTGCACCCTTCCTCGAAACTGGAGATCAGAGCATTTTAGCATCACTTATTATTATTATTATTATTTTTGGGTAAGTATTTTTTTTCCCCATTTTACCAACACAATTTGACACACTTTTTGGGCCAAATGGTTGTTAAATCACAGATGTTCAGTTTATGCAGTGTAACCAGAATGAAAGTTTTGACGCATTTCTATGTCGACTATAGTTGTATGATTGTATCATTTAATAATATAATTACAATAGTTTTACAAATCATCTTTTATCAGCCACCTGGTATATTCCTCCTCCTATCGGTATGGTGCTAATAGTGTTTGGATACAAGGATAACAAAACACGGGTAAAGTTTGCCATTTTCGTTTAAAAAACATAAAAATTTAAACGAAGGTAAAGATTTCGCTCTTTAAAGTTCTTTAATGGAACCTGTGACAATTACGCCCTAGGAGTTATTTATATTTTATATTCTGTCTAATAAGATTACCTTATATAACATCCAAGTTGATATTTCAATAATCTAATTAAAGAGCTACTTTATATTAACAATTATATTATTTTTTATGAATGTTATTATCAGAGTAATACAAAGGTCCACCTATAAGAATGTATATTATTCTCATTCATGATGCAGATCGAATAATAAATGAATACGTTATCTTAAATTATCAATTGAGATGTCGAATGCATATTTACTTACCAATTTAGAAATGGTGGTCCATTACATCATTTATTATTTAGTAACGAAAAAAGACGTGCCCATTTATTATTGATACAAATGACACCCTCAACAGTTCAACAAAATTACTTAATATAGTTATATTACAGTTACAAAATATTTTTTTATTTTATTTTTTGCAATCCATTCAGCAAAATCACCTTATATAACATCTTCAAAATTATTTTTGTAATCTGTCCAACAAAATCACCTTGTAATACAGTTACATCATAAAACAAGAGAAAAATAGTAATATTCCTTACAAAAAAAAAAAAAAACAAAAAAACACTAGACGAGCAAAGACTGAATCACGGAGCGGTTAAATTATTCAGCTCACAGACAACGTTGATTGGAAAACAATATCAAATGTCATTCATTATGATACTTTGACTCTAATTCCTTAAATGGCAAACTTATATTAATTGGTTGGTGTCTTGGTGACTTTGTAAAGAAACGCACTAAAGAACGTGTTGTGAATTTAAAGCAATTAAAGAGGTATCAAGAGAGAGAAAGTAGAGAGAGAAGAAGAGTTAGTATTTATTTGGGCTTTTAAACTTACGTTTCCACGACTTCTCTCTCCAACGACAGTAGAGAGAGAAGCAATATATCACAGAAGTGTGATTTTTGGCTTTTTTAAACATACGTTCCCGCAACGACTCTCTCTCTCTATATATTCATACATCTGCCTGCATATTCTTCGCATCTATGCATTTTAGGAAAACCATTTTTTCACTCATTTCGTGTTTAATCTCGAATTACGACTATACAAATCTTTCGATTGCGATCTCTTTATAGCTGAATTTCGGTTGCCAGAGAAGTCAGATCTGGCCGGGAAGTTAATCTCCGTCGAGTTTTGCTGCTTCTATATTGTCGGGAGAAATTTTCATTTCAGAGATCATATAGTTGAGGTCCGTGTTTAAATGCTATTGATTGTATATTAAATTTGATGCTCAAAGTTTGTGAACCTGTTGTGTAGAGCTCAATTTTGATTCGAAAGTTGCAAGATCTGGTCTGTTTACGAGTTTATTGCTTTTTATGGATTGTAATGTAGTATTTAGAGAAGGATTGAATGTTAGATCCAATATACTATAAAAAATTTAATGCATTTACATAATATTTTATTATCTGTGTAAAAAAAAATTCTAAATTTTTGCTTTTGTTTGCAAGATCTGGTTGGATTGGCCGTTTCAATTTGTGCTAATTCTGGAATAAACCTGTGCATATATACACATTGTAATATACTTTGTTGTGTTTCTGCTGACTTGTTTCCCAGCTACCTTTTTGTGTAGATTCAATATTGTAGAAAGTGAGAACTTGGGGGGTCTCAACCATTAATGAAGAACGGGATGATAGAGTGCACTGTCTGTCATTCCAAATTGGTTCTTCCATCTCCAAAAACAATCTCCAGGGCTTATGACCAACACAGGAGCAAGGTGTCATCAAAGCATCGAGCGCTCAACGTCCTTTTGGTTGTTGGTGATTGTTTCTTAGTTGGCTTGCAGGTGATTATCTTTTTTTATCCTTCTAACTGTATGATAGTACAATCATATCCTCGGAAAATGGACAATCTAGGAAACTCTGGTGTTTAAGCTCAATGGCATTTTCAGTTTTCCAGTATCTCCATCTATGGTGTTTAAGCTGATTTTGTGGATGCAAATTGCTTGGCAGCCATACTACTGTTTATACATAAATAAACTTTGGGAGGGCATAGGCCATACTACTGTTTATACATGGCATCAACTCTTAATTCTAGTTGACCATTAGATAACTAATAACTGATAACCTAATATCTACATAAGCAGTGATTCTTAAAGAAACCATTTGAATCAAGTTTAGTCATTGGGTGGATGCTAATAACCCTAGTATGACCAGTTTATTACACGGGTAGTTGTGCCAACCTATTCATATCCCAACTTGATTAAGGTCAACCTATTCCTCTAACTTCGTTTTGGACACAACTTATTCTTATAGGTCACATCAACAGTTGCTATCCTGAACATTATTATTATATATATTTTTCATAATTATCCCTGAACATTATTAAGAGAGAACATTTATGGATACATTTATGTTAGTGCCGTGGAGGCACTCTCAGTCTTAGCTATTTCAAATTCTGAACTGCTGCACTTGCTTCCCGCCCTGTTCTCTCTTTTGGGCACCTAGATATTGTATTACATGGACTTTGGTATGCATCTGGGTGTGTCTAAATGTGGTGAACCTTTCTCAAGTTCAAATCTTAAAGATGCGAGAAATCTTTGCAAAAGTTTGGGTTCAAATCCATGACACGTCATGCACTTTTATAGACATTAACTTTTATATAATAGTGTAATATATGATACTTCATACTTTAAAGATATTCCTAATTTGATGTAAAATTAAATATACATTATATTTTATATAATAGTTTAATATATGATGATATTTCATTCTTTATAGAAATTCCCAATTTGATCTTAAATTAGATGGGATATGGTGGAAAAAATGATTTTTATTTATTTTAGAAGTAGAAAACTCTTATCTGTTATCAAATTTGAGCCTATTCTTCTTCCATCATCACATGTGGAGGATCGAGGTGTCTGACTTAGGTTATTCCATACCCATATCCGTGTTGTATCACGTCGATACAGGTACGTTAAAAAAACGACTTTCCATCTAACACAGCTAGGATGCAAACAATGACATTATCATTACTATTTAAGAAGGAAAAAAGATTAAAAATACTCCCACAACATTCATATACATGCTCCATACGTGTACAACTTGGGGAATCAACAACCAAGGATCACTTGCACATCAATCAACAATTAGAGAACTTCCTTATAGATCCAATAACTCTCCATCTATCAATGTTACTCTTGAAACAATGAATTTGAATTTTTCTGATTTATTTATTGAAATCTTGGCCTATTGGTAATTGGAGGATAAAGTGGAGCCAGATGTAGAGTTCAAGCTCCATTGCCCATCAGAAAGGGAAAAAAAAGTCTAATTTATTCTTAAGCAAAACATGATTAGATGTGAACTTGCATAATGTAGGGATGAGTCTTGACTCAAAATGGGTTAGTACTTCCTTGCCGTAAGAAGAAAAAAGTGAAGGACAATAGTATACCACATTAGACTATCTTAATCACTGTAGAGACGAGTATGGAGTCTTCTCTTTCTCTCTTAGTTTATGTGAGATGTGTTGTATTTTATGCATCGATTTAGCTATTGCATAATGTAATAACCATATCTTCATTTTTCATTTCCGTTTCCAGCCTATTTTGGTTTTTATGTCCAAGGTGGATGGGAGTTTCAAGTTTAGCCCTATCAGTGTCAACTTTTTGACAGAGATTGCGAAGGTTATCTTTGCAATTGTTATGCTTGTGATCCAGGTACTTTTGACTTTTCTTCACTGTCTAACCTTTTTGCATTTTTTTTCCTTCAAGTTTCTTATGGAGTATCTTTGATTTGTGAATTGAAATCTATTGGTTAAAGGAAGATGGTGATTGAGAGAATTCTCAACTCAATCGAGTTTTAAAATTATTCCTTACTTTTTGTACTCTACCATGTGATGTAGAATTTTCTGCTTATTAGGATAGTTGTTAGTTGGTTAATTATTTTGGGGATAAAAATATGGAACAAAAATGGAATGTACAAGGAGTGGTGTGGGGACTAAGATGCTAAGTTATGTGATTTGGATGATGTATTGATGTCAATTGTGATTAGAAATGTATAGATTGGATGACAACTTTGGAAGATTAATCTGCTTGTGCAGGATATATTGCAAATTGTAGTAGCAAACACCACCCAGTCAATTCTGTTCCGCTTAATCCCTCTTTCATGGCCACATATCTTTCCGGCTAAGGAATGAGAAATCTTTCTCCTGTTACATGAATCCAATTTTCATTTCATCCGGGAACTATCATATGATTTTTGTTGGCTATAATTTTCATCAGAAAGATAAGACATATATATATATATATATATATATATTGTTATAATCATATACAAAGTTACATGCATTGTTACCTTGAGATATAATAAATTTGAAATCTTGGTAATGCTCAACAATTGTTTGTCTTCTTGTAATTCTTGCCAAGCCTAAACTTGGACAGATAGTGTTAATGTTTGGGTTGATGCAGGCCAGACAACAAAAAGTTGGAGAGAAGCCGCTTCTCTCGGTTTCCACATTTGTGCAGGTACGAATTCTTTCTAACATTGTGAATACTGCATTTTAATTTTGGTTTATAGGAGAAGGTAACAGTTGTTATTGTCACATGTCATGCTGAAAGTTTCTTCCATCAAAATCTATTCGATGATAATATACTATATAAGAGTTGCACCAGCAACATCCCTCTTCAATTTGCTCTTTAGTCTTCAACGATTGAATCTACTTATCCAGCTCTTTGTTAATCCAGAGTGATTAATGAACAAATTATTTCAGAATCAAAAGTGGCTCTAGTTTACGGTCAGGCATGGTTGCTGTTGTCTAAAAGAGACACGTTTCTATCACAATGACCTCCACAAAATTTGAAGGAAGCTTTGCAATAAAAATTGTTTGTTCTTTTATATCCCTTCCGATCCTCCAAATTAATCCCAAGGATACATATAACTTAGAAGAATATGAATGAGTTATAATTGTGCATCATATATCTACTATTCATGGATGCGACTTATGAGATCTCCTAAATGGGGCAGAAAATGTACAACACAAAGAATTTAACCATTAACAATTTCAAATGTAGATACTAGATACTGTGTCATCATATTCGTGTATTATGTGTGTTTATGAAGAATAGATTAGATGGAGTTATCGATTATGATGGACTTGGTAGCTCTGGGAAATGTTGTGTTTCTTGCCAAGGTAGATTTAATTTCATTACTTGTATTTGATTTAGTTTTCTTGTTTATGGGTGTTGGAGCCTTACACGCATACAAGGTGACTCAATCGTTGATTTCCAGAAATTGTCCTGCCTCGTGATTTGAGCCACTGGCTGCAACCCTTGGTTATAAAACTAAGTCTAAAATTTGAGTAGGCCTATAAATTTGTTGTTCTTGATGGTCCTCAACTAGGATTGTGTGGATAAATTCAATAAAATATTTACCATACCCCATATGGATCATCTCGTGGTCATAGCCTGTTAACTTTGTGAAGGCTTCAATATTAATGTTGATTGTTTTATGGAGTTCAGCGTCGTCTTTGCTTTCATGATATTTTCATTTTTGAACTTTGAGTGCTTCATTTTTTGCCACTTGATGGGGAATTGTGTATCATGATTGGGTTCCTGGCCTCAAACAACTTTTTTTTGTTTGGTTTTTGTGCTATGCTGATTCTCACTAATCAAGAGGGTGGCTTGCTTTTGTATTTATCTAAGGTTTCATGTTAGGAGATGTATTATTTGTCTATGATAAGGCCAATGATTAATGGCCTTTAATCTGATAATATCATTTTCCACTTCCTGCAGGCCGCTCGCAACAATGTGCTTCTTGCTGTTCCAGCACTTCTGTATGCTATCAATAACTATCTAAAGTTCATCATGCAGGTATACATCTTTTGATAGGTTAAAAGTAACTTTTTTAGAAGAGTCTAGGATCATAATTTACAACTTTGCACTTAAAAGTAACTTCTTTAAGATTTATCAGGAACCATTTATATTATATGTGTATATATATAGACACAACAACACCAACCAAATAGTCGGGGTTGGCTACATGAATCATATGTTCCATTCCGCTCTATGTAACGCCATGTCTTGATTGAAAGTTTATTACTTTTCATGTGGGTGTTCTATTTGTTTGTGTCACAAACTATTTAATAACAATTCTCAATGCAGCTATATTTCAATCCTGCAACTGTGAAGATGCTGAGCAATTTGAAGGTACATTGCTTTTTGCCTTATTCTTAATGGTGAATTGGTGATTGCATGGTTTGTTTTTCTTTTGGATTTCTTATTCCTCTCATGCGTAGTGATGCTTGCAGTCTTGGTTTCTTGTTGTATGATTGTATCATGACTTATAAAAAGCACCACCAAGAATATTAATTGACGCTCACTGAACTTTACAATCTTTTTTGGAATTCCTACAAAATTTTGCGGCTAACTTGGTGCAAGTTGCTACTGATTTGGCAAAAACATGGGCGTTTAGCTTTTTGCTTATTGCTTTGCTATTGTCACAGGATAAACTCTGAATCAACAGGACCATACTTACACGTACTCAATCATTGCTAGAACAGCATATTTCCTGAAAAAGAGAGGAATTATATGTTAGGCTACATTTATTTTTGTTTTCTTAGACATCAAGATTTTTATAAAAATCTATTAGAGCCAGTTTCTCCCAAAATACTTTACGGAGGGAAGTTAGATATAGGAAGGAGAACTTCCTTGCTTCTGTGGTGTTCTTGAATTAATTGGACTGGAATTTATTTGAACATTAATTTTTTGCTTCACAGACCACAAATAAATTTCATTTTTAGGACTTTATTCAGGGTGTGTGAGGCACAGGCATGTGCCTGACAAAGTAACTTCAAATGACGATGACATTTGTCATAGACATGTGTGCCCAAAGTGGTGTTTGGCCAGCTTTAATCAGGGTGTGTGAGGCACAGGCATGTGCCTGACAAAGTAACTTCGAATGATGATGGAATTTGTCATAGACTTGTGCTCAAAGTGGTGTTTGGCCAGCTTTAAATTGTCTTCAACAAATAAAAAAAAATGCTTAAATAGCAGTATCACTGTTACGTAGCTTACAAATAGAAATGTGGTAGAAATTATCTTGTAATGACAGTATTGGGGTTATTCTTGCTAACTGTTACCTGTGGAAACGTAGGTTTTGGTGATCGCAGTGTTATTGAAGATAATTATGAGACGTCGATTTTCTATAATTCAGGTTTGTTTATATTTTAAAGAGTCTTATTTATTCAGCTTGGGTATGCAAGTATAAATAGAAACTCTCCATGTGAAATTCTTTAATGGATCACATATTCTCACCACTTTGATTTCATACTTATTTATACATTAGTAGTGGCACACACATACGATGGGTGCAATTTCTCAAATGAAAATACAATTTTGAAAAATGATTAACTGATTTTGTCACCCAAATATATGGATTAAAAATAATTCATTTGGGTCCTAATTCTTCTATTACATGTAAATTGAGCTTATTATCATTATAAAACAAACTTCATTTTCGCTAACTAATTATGTTTGGTCATAATTTATTTGGAATATAGAAGCTTGTTTGGGGTGATAAGAAATCACCAAACTCCCAAAAGTTGTTAAAATAAAATGTTTGATGAGGCTAGCATGATTAATCAACTGTCCTGTTTTCTTTAAAACAACAAAATTAAATTTACTTTCATAGCCTGAAATTTGTCATACGTATATAAAATTGTTATATATAAAATTTTGGGAGATAAATTTTGAGGCCAGGTCCAAAGACTTTTCTTTTCTACTTTATGTATACATGTGCAATTTTGACGAGTTATTTTGTTACAGTGGGAGGCTCTTGCGCTATTGCTCATTGGGATTAGCATAAATCAAATGCGTTCCTTGCCAGAAGGTACAACTGCTTTAGGTCTTCCAGTTGCAACGGGCGCATACGTCTATACATTGATTTTTGTAAGTGATTTAAGGAATTTGCTGGCTATGCATTCCTTCTGTTCGGAATTGATCTTTTTTGTGTTATGATTCTGTCATCTTATGGAAGTTTTTGTTTGGAGGCTTACTTTAGGATTCAATATATAGGTGACTGTTCCTTCTCTGGCCTCAGTCTACAATGAATATGCTCTCAAGAGCCAATACGACACAAGCATCTATCTTCAGGTGATTCAACAACATGAGTTTGATTGCCTTTTATGTTGTGTAATGGAATATTTGAGTTTGGTTGCATTATTGCATCACATTTTAATTGGAGATAAAAACATACGCAAAAATAAAATAAAATAAATTGGAGATAAAATTCATCGGAATTTCTTTACTTGTTATTCTGGAGTTATTCATGAAGTTGAAGTTATCTTTGCTTTGAAGGAAACAAAAAAAAAAAAACTTTATTTCTGGGAGAATGTATAGTATCAATGATTCCAGTTATCCAGAAGGAAAGAAAACTGGAGGTTTTTGGCTTCTTTATTCTCTGTTGTTTATTAGAATTTGTCTCCTAGAATTTCAGGTGATTGGCCTCAAGGAAAACTTCACATGGAGGGTGTAGGACCAATCACCCAAAAAATGATGCATGCTCAGAATTGATTTCTGGATCAATCTGCCTTAAATTGAATCTGAAGCATGCATTAATTATGAAAATCTGTTTACCCTGTGTTCCCTGTTAGTAAGAGTGCTGAGAGGGGCGGAGTGAATAAAACTAATCTTTGGCATTATTGGCATAAATTCATTCGAACCTGCGTTCTCAGGCTTGTTAGCTCGACCTTTTTCCAGTGCACCAAACGATGGCGCCGTACCATTTCATTAAATACATCCTTTGAGATTCCCTCTCCACATTTTTGTTTACTCATACTTCCTTACTATTGCAAGTTTTGATTTTTTTTTTTTTTTTTTTTTTTTAACAAAAAAGGTCATCTTAAGTAATAAATTGTGTCTTCTGTATTTGACTACAATCGTTTGCTTTGCAGAACTTGTTTTTATATGGATATGGTGCTATATTCAACTTTTTAGGCATTCTTGGAACTGCCGTTTTCAAAGGTATGGACATGAACTTTGTTGTTCAATTCTGTCAATTGGTGTTGTAGAATGTTGCTATAGTTGTATTGGTGTCAAGTGTTTGTTAGAGGATACCTGAGCCTTTTTTCAATATAAGTTTGATGTGCTTTAATTGTCTTTACACATTTGCTTTCATACAGTTCATCTCAAACTCAATTAACTGATGTTTGAGGCAGCGTTCTGTTTTACCCAGTCCAATTACTTGCCATAATTGGGGTGTAATGGGTTTGATGTTTCATTGTACTTTGAATGCCAAGTGTTTGACAGAGGATATCTGAGTTTATTTTTTCAATCTTTCTTACAGTAAGTTATAGTTGTTTCACAAGTTTACTTTCAGAGAGTCCATCTCTAACTCGATCAGGTCCATGTCTGAAGCAGCTTTCTGTTTCGTTTAGTCCACTACTTGCCATTATTGGTATCCAATAGTTTTAATTTCACCATTTGAAGATTAATGAGCATAGAAACTGATCATAAGCAGAACTGTGTATTTAGCGCTGCTCAACTTGCTGCCCCTCGTGCTTCCTAGCTGTTATTGAGGTGGAGAAGTTTGAACAGAAACAATTGGTTCCCGTCTCTGTGCTAAATATGCTTTATGACTTTATGTTTAAAATATTTTGGGCTTGTACTTAAAATATTTCTACTATGCTATTGAGTAAATGATTCATGTAGCCGGCCCCAAGTAGTTGGCAAAAAGGCTTGATTGTTGTTGCTATTGAGTAAATTTTTTGGTTGAACAAATGAATGCTTGTTACAATGAAATTCCAGAACACTTGGGAGTATCCTTGTCCCTAACAAACTAAATTTCAGTTGTTTTGTTTTAAACCATCTTAATTCCTGTCATCTGTTGTTTATTAAAATGAAGGAGTATTAAGTGGGTACATGAGCTCATACTTGAATAATTCAGGACAAATCAATTTCTGTAGAATACTCGAAGATACCTTTAGATAATGATTATTTGCTCTTGGACCATGTGATGTGTAGATCAAGCTTTTGAGTTGTTGCCTTAATTTGTTATCTTAAATGTTTCAGGTCCCAGTAGCTTTGATATCTTGGAAGGACATTCAAAAGCTACCATGCTTCTTATATTTAACAATGCAGCTCAAGGAATTCTATCCTCTTTTTTCTTCAAATATGCTGGTTAGATTATTTTTCTCACTAATAATAGATTTTCTATATTGCACCAAGTATTGTGGATTTTTCTGCACATGGAAAGCTTCATACAGAAAATAATTTGTTATTGCTCGAGTTAATATATATATATATATATATATATATATATATATATATATATATATATATTTGTATGTATGTATAATGTATTTGTATGTGTTACAACTGAGTAATTTAGCTTTGTTGCACCTCATACTTATCTGAGGCTTGTTTGATGTCATCAGATACAATATTGAAGAAGTATTCGTCAACTGTTGCAACGATATTTACAGGCATAGCATCTGCTGCACTATTTGGTCACACTCTGACCATAAACTTTATTTTAGGAATTTCTGTTGTTTTCATCTCAATGCACCAGGTACTACAAGAAAAAGACATGTACTTGTGATGCTTATCATTTTGTTTTAGAAATTACCTTGTGCTTCATTTTTCATTTTCAGTTCTTTTCACCTCTTTCAAAAGTCAAGGATGAACACCAAACTGGTGTGCTGGAGCAATTGGATGTTCAGAATAAAAACAGGTACTTGCTTGTCTTTTCATCCGTCAAGTTTTGGCATGCCTCTCACGTGGAGCACAGTTATAGTGAGTTTAATTGGGGGATTCGCCTGGTGGTGCACACTTTGTTCCAGCGTCCGTCAAGTTTCTTGTTTTCAGTTTCCAGCATTTGTCTTTGGAGTTTGTATTGTAACTGTTCTTCCAAAAATTGAAGTCCGGTTATGCTTTTCGATTTCAGTTACAAATGTTTTATCTTTTTCAGATCAAGAGATTCATCCTTCATAGACATGGCAGCGGGAGCAAATGAGGAGGTGCATATCCTTGGCAGCTTCTCTTCTAGATGCAATTAATTGCCATTCCATACCTTCTAACTGAACTTACCAATTGTTTCCTTTCCAATTTTTACAAATTTTCCAGGCTAGTCATCGCGTAGAGAATGATGAAAGACGGCCACTTCTTCCTACCTAAAGTTACTTGTGAGTAATTTATTGAAACTATAATGTTGTTGGCTTGTGTTTGTATCACTAAAGATAATTAAAACTTCATTGTGGGTCTTCTCCGCCTCCTCTCTCTCTCTAATAAATACGAACCAGCTTATAGGTAAGGCATGTCAGTGATAAGATCACATGCTTGTGTTTGAATCTTCTAAAAAGGTTGAAGGCCATCTTCAACCCCATCCACACTTGCATAGGAAAGTTGGATTTAGTAACACTTGACAAGAAATTATTCTGGATAACCCATTCCAAACACACTCCTTCATCTTGAATGAAATTACTACTTAAAGGTACTCAGCTAATACCCAACCTCATAAAGAGTTGTCAAAGATTACAAGTTCTACTCTTTTTATATAGTTGGTCCAACTAAGCATCTTCACTTTTGTAACATCCGTTCACGATGCTTAGGCTTATGTAGGTGCACTGGATCATAATTCGGTTTCCCTTGCTTTAAACCATGTTCCTTTTCAAAGTGACCAAGCATATTATTCAACCATAGAATCATAATTTTTTTATGGAATTTTCTCTCAATTTTGTTTTGCATATGATAACACCTGATAAGATAGCTTTGCTTTAGCTGTCCATTTGTAATTCCTTGGCATCCTCTTTAATCTCTCTTTTCTTTTTGATAATCAAAATAAAGTATTCAAACACATTAGGGCTGTTAATGCGGATGCATACTGAAAATGAGATTGAATCCTATATATGATGTTGCTGTCTCTTAAATGTGCCAACAAACCAAAATGGAAATGATGTATAAATTTTGATATATTGCAGTTTGGAATATACATTAAAGACCCATTCACTGATCCAGCGTAAACCATTCCTTGAAAACATTCGCTCTGGATTCTTTTTACCTTTTGAAAATGACACGCTCTTCTCCATTGTTGTATGACCTAGCTAGATGTTTTCAGATTACTCATAGCACCATTGTGTATATTTCAAGATTCTAATATCAAATTCTCTTGGTTGTAGGAATTCTTTTGGCTGGACTTATGGGAGGATTTAAGTAGATAAGCCAGTTTTGAGAATCATCGAATGAAATAAAACTAAACAGGAATTCTTTTTTCTTCTGCGGATTCCCTTCCCTTCATGCGCTGCGGGACTCCCTTATTTGGTGCACAGAGCCTTCTCTCAAATTGATGTATAGACCAACAAGCGACCTGCGTTTCTGCTAGTGAAAGAGTTTCAGATAGAAAATAGAAATGAGAGTTTGTTCGTAAATTTGTAATGCCTTGTTGTAAGTTTTAAATTGTGCGCCTTACAATTAGAACCAGTTAAATTTAAGTTACCTTTTTTACCCCTGAAATATCATTTTTGTTATCCAAATATATAATGAAATTTTTTTTTTTAAGTTACCTTTTTTACCCCTGAAATATCATTTTTGTTATCCAAATATATAATGAAAAAAATTAGATTTTTTTTTTACATTTGAGTATACTTTGATATTGAGATTACTGTCAAGAAAAGGGCACCTGCCACCCTTCTATCATTTTTCTTTTTCCAGATTCCTATTCAACTTTGAATTATGTTAAATTGTTATGTTCTATTCATTCAATGCTATTAAACAATTCTTGTATTCTAAATGGTGATAAATTACATGTTTCCTTTCTTTTTCTTTTTTCTCTCCTTCTTATTCTCTCTCAAATTTTTTATTTTCTGCTTCTGGTCAATAAAGAGAGAGTGAAATGAAACACGAGGGAAATGGGAACATTTCCAGGAAAGGACAATGAAAAAAAAAAAAAGAAAAAAGAAAAAAAAGAAGAAGGCAAAGTTGAGATGAATTGGGTAAGTTAGGTATTTTATGCTTTAATTGAATGGTTTTCCTCTCAAGCTTGATCACTTTTATATCTAATTTTCAACCAATGATTTTTTTTTCTTTTTTCAAGTAAGAAGATTTAGTAGTTAGATTAATAGACGCAAAGAGTCAAAGCCTAGTACGTCAAAATTTATCGGACACATTAACCTACTGAACTATCAAAACATCTGTAACCAATGATGTGTTTATCATTAATATTAATTGTTTGTGGAATTAAAGTTTTTTTATGAAGTATTCAAAGAAGATGGTATTAACTAATATAGCGTCCTCATATAATTTGAGAATGATGTTTTAACTTTTAAGGCACATAAACCCCTCCACTTTATGTACTATATAAATCACACCATAATTTTGATATTGACATCTTTAATTTATGTAGTGGGGACTTCAAATTATAGGTTGTCTTTAGACTCTTTACTCTAACTTGTAATACTTTCTTCCTTCCTTCCTTCCACGAGGCAATTAATTTAAATAGACATTTGAAAATGGTCTTTGCTTCTCACACTCGTGATATAAAAAAATTGCATGCTTGGTTAGACGAAACAAAAATTAAAAAAATCTCATTTTAATCATATATTGTTGAATTCGTAGATATCCTTCTTACTAGAGTTGTGGTTTGTTAGATATTATGGAGGCAATTAATAAATTATTGTGATCAATAAAAATAATTTATGCCAGAAATCTATACCGTACATACTTATATTATGTTTGGAAATTTGAATTAAAAAAAATTATTTTAACTTTTGAACTAAATTTTCTTCAATTTCATTCTAAGAAATTAATTTCATACAACTAAACATAAAATTGTCATTTTTTGTTATCCTATAGGGTTAGGGTTTGATCATAAAATCAAGGACCTTACAAGAATTAAGTCGTGATTATTATCTTGTGTTGTGGCAACCTAAAATTATCAAAAAATTCCAAGCCATTCTAGTTTACGGTAGTTTAAAACTCATAATCATGACTATAATACAAAATCAACCCAATAATAATAATAAAAAAAATAGGTGTTTTATAATTATTTTTTTTTGGCACGCACTGATGAAGTGCATCAACAATTTGTGTTTAGTGTAACAAAAGTTCACAAGGAACCTAGAACAAAAAAAAAAAAAAAAAAAAAAAAAATTACAAATAATCTGATAATATATTAATAATTTAATGCTGATATGTAGTACATGTATTTATAAATAAAAAAATCCTAACAACATTAAAAATAAAAACACCCTAAAAAAGTAAAAAACACCCTAACAACATAAAGGAAATTGCAAAAATGTAAGAAAACTTGCCGGGCAAAAAAAAACAAATTTACTTTGAAAATTCTATAAAAATAAGAAAAGAAACCTAATTACTAAAAACTGCTAAATACCAAAAAGGAAAGCAAATCGAATTTATTTAGTTTTCTAATGAAAATTCCTAAATATTTAAAATTGTAAAAAATGCAATTCCTAACCTTAAACGATTGAATTCGACCAAAAAATGCCCACCTTGACAGCAAAACTGCCAATATTTGGGAGTAAGCAGCCACAGAATTTCCCCTCCAACAAATAATAAATAAATTACTCCGCTAGAATAAATTTCTTATTTTTTCAATCGGCCATTATGTAATATTTTAATATTTAGGAGTTTTATGAGACCTCTAACTGTTTACTCAAGAGCAGTGTCGGTCCAGTCTATATAATAATGAAATATAAAAAATAGAGATGGTTACCTAGTACCTACCAAAAAAAAAAAAGCAAAGGGATGGAGATAGATGTAAGCCTTGATGTTATTTTGTACCATACAATATAACTGCAAGCATATATAAAATGAAAAATCATAAACTTAATAATGGCGATTAATACGTCTATTATTGATTGAGATAAACACTAAAGAGAGAGATATTAATTTCAAATAATTATATTTCTTATACTAATTAAAATTAATATAAAGTTGGTTTCATATTAGGCTATTATAAGATTTCCATATAAACATTAACTTCAAATAATTATACTTTCTAGTTTTGAGTCCTCTATTATCAATTACGTATTAATTTTTTTTTTTGGTTACAGAAGGGGTGAGCCTTTACGTATATATTATATATACACAGTTGTATATATAATATATATGTGTCTCTGTGTCATATACTCATAGTTGTCGGTGGCGAGGGGCTTGGCTGGTGGGTCAGCCCATCAAGTTCAGTAGTTGCTTGATTCCAAATCCAGCCTGTTAACGCTTAAACCTCGAACACTTTATACCCAAGCAAACGCTATATCAGCCGTTGATTTTCTTATTTTTCATTATTGTTTTATTTTTTTTCTCTGAAAGAGAGACTCGATCTAACGCTCTCTTTCAATTGCTCACTCCTTTGTCTGGTGTGTCTCTCTCTTGCACATAAAGGAATAATAATACTCTCTCTCTAAGCAAGAGGTCGGTAATTGACCCTTTAGCAATCATCCTCAACACCACAGATCTCAACTCTCCAGTAAGTTACACCTTCACTTTCTTTCCATTTCAATTTCATTCAATCTACAATCTATTTCTCTCTCTCTATAATAAATTACCAGATCCTATCAATACCCATTACAACTCTCTACCTCTTCTCTTCTGGGTTCATTTGATTTCTGTCCATAAACTAGAATTCAAGCTCTGAAACCCTCTTTTTGCAGGTAAAAATGGAAACAAAATGGTGGGTTTTGGCAATTGTGGTGGCAATGCTAATGGGTGTTTCCAATGGAGATTTGTCTACGCCGGCACTGGTGAAGAAGGTGAAGGGGAAGACGGTGTGTGACAGGGGTTGGGAGTGCAAGGGTTGGTCCCAGTACTGCTGCAACGAAACCATCAGTGACTATTTCCAGACCTATCAGTTTGAGGATCTCTTCTCCAAGAGGAATACGCCGGTGGCACACGCCGTCGGATTCTGGGACTACCACTCTTTCATCACCGCCGCCGCAGTATATCAGCCTCATGGGTTCGGCACCACCGGCAACAAGACCTCGCGGATGAAGGAGGTCGCCGCCTTCCTCGGCCATGTCGGCAGCAAAACTTCCTGTAAGTCAATTTATTGTATTTAATTGTGTCATGGTTGGTTGCTGAGAAAATGCTGGGGAAAATCCTTGATTTTAAGGAAAAGAGAAATGGGGACCTAAGTGAATCTAATTTCTCAGTTGATCTGACTTGATTAATTGATTTGTTTTTTTTTTTTTTTTTGGATTTCTTTTTCTCGGTTTTCTTTCAATCAAATAGGATTGATGCTCAGTGTTGAATCTGTTTTTTGACTATGAATTTCAATGTTTTGCTTTTGATAGGATTTCAATCAGCTTATTCGAAAACGAATTTGGTTAAATGAGTTGGTTTGTGATGATGTGATGTAACATGAGACTTAACCATTGTTTTCTCGGACTAATTGAATTGGATTCAGATAGAACTAACCCAAATTTTAGTTAATTATTGATGGAAACTGCCAAAGAACTGATTTTTAAATGAAATTTGAATATCTGAGTTTTGAGTGTATTGGGGTTTCTCCCTTTCAGCTGATATTTTCATCATAATTGTGTGATAGTGAATTAAAAGATTTGAGTTTGTATTAAGTTATATTGAATCAGTTCGGAAGTGATCTATTACTTAATTCTAATCCAAGGTATGATAAAATTAGTTTATTGCAGATTTTGAAAGCTTATTTCGGTCTAGGATTGTATTGACTCATAGTGGAAGCATTTGGAGAATTTCATTCAATCTTCTTGTTTTCATTTAATTATGTATATGGAATTGGATTGTATCATGATGATAACAATAAATGATGCAGGTGGTTATGGAGTGGCCACTGGAGGACCAACAGCTTGGGGCCTCTGCTACAACAAAGAAATGAGTCCCAGTCAATCATACTGTGATGACTCTTACAAATACACCTATCCCTGTTCTCCTGGAGCTGAATACTATGGTCGCGGTGCTTTGCCTATCTACTGGTATATATCTTACGTCTCTCCGTTGCCATGGTCTTTTTAATAATTTCGGTGGATAATTAAGGTTCTTTTTTTAAGTAAGAATAAAATCTGGAATAGTTTCTATTAACTTGTATATAGTCCTTTTAAATACTTCATTTGAACTGATTCTGTTCTAATATTTTGTTTGATTACATGTGCTAGAACTGATTTTTTTAATAGTCTTTCTGGAAAAACATTTGTTATAGGCCATAGAACTTCCTAGGGATTTCTTCGTTTTGTAGCTCCTAAATACAGAACTCTTGAGGATGTTTTTGTCGATTATTTATATCATAACAGGAACTACAACTACGGAGCTGCCGGGGAAGCCTTGAAGGCGGATCTGTTGAACCATCCTGAATATATTGAACAGAATGCCACCTTAGCCTTCCAGGCTGCAATTTGGAGGTGGATGACCCCTGTCAAGAAAGCACAGCCTTCAGCCCATGATATCTTTGTTGGCAACTGGAAGCCCACCAAGAATGATACTTTGGCAAAGCGGGCTCCTGGATTTGGTTCCACCATGAACGTCCTTTATGGGGACGGTGTTTGTGGCCAGGGTGATGTTGACTCCATGAACAACATCATCACCCATTACCTATATTATCTTGACTTGATGGGAGCTACACGAGAGGACGCAGGACCCCATGAAGGACTCACCTGTGCCGAGCAGAAAGCTTTCAACCCAACTTCTACCACCACATCTGCAACTTCTTGAGCTTTGCGTGAGTTTGCTACATATTGTTGCTGCTGTGGATTGATGATCCTCGCCAAGGAAGAACCATAAATAAGAGGAACAAGTAAGATGTTGCTATGAGATCTCTCATATTCAATTTTAGCCGTGTGAAGCACAGTTACTCTGGAGAATCATAAGTTGTGAATTGATTTACTGTTGGTTTTCATATTGTTGTTTTGTAGATTTTGAAAATTCATTCTGTTCCTATAAACTGTGTATCATGTAGTTATGAAATTTGCAGTACTGTATGAACCATGTTATTGCTATACATGTATGTGTTCCAACAATGCCACAAAGTGACTGCTATAGCTCGCTCTGTGTGTGTGTGTGTGTGATACACACACACATCATGACGAAATCAATTCTCACTAAGCCCAATCACTCAGCCCTTTTTTCTTTGGGACATCAATTTCTTCCCATGCATGTTCTGCTGCTCATCATCAATTTGGCATCCTATAAATCAAACTGTTTCCAAACTCGCAAGTCTGACTGCGACCATGTTATTGCTATACATGTATGTGTTCCAAAAATACCACCAAGTGACTGTTATAGCTCCCTCCCTCTCTCTCTCTATATATATATCTCACACACACACATATCATCACGAAATCAATTCTTACTAACATGCAGCCCTTTTTTCTTTGCTATACACGTGTTCCAAAAATGACACCAAGTGACTGTTATAGCGCTCTCTCTGTCTCTGTCTCTGTCTCTGTCTCTCTCTCTCTATATATATATATCACACACGCACATATCATCACGAAATCAATTCTCACTGACATGCAGCCCTTTTTCTTTGGGACATCAATTTCTTCCCATGCATGTTCTGCTGCTCATCATCATTTTGGCATCCTATAAATCAAACTATTTCCAAACTCGCAAATCTGACTGCAACCCAAACTCCGATCAACATAACCCAGGCATGACAATTACAGAGGGCCTGTATGATTCACGACCATCATGAAGTTTTTTACTCGCAAGAGTGCATTTGGCCCATTTCAAAGCCAAACCTCCTCTGCTAAGAAATCATAATCTCTACAGTGAAGGGACAAAATAGTTGGTCGAGAGCTGCAATACCTCACAAGCCTTGCACTAAATCAATTATTATAGAGCTACTTGCTTGATTCAACTCTCCTCACCTGAGTACCCAACCAGTGGGTTTTCAAAGCTTCAGGGCAAATTTCATTAACATATTAGCACCCCCTCGATTGAAATACACAAGAACTCGTGCGTTACTCAAATAGAAATGCAGTTATTTTCAATACTAAAAAGCCAACTTTGATAGCTTTTACCACAATTTCAATTGTGCGTTCTTAAAGATTGTTGTTTTTGAATTCTGAAATAAAAACCAAATCCACGAGAAGTTTGCAGAACCAAATGCACGATATTCAACATACAGACCCTAAATAATCAAACTTTCAAGATGCCAACTGGAATTACAGTCTGAATTTCCATAATCAAACCCGTACCAGTAAATCTCCATTCATTCTTTATAAATCAGTTAAAATTTCACTTTGAATTACCTAGAAGTTATGACAATACTCATATTATTTCCTATCATAGCCGAGTTTGGATTTCATTTCATTGCCATAGCAGAGCCTGTAACCAGACGAAGCACCATGACTTAACGCCCCGGATCAGGCGTGTGAAGATAGATCAGTGTTGTATACAATGCACAGTGACCAACTTGCTCAGGCTCATTAACAACCAACCTGACATGAACTGAGCTTAAAAAGAAGATTTGAGTTGTAGAGAAGCTTGTGCTTCAGCAAACTGCTTTCATCACCCAATGCTAAAGCTAGGCAAGACACTTCCGCACTTCAATGTTTAAACAGCAATAATACAAGGAAGGCCTATTGTTTAATTATAAAAATTGGAAACAATAAGAAAGCAAAACAGACGCTTGAACAAATACATCACACATCCCAATCAGCAACAACTTCGACAAACAGGAGACATCGAGAGGACCGATTCAGACCTACACGACTGAATCCCAAATGCCAAAGAAAAAAAAATTTGAAAAAAAAAATGTGTCTAGATTGTAAAACAAAATCCACCAATGAAAGAACCCAAATTCTGTGAAAAATGCAGGAAATTCAACACGGGGGCTACTGAATTTATTTGCCTTAGGTCTCGGGAGCTGGGGCAGGAGGCTTCAGAAGTGGTTGGAGAGCCTTGACAACAATGCTCATATTTGGCCTGAACTCAGACTCATACTGCACGCATAGTGCTGCCACAGCAGCCAGCTGCATCACAAATGAAAACCGCATTGTTAGCTGCTACCTCTTATGTGCAAATATGCGTTGTGTGTGTGTGTGAAAAAGAGAGAGAGACCTTAGCGATTCCTTTTGGAGGATAATCTCCCTTGAGCTTTGGATCTACACATTGTTTAACTTTGTCTTCACTTAGTCTTGGAGTGGCCTAGAAAGGGAAAAATGCATTTATTTCAGCATCTAAATTTTATACAGTAAGTAATGCTAGCTTAGAATAATAAAGGAACGGGGAGAGAGAGAGAGAGAGAGAGAGCAGGCATAATAACTCACCCAAGTAACAAGACTTTGCTGTCCACGAGGCATAGTATGGTCGACAGGTTTCCTCCCAGTCAGAAGCTCCAGCAGAACAACCCCAAAGCTGTAGACATCGCTCTTCTGTGTCAGTTGTCCAGTCATCGCATATCTGCATGAGGGTTTACACACCAAATTAAACAAAAGATACTTCACTAGTAATCGAAAAGACACTATATGTTGAAATTCTTTAGTTGGTTTAAAAAAAAAAAAAGTACCAAGGGCCTAACCCAAGTGGTATCTCCTCTTTCCACATGGGAGGTTGAGGGTTCAAGTTCTGATAAGGACACTAGAGGGTGTGTGTATCTTGCCTATAAAAGAAGGGTTTAAAAGGAAAAGTGACTTCAAACAGGTAAAAGAAACAACTCATACACACTATACGTGGAAATTTGATTTATGACAAACTCAAAAACTGCAATGACAGTTATTTCTCAGAAATGCAGAAAATCGTTCAAAGAAGCTTAATAGGTGCAGCTCAGCGTTTTAAGCATAGTCGTTTCCCGAAATCACGTTAAAGCAGCATTACGTTGACCTCAATTCAATTTTGAATTATAAAAGGACAACCTAAAACACTTTCGGCAAAGACTTCTACAATCAAGTGTTCCAAAACCTAACCAAGTGGCATTAGTCCAGATGGGATCAGCTCTCCTCCCCAAATGGAAGGTTGAGTGTTTGTTTCCTGTTAGGGGCAATACTGTGAGTGTGGGTGCATTTGCTCGAACTTTCGGGGAAAAAAATTCTACACACAATACAACTCCTATGGGGAAAGAAACACACACAACATACACACACTACCCTCAACAAAGCCTTTTTCCAAATATTTGGATTTTCATACACAAACCCGAATTTGTCATTCCGCTCTAATTAATGTCATGACCTCAATCAACCCACATATTATTTAATCTTACTTGCTATCTCAACCCACCCATGTTAGTTTTGGTCATCCTCTTCATTTAGCATTGCCTCAATGTGGAACACATCACTCTTAGGCGAAACTACCTTATTTACTTTTTTTTCCCCTCATTCTTCTCCAATTAATGACTTCAACCATCATCTCACTAGTTCATTTCAAATTTGATCCTTTTTGTCTTGTAACATATCTATAAAAAAATAAAAATAAATAAATAAAATAACAGGAAGAAAGCGGAAAAAAGTGTGAAATAGCATCCCATAAGTGAAAACTTCATTGCAAGTGAAAATTTTCTCATTCTCCAACGCTAATTTTTTGCTGTCCTATTTTTCATGAAAGTTGTAATTCTCTTGTAAATTTTAACTAACATCAACATGATGCTAATCCCTTAGAAGTTCTCCTATTGTCAGGTAATCACTAGACCAGACATATTTAAGTGAACTAATTACACCTGTCTCATTCCTAGTAGCCATTCTGGTCAGGGAAAATCATAGAGACCCGAGTTACATGTAATATTGGTCAAGGGTCAACCAACCATGGTGCTTTTAAATTTACAAAATCATTGGCTTTGAGCTTAAAAAATTAATGCAATAAATAATAAATAAAAGACAGTTAGTCAATCTTTAAGATTGGGCCATAACATATAATCAATACAAGACATTGTGTCTTCATCTGATGGTTGGAAGTCAATAGCTATTGCGTGAAGAGAGCTGGTGAAAGAAATTAGGATCCTCTGGAGGTTTAATCTAGTAATACTAGTAACCTCGTCATGGGTAACAAGATTGGGTTTGTATGAGTGCCTTAAATGAAATGAAAGTAAAACCACAAAACCACAATATAAAGCCACTAGATAATTCAAGCAAAAAATAACTATAGCCACATTTCAGAACTGAGATGGGTTTCAGATGTATTACTCTGGTGCATGATAGCCAAAGGTTCCTAAAACTCGAGTAGAATGAAGGCGAGCAGCCATGTCAGGTGCCTGATTTGAAAGGTTAAAATCTGCAATCTTGGCCTTAAAGTCTTCAAATAGAAGCACATTGCTAGATCTAATATCCCTGTGTATTATAGATGGTTGAACCTTCTCATGCAAATACTCCAGTCCCCTTGCCGCATCAACAGCAATTCTCACACGTTGCATCCAGTCAAGCGCAGGACCTGGTTGTGCCCCTTGGACTCCCTTTCTACCTATGAGGGCAAATATAATTCAAGTAGGTGTTTCTCATTTAACATAAGAGAGCTTTTTAAGTCAACTTTCAATTTACCGTGCAAAATGTCATGCAGAGATCCCATGGTTGCAAACTCGTATGCTAACACACGGAGATTGCCTTCTACACAGTAACCAAGCAATTCAACAAGATTTTCATGCTTGAGTCTTGAAACCATGGAAACCTGAATTGAAAAGGACCAATATAATCAGATATAAAAATACACATATAAAGAATGCGGGAATTATATATTCGAGAAAACTAAGGAGATCAAATACTAAATTTATTTTGTGAAATCATTGGACATACCTGAGACAGAAAATCAACATTTGACTCAGGCTCAGATGAAACATCAAGCTTTTTCACAGCCACGGCCTTTTCATCATTTAAGTTTGCATAGTATACTCTTCCATAGGATCCTTCACCAATCAATGCCTTTGATCCAAAATTATCAGTTTTTTCTTTCAGCTCATCTAAGGACAGTGCAGGAACTTCAATAGGTGGCACTTCCTTTTGAACTTCAGATTTGACAGGATCTGACACCTTTGACCCTTTTCGGTGTCCTAATACATATATTTCAGTAAACAGGATTAGAATAATACAAACAAACAAATAAGACACTGTGAGACGGGTAGACAAAGAAAACTACAATGGGAAAGAGTAACACATAACGAGAAATAGCCAAACGAACTTTACTTATCCAGAAAAAGAAAAAGGATATCAGAAGTTCAATAAAACACCGACTCAATCAGACTATACATGTATTCGGGGTGGAAATGTAGGGAAAGAAACCTACATTATGAAAATACATTTCAAATCCAAAAAATAATACCAATAAGAAATCAGATCATATATTATCTTATTATCATATTCAGAGATCTCTTGATTTTTTCAAAAAACTGATAGTGTAATAACATACAACCGGCCAGTACAATAGGAAATACAGCATCGTTCCATACGATGTGTCAGTGTGTGTTTATACTTGATACATTCAGATTTAGTTCACAGAAACACATATATAAGCCATTTCATTGCATTGATATTGGGAGTGACCATGCCTAAGCCAATATACTCATAAAGAAACATAGCATTAACCCATGTCCACAAACCATGTTTCAGTCTTTGCAAACGATGATCCAAAAATAACATATCCATGTACACAAAGAAGTTTACTTATTTATGGTAGAAATAGAGGTCATCTATGACACATTGAGACAATGTCTTCAAACACACTTTATCCTGTGCATCAAACCCATTCAGCCCAGGCCATGGCCTTTCAATAACACTAAATTGGAAGCTTAAAAATCCAAACAAAAGAAACTGAAATTAAGATCTTATGGGGTTAATTGCCTGACTTGGCAAGGATACAACAAATTCAATTTTTCTTCCATCTTGTATTTTGTAAATTTTCACAAGGAGAGCTTCCCCACTTGTTATCTTGTTATATTTGTCTTGTAACTTCTTTTCCTTCAATATTTTATTATTTCTCAACATTTAGCCAACATCATCAATTCATAACTCACTACCCTCAGCCTCGTTGGCCAATCAAGTTGATCCGGTATAGATTGAGAGAGCATTCGAATTTAGATTTCATATACAGCTATTTCTGGTACAACATAAAATAGTACGAAACAGTTGAAAAAATAATTTCAAGTTGATGAGTTATACTAGATTTTTTTTTTTTTTAAAAAAATGAAAATTTAAGGATACAGCTTAAACTAGCTATAAAACAGTTAGTGTGAAATATTTCCTATAAAATAGTAAAAGAAACCAAAAAGATAAATTTTGTTAAGATTGGGTATCATTAATTAAGTATGCTTAATGCCACGAGGCCAATTCAAAATCCAAACGGATTAGTCACTTTGTGGGGCTCTCCACACCCACTTAAGAAGCTCAGGATCACCCAATACACAGTCGATGTGGGAATGTGAACACGTTTACACATCCCTGGCCATCTTCCTTGCAGGACCATTGTGCCCTCATAATACCCCACCTCTGTGTGAAACCCACACAACAATTCCTCTGAGTCACATGGTAGTAACCTCGGTCCCACTCTGACACTATAGTCATAGGGCCAGTTCAACACCTAAAGGGAGGGTTCCCCTCACACACTTAAAATAACCCAGGATTACTCAATAAACACCCGATGTGGAATTTAAAACACGTCTACGCGTCTAAGAAGTAAATTAAGTCTCGATAAACCTAGTTATAAATCCATACAGAAAGTAAGCATAAAAGGAACAATATGGATGATACATAAACTGTGATCTGTACAACAATTTATAAAATTCCTGAGGAATTATTTATTTATTGTGGAAATTAATTTTTGCATGGACAATCAACAACTGTAGAAACCACGGAGGGTGTACAATGATGAGAACAAAATGTGCAAACAACTTTAAATCACAGCAAAGGTTTCTTCAAACCAGCAAAAGTAATATAGTTACCATCAACCGATGGTGCACCAAGTATATTTTCTCCATAAAGGGATCTCATATGATATCCCAAAATAAAACTACTCAAACTAACTTGGTCAATGACCTTCAGTCACCAATATATTCTCTCCATTCTAGCATGAAAATTTCCCGCAATACCCATATTAGGTTGACGTAGAATGTTCCAATGCATTTCCTACGTTCTGCACAACAAAAATTAACGAGACAGAAGCCCAACCGTAAACTGTCTCATAATAAACAAGAACATGCATTTCAACATCCTGAAGCCCATAAAACTCAATGATACATATTCTTTTACCTGCCAGCATCTGTGTATGACTACCATATAGATACCACAAGGAAAAATTAAAATTTGAGAAAATAATGATTCCTCCATGCAAACAAGTAGTCTAAAAGATTACTAAAATTGAACTGCAAAGTAGGTACTCTCCCCAATTGTGGATGCATTCACCAACTTCTTGCTAATATACAATAAGTTTGAAAGTTATCCATTCTATAATAAATAATATGTAACACTGGGAAAACGAGCTCTCTGTACATAAATAAGACCAGAAGAAACTTCAAAATATCATCTTACATTGAAAAGTAACAAGCATAACATAAACAACAAACTTCCATTTATTTCCCCCCTACGTAGAAGCCAATAATCCCCTTCAGTATACAGTAACAAGCCTAGTTATTATTTCAAATCCATGAATGGTGTTGAAACAGTTAATTAAAAATAGCAAAGATTTCTGAGTAAACCTGTATTGGTGTTGAAATAGCTATTTCAAAATTATTAAGGTTCCTGAAAAAACCCATCTATGAGATGTTATTACGAATGTAACAGTGTTTGTTGATTAGGAGACCTCAGATTCAAAATTGCCCTTCCAAATCCACTAAAGCAATCAACCCCTTCAGTATACAGTAACAAGCCTAGTTATTATTTCAAATCCATGAATGGTGTTGAAACAGTTAATTAAAAATAGCAAAGATTTCTGGTAAACCGGTATTGGTGTTGAAATAGCTATTTCAAAATTATTAAGGTTCCTGAAAAAACCCATCTATGAGATGTTATTACGAATGTAACAGTGTTTGTTGATTAGGAGACCTCAGATTCAAAATTGCCCTTCCAAATCCACTAAAGCAATCAACCTAATAGAGATAATGTTCCTATATTTATAGCATGACGACTTACTTATAATTTCTCTCTAAGACTTCCCCCATCACATTATCAATTCTGTCATGCCAATCTTAGCATCCAAATCTTCAAAAAACTATGTTTACAACATGAACAACATCATATATTGTCATGTCAACAAGAAACTTCAGAAAATCTCAAATGAACCAAACCATGATTGCCAACAACAAGAAAAGCTTTTTCCCATAATTTTCTTAAACAAATTGCATGATTACATATAAAAATATAGCAATAACAGGAAATAATTTTTATTATTCCGTTGGCAAAATATGATAGAAATGGGATCAAGGAAGCATACCATCAGCATGGTCCTTTGGGCTTTTGAGGTAATCATTTTCATTTGATGGGTATGATTCTTCTACTTGACAAGAACAACATAGCCACCTGCGCATCCTTTCTTTCTTTCTCAAATAAGGAATGCCTTCAGAACCCGTATTCTCCAGACGTACAAAATAGCCAGGAGGAGGCACATGTGCCTGTGTAATTATATTTAAATCAGTAGAACTAAAATGTCCTGCCAAATATCAAAGTGGACATATCATCATAAGTTCATAACCTCATTAATCAATGCCCAATAAATTTCGACAATCACTCCATTTTGCACATCAGAATGTTCTCAAAGCAAAAGTCTTGATAATAGTATGAGTAACTTCTTAGGAAAACAAGTTAAAGGGTTGTCAATAAGCTACAATTATATATATATAAACAAAAGTGAATAAAGCAAACAAACAGCATGAAAACTTCAAGGAGGCATTTGTGCTGACATTTTAGGTCTACCTTACATAATCCAGGTGCACTCACCTCTTCCCACCTTAGAATCATTAGTTCACACACACCTTTAATGTAAAGTCACTGCCAGATACATTAACATGCGAAAATCTAGTTCCTAGAATTGCCGTTACGATCCATATAATAAAAGCTGCATTAAACGCATCCCAAAAATTCAACATGCTATGATATACATATATCTACATATCCATATTTGCAGACACACACACCACTCACACGCCCACAGAAGTTATCACAATCTTTTCCAGGTAAAAGGCAAACCGGAGAAAGTAACATAAAATTTTCAAAATCACACCTTTTGCCTTGTTTTACATAAAATTAACCTCAGAAGATATAACAGTCATTGCAAAATTCTTGAAAACATACAACAATCAGATAATTGAAGAATTCGCAAAAAAATTAAGAGAAACCCCTTAAATTCTCACCACTAAACCACGTCCAAGAAGGCCTTCCTCCATTTGCCCCAAAAAAATAATCAAACAGATTGAAAACAACCCAGAAAGAAATAACCTTTTAATGTAATTCGAACTATGAAATCAGTAAATTCAAGACATGAATTGTGACATAGACCCTCGAATTGCTTGAAAAAAAAGAAGAGAGAATTCAACAGACAGTGATAAGAATTGCAGGAAAGGCGAGTAAAACAGAAAATGTGTGAACTGAGTGGGTTCTAATAACGATCCCCAAGAATTGACAGAAATGTATATGTAAAAGTGGCCCTAGAATGATCAACCGAAAACGAAGGAATACCTGCTTTAGTTTCTCTTCTTCTCTCTATTTGTTTACTTCTTCTCTCTGTATATGATTGGGATCGAGAAATGGGGAGAGACAGATAGGCAAACGGGCAAGCAAGTAACAAAAGAGAGAACTTTAACAGGAACTTTCTCTCTCTTATTTTTCATTTTGTTACATACTAGTATTATATATAGTATGCTGTATTTTCTTCTTCTTCTTTTTTTCTTTTTTTTTTTTTTTTTGGGATAAGCAAGCTATTTTTCAGTTGCAGTCTCTAGAATTACAGTTAAATAAGAGAGAGAAGAGTCATTTGGGAATTTCCTGGCAGTCAAGATATAAAATAAAAAATAAAAAAAAAAAGGAAAAAAAAAAAAGGTAAGGGTTAGCCAAACTTAATGCAAATCTAAACTGATATGCTTTTATGAATTTCACATACTTGTATCTGCAAATGGTGAATATAAAGGAGTGTTAAAGATTGGGTTGGATATATCATCTCAGATCATTGATTTTAGATTAATTATTATTGAATATTTAAGTAATTGTGTTAAAAATATGTATTTTTTGTTTTGTTAACATATGTAAGCAATTGTACCTGACATGCATAAATTTTATTTAATTTTTTAGTTAAGTGTCCAATAATTATACGTCCATACCACATCTAAAAGTTTTTTTAATTTAATTTAATTTTTTTTTTCTTTTTTAACTATGAGCCAACTATATATTGTTTGACATCACCAAATTTCAAAATCATGTAATAATTTTTGAATTGTTAATGGTTAAAAACTCACAATATTTAGTTTTCATGTGTGTGTGTTATGAGAAAAATCATAAAGATATTTCAAACTTTATTATTTTTGTAAAGGCCAAAAGTGAAGGGAACAAAAAATTGATTCTCAAAATGGCAGGTTTACTTTATGTAATTTAAAATAAATTAAATAGGTGTCAAATTCATTGATATAATCCTTGGGAAGCATATTAATGTTGGGTTCATATTGGAGTGGACTCTTGTCTAAGCTGTTACCTTTATATCTGGCATGTCCTTTTCATAAGGGCATATATGATTGACTGTCCCTTTTTATTTTTATATTTAAATTTTAAAAAATGTAGATATATGGCTGACATTCTTTAGCCAAAGGCATGCAAGGTCATACTAGTAATATAAAAAAGTGGGGCCCTTGAGCCACTTTGTAGAATGTAGATGGAAGAGGAATGGCCCGAATGGGGGGTTGGGGTATATATTTGATAGATGGCTCACCTTCTATTATGTCTCATTATAGGCTTTATAGCTGTGGGCCTGCCTTGCTTTCTCCATCCATATATGGGTTGTATGAGGCACATGTGCCATATATTATCAAACGGAAGATTGGGCTTATTCGCTTTTGGTTTGTCATTCTAAAAAATAGTTTAATATTTTGTATGATTATAAATAAAAAATTATACAAAAATTTTGATTGGTTCAATCTTTTTTAAATTCAGGTGTAAAAATGCTGAGGACCTGTTTGTTTTGTAACTCTAAAAATAGTTATCAAAAACTAAGAAGACAGATAACGGTTTTCAGAGAACTATATATGTTTTTTGAAAACAAATCTTTTTATATTTGAATTTTCAGAAGCAATTTTTAGAAAATTGAACCAAATAGAGTTTTTTTTGTACAATTTTTTATTTTTAGTTTTTTTAGAACAGAAAATTGTTTCCATAATTACAAACCAAACAAGTCCTTATTTTCAAAGAACTATAAAAAAATTTATTATTTGATAACAGTTTTTTGTTTTTTGAGTTCTTGAAAACTGTTTTCAGACTTACAAATCAAGTAAGTCTTTGAGTTTTCGAATCATGAAGCAATGTTGTGGATGTGTGTGCCATATATTATTTTTCAAAGGAAGGATTGACATTTCGAGTTTTCAAGTCGTGGAGCAATGTCTGTAACATTTTGCATACCATATAAGATAAGCCCAACAGACATTCACGTAATTCCCAATAAAAACTATATTGAAGCCATTCAAATCCTATTCCAATAATAATGATATATACATAATCCGTCCACAACTTCTTCCTTGCAAATTTTCACAGTATTAATTATGAGCTGTTCATCATTGGATCTTGTTATGTCCAATCCCAAAATGTCGTTGTAGCTCAATAATCTCTTGGTTTTATTGACGGACGATTTTTCAGTGCTTCTCTTTGGCGGGCAGTACAATATCTACCTTCTCAAGCAACACTTTTTTGAGGTTTCAAATCTAATGAAGGTGGAACAACACGTGAATCAAAGCATGGTTCGCACTCTTAATAAAAACTCAATATGTGTAGCTGGACTTTATATTGAAACCCATGGCGAAGAGCACCTAAGGCTGGCCCATTTCAAAGGAAGAGGACCGGTCGCAACGTACAGGCCCAATTCAAATACTGCATTATAGCCTAATTAATATTAAGGGTATAGGGCCCATCCGCCCAATAGAAATCCTTTCTAAGCACAAAAACATTGTTATTTACCGTATCCATAAAATAAAATAAATATTTAATTATTTAATTTACAATCAATTACAAATAAATAAACATATCAATTAAATCAACTAATTCAAATAACATTCAAGTACATACTTTCAATTAATCAGTTAAATCAAATAAAACATTTAAGCAAATAAAATATTTAATTAACCAATTCAATTAAACACGGAATCAAATAGCCAAATAATCAAGTAAATAAATAAAAATACAATTAAAACATTTAAAATAATACTGAAACTATTCTTTTAAAATTAATGGTATTACAAGAATTTACTTAAATTTTTTCAAAATTTTCTATTTAAGATTTTATTTAAATAATTATTAAAAAAAATTAAAGGCAAACTGATGCAAATTTAATGGAGAATATTTTATCAAATTAGTATGACTCTTTTTCATAATTTATTTCAACACGAAAAATATATTAAGTGTAATTCGATAAGAAAGGGTTTTGTAATCATTTAATGAAAAATAGGTCGGACAATGGGGCATTTTGCAACTAAATGTAATAACATAGTTCAAAAGAGTTACTTGCGAATTTAGACATAATTGAGGGGGAATTTTTGCACTTTACTTAGGGGTGGCAATTCGTGTTTGTGGGTCGTGTTCGTGTCTTGTCGATGTAAGGGTATTATACTAAATAGGTAGACCCAAACTCAACCCATTTAATAATCGTGTCAAAAATTTCAACATTAACTCAACCCGTTTATTAAACAGGTAATCGTGTTAACCCGTTTAATGATCTGTTTATTAAAACGAGACATTTAATATTTAATCAAATACTAAATAATAGAATAAAATTATCATAATTAACCCAAATATTCAAAATAAAAGGAAAAATCATAAGGCATAGACAAGGTTTATCTTTAAATGACTTAACTATCCACAATAATTGGGTTTAAACTGGTAATATATTACATAGGTTATATTCACAATTATAACATGTTGAGTTAAATGTGTCATAAACGGATTACACGGGTTGAACCCCTCAACCCTAACTTGATACGGTTAAGTAAACGGATTAATCGTATCGACCCTTTTATGACCCAAACCCGTTTATACCAAATCAAAACCCTTTTAACTCGTATCGGGTTATCGTGTCGTGTCATAATTTGCCACCCCTAACTTTACCCCTCTTTTTATGATATAGGTGGTCCAACTAATCTTCTTCACTTTAGTAACATTTCTTCATGATGCTTAGACTTATCTAGGCGTACAGAGTTCCCTTGAAAACAATTTTCTATTTTTATCTTTTTTTTTAATGCACTCATTTACCTACCGAAATATATATATATATATATATATATATATATATATATATATATATTACATGGTCTGGGCATGTAGCTCTGGCCAATCATAGGCTGCTACACAAAAACTGAATAAAATTATTAAATTGTTCGAAATCATTTAAATTGTTGAACCAATTTAATATAAAGTCTACTACAAAAAAAAAATGACCCTAAAGCATCAATATATTCCCTCAGTCCAAAAAAAAAGTATCACGTCTGCGAATTGTGATTCATTCCCAAACCGTGACAAAAAAATCTTAATATTAATTTTCATTAAATTAATATACAAAATGTTAAATATTTGAGTACCATATATTTTTTTATGGCAAAAATGCAAAAAATCCCCCTAAACTATTACGAATCCGCATTTTACCCCTCTGAACTACAAAAACGAACAAGTCAGTATCACAACTATCAAAATCGTGCAAATTAACCCCTGAAACGCAATTTCGGCCACTTTCCGGCCGACTTCATTGTAAATTTACAAAACAACCCATTGTAATTAAAAAAAATACCCTCAATGCCCTTCTGTTCTCAAGTCCATCTCCATCATCTTCTGTTCTTCTTTCTCTCATTCAAATCTCTCTCTCTCACACACACAAACACACATACACACACTTGCATATACATCGGTGCTAGATAAATGGCACAAATGAGTCTTCCCCAAGGATTCAGATTCCACCCAACTGACGAGGAACTTGTTGATTACTATCTAAATAGGAAAATAACAGGCCGTGTGATCGAGCTTGAAATCATCCCAGAGGTTAATCTCTACAAATGTGAGCCCTGGGATTTACCAGCTACGTACCTACAAATTTACTTGAATATATATATATATAGAAATATCATTAATTTGATTGACTCTAAATTAAATTGAGTTGAAATATGATATATATATATTTGATTTGATGATGTGCATGTATAGACAAGTCATATTTACCTGGGAAAGATATGGAATGGTACTTCTACAGCCCAACGGATAGGAAATACCCAAACGGATCGAGGACTAACCGGGCAACCAAAACCGGTTACTGGAAAGCCAACAGAAAAGATCGGGTGGTGCAGTCGGAAAGGCGGCGGGTGGGGATGAAGAAAACACTGATTGCCCGATTAGTCCTCCGTCGTGGAACAAAATATTGATTTATTTATAGAATGTGTGATCCTCCGACAAGCTTGTATTCGATCCCATCCCAATTCTTCGCCTAAACTACCACCTCTGCCGTGGAACCCCCATCCATGCTTTAATGGTGGCGCTGAAGCAGCGAGCTTGCCTGAGCAGCAACAGTAACCACACACACACACACACACATATATATTGACATATATTCCGACCTCTCCACAGCCCATTGCTGGACCATGCCGCCATTGCCATCCCTGCACTAACAGGTTTAACCAGTCCTCTTCACAGCCCATCGCTGCCTATGCCGCCATCACCATCACTACACCAGCCACCTTTGATATGATTGGATCAAAACCGGTAGTTTTTTTCATCAATATAAATATATGTAAATATATATATATCTCTGTGTGTGTGTGTGGCTACTATTGCTTTTTTTCATCAATATAAATATATGTAAATATATATGTGTGTGTGTGTGTGTGTGTGTGTGATTGCAAAACTGGTGGTCAACCACCTATCGATCTAAATGCTCCACCGGCTCCCGAGTCATCGAATTTTGCTGGTATGTTTGGTGTTTTTGTGCTCTCTTTCTTCTTCTTTTTCCTGTTGATAGATCACAAAATTGAGGGGAAAGGAATGAGGAATTGACTAATCAGAGAAGCCTCGTGGACGGACGAAGGGAAGTTACAGAACGGGGCTGTGAAGGCTCGCGGCACCGACGGGAAGGAGAACTCGGCTGTGAGCTTCTCCATGTTTACCTCATTACGTGGCAGAAAAGTTAAAATGAATAAATAAATAATAATATTCATTAGTATTCGAGGGTAATTTCGGAATTAAAAGAAAAAAACAGTCACGTGCTGACCTTGTGGGCCGGAAAGTGGCCGGAATTGAGTTTCAGGGGTTAATTTACACGATTTGTGATAGTTGTGGTACTGATTTGTTCATTTTTGTAGTTCAAGGGGGTAAAATGCGAATCCGTGATAATTCAGGAAGGTTTTTTGCATTTTCACCTTTTTTATTTATAAAATTGACATATTTACGTGCATAACAATTTGTGGATAACTGACAACACATGGTTATGTACCATATAATAATTTGCCAACTCTAATTATAAATATATATATATATATATATATATATGCATATATACCATCTTTTCCAAGTGTCTTTATGTGTGATGTTTGTCATTGGTGGATTTCGGGTTTGGCTGTGTGACCTCTGATGAGGAATACCTGGCGGTGTTAGCCACGCGTTGCATGATTGGCTCATTATGCGTACGGTCGGACATATCATAACATAACAGATTCCTACATCCAAGAAAGGGGCAAATCGTTACCACTAACTGTCCTTCCCACCCGATCACGTCATTTGATGCCCAGCTTCCTTTACATATTTTATTAAGACTTAACCCTTTCTTTTCTTTTTTCCTCTTAAAACCTTCGACTCCGCCTTATTGTAACAGTTACCTTCTTTTCTCTCTTTTCTTTGACTTCTTATCATTGAATTCATACCCTGATATTGCTTAAATTGGTCATTAATTATTAAAGGGTTAAGTATATAAAATACTTTTAAATTTTATTATTATTTTAAATAATAATAATAATAAATAACACTCTTATTATTTATTTTGAATATATAAGTTGGTTAAATTTAAAAATATTGCAAACAAGACTTTATTTGCACTAAATCCTTAGAAAAGTACCATTATAAAACATGTGCATGGCACATGATAGATTAATGGTACTAAATATCCAAGATGGCCTTTAAAGTCCCAAAAATGCCCTTATCTATTTTTTTTTTTTTAATATAAATCTCATGCCTCTAAAAGACGATTATTTCTTTAAGGTTATTATGGTCATTTTATAACAATTGATTTTCTTACTCTTTCTTAGGACACTTTAATATTTTCCCCTTATTCATTCAAAAAATAAAAGTTATAAAATTTCAAGAACTTACATGGATTATATGCCTTATATACATACTTATACAAGTATTTTTAGCTGTTATGTCATGGACGTTTTTAATACCCTTTACAGATATAGATATACATATAGATATATAAATATATATATGCGTATATACTGTTTTGTCCACGTGTTTTTATAACAAATACTAACAGTGAAATTCAGGTATGGCTTTTAACTAAAAAAAAAAAATTCAGGTCTGCAGAGGGAAAAAAAATTGGCTGATTTAGCTTGAGCCAATCCTAGTTGAGATACGTGTCAACTTTTGACATATTGACGCGCCACTCCTTTCATGCTATATAGGGAGAGAAATACTATATTTATAGAGAGAGAGAGAGAGAGAGAAATTGCCGTTTGGGTGGGGACATAACAGCTGCTGCGCATGACCGTGTTATTCCCCGCGATCACGTGCTCTTTCTTATTCTGATCCTGATTTATATCCCCCTCCAATTACCATTTTGACCTTTTTCAAAAAACTTTTTACTTTGCGCGCTTTTTCCTTTTTCCCGAATTAAATTACTGTATTATCTTACAGTGTTATTACACCATCTTTTAAATATATATGTACCGTCTTATAATTGAATAAAAGATTCAGTGGACAAATATAAAGGGGCCTTGTTTTTTTGAATTTTAATTTAAGTACTGAATTTTAAATCTAAATATTATCTGTACAATATGTTTTTAAACCCATGCCTCTACTCAGCTTATCCAACTTTCAATTGTAAAATTACAATTGTAATTAATTTAAGAAGAATGATAGATTGATAGTGGTATAGTAGCGTTAGAGAGGGGAGAGAGAGAGAGGTGGGTGGTGTAGTATTTCTGTAAATAATTGGGACATTTATGGTCAGGGTGGGAATTTCCTTTGCGTAGACGTGCATTGCTCCAGCCTATCCAATTTTGTACCACAACAGCATTACACCACACTCTGTTTGTCATCGAGTACCCTCACGCGCCTGTACTACGAATTGGTGGAAAGATTTACTAAATACAAAAATTATGAACTAATTATTTTTAACTCCAGTCATTATTTTATACATTCTGTGTAAAAATATATCTAAAATTCTACATAACTTTTATAAATATAAGATTGATTCGTTAATGGAACAAGAAAGAAGGAGAGAAAAAATATGTGATGTGTTGTGTAAAAGGATTGTACAAAATATACAATAATTTTACATATTAATTGAGTGACAATGTATGTTAATATATTACTAAGATTAAAAAAAAAAAAAAAAAATTACACATTGTGTATATTTTACACAAATGAATCTTTTAACGTAATGCTCTTAAAAATGTATTGTTTTATTTAATTTTTTTCGCTTATGTGTTAAATAGTGAAGAAAAATTATTGCATGTTTTCGTGACCATCAATTTTGAATTAACTATTATTTAACATGTAAAAAATTAAATAAAACTTACATATTCTTGATGTGAAATTATTAAAGTGACCGGTAAATAAACGTGTTACCTTTTTGTGATCTTTATTTTAATTTAAATTAAATTTTATTTATTATTATTATTTTGTATATTTGTCAGTGCCAGATTGGTGGGATCATTTAATAGTTTATCGTGTTTTGAAACATTTGTTGTATGTCAAATCATAATTGATCAGGGCCATTGATCCGTACGAAATATAGAATAATTTCTGCACGGCCTGATTGGCTGATTGAGTTTTGCACCAATTATAGTTGGTATACGTGTCATGGGATATTGAGGCACCACCTCTCCCTCGGCTTTGCCTATATAGAGAGAGAAAGTAGGCCTACAATACACTACAGTTATAGAGAGAGAAATTTGCGGGTTTGGCGTCGTCTGACATAACACGTGCTGCACCCAAGCACTTACCGCCTGATCACCTCCTTTGATTCTCAACTTTTCAACTCCTTAAAATTACCATCTTGGCCTTTATTTTTTACTCTTTTTTTCTTTTCTTTTTTTTTGCTTTTCGATCTGCTTCAATTTCAAATTGATTGGTAATTTAAGGATGACATCAATTGCAAAGGGTGAATGATATTTTTGTTTTTTGTAATAAGAGTGTGAGGATATTTTGGATCCTAGTAATAATATTTGATGGATTTATAAATATTTTATTTAATTTAATCAAATTAACTTATAAAATTGGTCAATTTGTTATTTAGAGCTCCTAATCCTCACTTATATGTAATTTTTCTTTAAAAATATACAAACTCTCAACAAAATATTAAACTTATTATATTACTCCATATTCATGTTAATTAAATTATAAAAATGATAAAATTAATCTTACCTTAAATTACTAATTGACATTCAGTTTATCAGAATTAAAGAAAATAAAAAAATTAGGGTGGGTGAATGTGACTATGAATTTGAACCATGCCAGGAACTTAACTACGGTGAAATTGAGTTCCCAATTCCTATTGAGGGCGTTGGATTTCGTAATTTGAACAAAAAGAAGGGTTATTTTGGTCTTTGGGTGCGTAGGGTTAAATGGACGAACCGGAGAGATGGGAGTCTTATTACCAAATAAGACGAATTCCGTGGGGCCCTTCTTCACACGTATCATATATATATAGAGAGAGAGAGAGAGAAAGGACGTCGTTCCTGGTTGCATTTCTGGTGTGCAGACTGCAGAGAAAAATTTGCACAGAGAGAGAGAGAATGGGAGGGAAGAAACCTGGAGGCGCGGCGTACAACCTGCTCATGAAATGGGCATCACCTGCGATGAGGGAGAGAAAGACGTTTTCAAACAAAATGGGCAAAGATGAGTACGTGGTGACCCTCCATCCCGATAGCGAAGCCAAATACGACGAGATGGTCCGGCGACAGAAGATTGTGAAGAGATTCGGTGAGATTTCCGTTGCTGCTTCCACCTACGACACAGGAAAAGGGTTTCTGAAAGGGGTTTTATCACTACTGAGGAAAGGGCCGTCTAAAACGGCTGAGGGGCTCAAATATGCTATGTTTGGCGCTAGCAAAGCTACAGAGATGGAGAAAGACATCATTCGCTATCACTCCTATCTCCTCCTGAAAGATCTGCACGCAGCTAAATGTGGGGAGGACAAAACCAAAGGGCTCTACCCTCAGGCGACAAAGTTCGTAGCTAAAGGAAATGCCCAGAACGGTTCGACTTCCAGCTCAGACTCCGATTCCGACTCCGGAAACGGAAATGGAAGTGGAATCGGAGGTTGGCCTGACTTGCTAAAATAGATCCGGTATGTATATATATACTTGGCTTTGATCTGTTTCTATACACACACTCTCTCTCTCTCTCTATATATATATATTCGTTCAATATCTTATTAATTTATCTCACTCTATATATATATATTTGATGACACAGTGGTGATCTCCGGCGTACTGACGGTGACTCAGGAAGTGGGAGTACGGGTGAGGAGGCAGTAGTTGCGTACGGTTAATTTATTTAAGTTAGGAGTGGTTTATCCATCATCTTTACTGTACTTGGACTTATTTTGGACTCCGTCGTTATTTTCTTTTTATCTGCTTTTCTTTTTATGCATTATCTGTTCTGTTCTGTTTGTTTACGATCGATTGCTGGTTTAATTCTCTTATGCATATTCGTTGTTGGGTTGTCCTTTTAAATTTTGATTTTGGTTGATTACTGTTGTTTAATTAATCTGTGCAAAATTTTAATCCGGAAGAAAACAACTTTTTCTTTTTCCTGGAAGCCAAACACATACCACATATTTTCTTTTTCTTGGAAGCCAAACACATACCATGGATATCTCACTAAATTTAATTTTATTTCTTATTAAGTGGGAACTCTTCTTCAAAAACTCCAACTTCAAACAAGATCATTTAAGAAGGAAAATAATAAAAAAAATCATTTATTTATTTCATCTGTAATTAAAATTCCCATTTGGGAAATAATAGGATCCCTTTTAAAGCATTCGGACATGTTTGATTATTGGGTTTCTATTGTCTGCTATGGGACTTAATTCCTAGCCCAATCCCGTGTGTTCGTTTTGGTAGGTCTTTTTTGAATTTTGATCTCTATGGACCCCATCCAAGATTTTACCTTTTGAGTTCGGCCTTTTAGCCCTCTATAGGGTCTTTTCCCATTTTGTAGTTACCTTTTTAGAATTAGAAACTTCCGAATGTTTCCAAAAAAAACAAAAAAAAAAAACTTCTAATTATAAAATAATAAATTTAAAGAAAAAAACTGAAATTCAATTTATGTGAGTGGGAATTGTGAATCTACCATATGATGTCATGAGTGAGGCCCACCGCCCCTTTCCTCCATAAATTGAATTCGGTATCACTTACTACTCTTAATCATATAATTATGGCTGACATTGGCGCGTTGGAGAAGATTAAATCCAGTGAAATTAAGGTGATTACGGGGATCAAGAGGTTCACTCGAAGTGTGGGTTAGCATGCCAATGGTGAAATACTTGAAAAGTAGTGCAGCAATGCAATGTCCCTTCTCATAGACAATGCATTTCTCAGTTTTGATTGCAATTTTCGCATCCTTCTAATTCTTTGCACATTATAGAACCTAAGTCACACAATCCTTCTCAACCGGTGTCGCTCTCATGCTCCGAACGCGCTCCCGCTCTGACTCAAATTTTCACTATTTATGACTTAATTCTGTCGTTTTCACGTTTCCGCTCTCGAATTTGCTCTCGCTCTCGTTTTATATGACTTAGATAGAACAGTGTGGAATGCATAAGAATGTAAAAAAGACAAAACAAGAAAGGAGGAAAAAAAAAAAAAGAAGCAAGAATATATACCATAGATATCAGCATTAAGTCTCCAAGAAGCCCATGTTTTCAGCGTGTCATTTTGTATATTGAGGCTTCCTTTTACTTTTTTCATTTTTTGAAGTTTTCAAATGGTTTTGTACAATTCAGTGATCAATTATAATGATTAACACTTGCATTAATTATTTTTCAGTTCATATCTCTCTCTACCCTTATCTCTATAATCTTTTTTTATTCTTTGAAGTTCCACGTATAGCGACGCCGAACAATACTGTGAGTGAGGCATATGTTTTTGTTAACTTGTGATCAAATTATATGCATGAGAGAACATAGTCGTTGGTTCAGTAGGAGAGATAGAGAGCTTCGTACCAAATAGCTTCAAATTCACACAACAGATGACAAAAATATGATTATGAATATATATATATCCGCTTTCCACCTCCATCAAACCAACACGGACACCATTTCTTTAAAAAAAATTATAGGAAATGTTATTTTGTCAATTTAAATTATTTATCACAAGAGTATTTTAAAGAATTTAATTTGAAATACATTCTTTCTAAATTTTACATTAGTCCATTCCTACCCATTTTATATTTGCAACCAATGACCATTTTATTCCGCTCCCGTCCTAATTCCAATGAGAATGACCATTCCCTTCCCATTCTAATTTCATTTTCAATTATATTTCATTTTATTCCTGCACACCAAACGCATCACAAAGGTAAAATAATAATGTAATAATTTTTAATCAGCTACCAGTTAAGTGGGCAACAATTAACAACCCATATTTTGGTGGTTTCCATTTGGGGAATCCATGTTTTGGCAGAGAAGATATACGAATACACAAGTTTTTTCGAAGTCCTAGCCATAAAATAACATCTTAAACATTCCTAACATCCATCTTCCATAAATTATATAACATATCCCCACAAGGGCCACAACTAACAAAACATAAAACTTTAGTTATATCTTTGCAGATGGGAAACCGCATCATCCTTGCCACAACAATATTGGGACAAAGTTTGGCGAAAGCGCACAAGCATTATGATCACTTCCAAAATCGCATAATCCACCACTCTGCATTCACAACAAAGAAACCAAAGAACAGTCGTAAACCATTATTGCCCAGGAAAAACTTGCTTTGTTATACCTTTACAAATATTGCCAAAGACATGATTGCAGAAAACGAGAAGAATCAAGTTGGTACTCTGTGATTGACGATGAAGAGAAACATGTTACCAATATGGATGTATCAAGAGTATAATGTTTATTGTGACAGTAACATCACACAATGGACTGTGTCTTATGCAATCTAAAATAAATAAACAGTGTGTAATGATGACCTAGCCTTATCTGTCCACAACAGAAGTACAGGAGACATCAATCTTATTTAAATAATCCAAATAGAAGACCACCAAGCAGAGCAGTCTACAACTTAAACCTAGACTTCGTACAAACAAACTACAAAAGCTTTTCATCCAATGACCAAAAGCTCTAACCAAAAAGTGCAAAGGTAAAAGATGCTCGTAATGATAAAATGCTTTGTGTATGAACTCCTACATTCAAGTCCATAAAAATTAAATGGGTAACTGATCCTTGCACTTCAAACACAACAATTGCACTAAAAGTACTCAAAAACACACGCGCGCGCAAAGATCCATAATCTTATAGCTTACTTTAATCTTTGCAACAAAAAAGGGTTCAGCAGAGACTACATCATGGCCATAAAATGTATTAAGTAGTTTAGACAAGATTCCTCCAAAATAGAGCAAGACACCAAAAAGAGAAGTTGACTACCATAAATATATTTTATTAATGACGAAGCATTCTTATAGATACCAGAGGGAAAGGGGAAAAATTAAAAAAAATTAAAACTGATACAGGTAGTTGACGACCACGCCTTTACCTTTTTTTTTTTTTTTAACAAGATTCACTCATCAAATATCAACAGTCAACATAACTTTCAAGCAACGTGTGACTAAGAAGATCATGTTTTGACTGACAAACAAAAGTAAGCATTTTCATCATGTACTTCCACTCAAGTCTTTTGTCTATTAATATGATACAACTGATAGAAGAAAAGGAAGTGTGTGATCAATAATAAACATGAAGATACTTGATCAAAGTAAGCTAGCATAAAGAATTGTAGTTCAACATAATTCCAGGATCTTAGCCGTGAGTTAACAAAAATATACGAATCTGAGAACTACTACAACTAACAAATGACCATGAACTAACGTTAAACATTTACATACAAAACAAACTTTTTTCTTTTGTTTTTTGGTGTTTGGTTCTGATATTGAAGAAATCTATTCTTAAAAATGAAGAGCATGTGACAACAGGCCAGGAGAAATGAACTGCTGCTTTCTCAATTTCAATTATGTCAAATTTGGATGAATTGTGGCACATGCATAGCTCGAAACAGGAGAGCGTGAACATAATGTAAGAGAGAACTGAGAAGTTTTTGGAGTTCAGATCCATTAAAATGATTGAGGAAGGAGTCTGAGCTCAGACCCACTAAAATGATTGGCAGAGAGAGAGAGAGAGAGACTTTGGAAATATATAATAAAGTGGTGACCGTGAGAGAGTTGTTGAGTTATTTCTTATTTATGTTATGGGTAATATTGTTTTTCTTTCTTTTTAGTTCGTCAGCCTCTGGGACTTATTTATTTTGTATTTGTACCATTAAACCTTCTGTTGAATATAGGATTTCTCCCACTTCTCTGACTTGTTTGCACAAAGGTTAACATGGTATCAGAGCAAGGAAAACTCAACTAGAGCAGTGGACAATAGTTAGTTCAATCGCTAACCATTGCAGCCCAATCACAATTCTGCATATCGCGATACCTCGACGATCATCTCTGCACAATGGCATCACTACTTTGCTATTTGACAATCAACTCTGAAATCGCATCTCACCCTTGCACCATGACTCCACATTAGTTCTCGGTTTCTCAATGCAGCGATTTTGATTTTGATTTTGACTTAGTTTACATCGATTTTTGACTCAGTTTGCATCGCAACGCAAAATACCAAGATCAAACCCTATTTTCAACTGCAATCAAACCCCAATCACAAATCTCAGCTACAGAAATCACACACCAATTCTTCTTCTCCTTGGTTCTCTACCTCATCTACTGTTTGCATCAATATTTGGCTCAGGTTTGCATCGCATCAAATTCTTCAGTCCTTGATTATCTTTGCATCGCATAGCACAACAGTTGCCTTTTTCTGTCCGCTTGATTCTTCTTGGCTTTCACGCCAGTGATCTGTCAGAACCCATTTGTATCAAAACTGCAGTAACCTTTTCTAAATTAATCTGAAAACACTTTTATTAGCCCAAACTTTGAAGAGAGATTCCATGCTTTGGGGTTTTTCCTTTTCAAGTGTTTTACAACTACTACTATTTGGTTCATACAATTAAATTGACGAGCGATTAGACTATGCATGAACATTTGAGTGTACTGTGGATTTGAATTTATTTCTTGAAGAGTAATCAGCAATAAACTTCATAATTTCAGCACTGCGCGTTGAACAATATAGCATGAACTAGAAATCACTATTGGAGAGGCAACGGACTGAAAAGAACGATTACGTTGACTGGGAATAAGAGATGGTGATTCTGAGGTGGAGTTCGGACTAGTTGCAGTAATTATGTGCATTGGAGGTAAAGAAAATCAACATTAATTATAGGATTGGAGTCAAGACTAGCAAGGTAAGGTCAAACACTTCTTCTGCGTAGAGGATTGATTGAGCTCAAACGAGTACCCTTCGCTATTCCCGTGTGCGTTTTCCACATGAAAATTGTAAATCTTTGTGCTTGTTTTTTACTTTAAAATTTTTTGTTATCTGCTGGGGTTCAGTGGTTGTGATTGCTAATTGTTGAAAGTAAATGATGGACATTAAAAAAGGCAAGCTGTTCAAACAGACTTTCTAGTTTGGTTTCCTACGTGAGAATTTAAGTGGAATACAAGTGGGTATTCCACTTGCAACTCTTACTTTGTATAGTAGTAGTATTGTTAACAACTTAACAAGATTAAGAGAATAACTTCTCATGCAAATTTCATACAGCTACTAATATCTAAAAGGTCTGAAGTTTTACAGCATGAACCATAAAATGCAAACATTAACATAAAATTGTCCAAAGAGATGAACTTTTGGACTATAAACTTACTGGAGAAAGATGTATATACACATTGGGATGCACAGGGATTCATGCAATTACAAATACATACGAGATAGACACTCTTTAAGTGAGCGCACACAACAGCCAAGGGTAACACCTTTGTCATATTTGAAGAGAGAACATTATGAGAAATAAGGAATTTGACACAAGGCTGGTATCTTTTGCATCAACAATTGTCTAAATTAGATATTTCTATTTGAATTATAAATATTGTAAACCCATGCCTTCCCAGAAGATTGTATAAAAATAAACTACCATTTAACCTTTCTACATAAGAGGAAATATACCTTCATCAGTGGGCAGTCCATCCTTTTCAAAACCTGCAAAGAAGCTTTACCGTAAGAATATACACATAAATGAGAGAGCACTTCAAAAACAGAATTTATGAAAGCAATACAACAACACCAACAACAACAAAACTGATATTATAATTTCATAATTATTCCTAAAAATTTGCACCAACTTCCCTGAGATTTGTTATACTTACATGAATTTTCCATTTAGTTTCAAAAATAATTGGGACGTCTCTTGGCAAACATTGTTTTGTAACCACCAAGGGTCAACACAACTCAAGTATGGATTTTGCTAATGTCAGCAAAATGAACTTTCATAAAGTCAATTCCACTATTGGATCGAATGAAAATACATTTTTATCTTACTTTAGTCACGTGAAATGACTCAAATACATTCATTCAGATATATTTAAGGGAAAATGCTTTAATTTTTATGTACAAGTTACCTTTTGTTTATTTTTATTTTATTTTTTCTTTCAACTCACCTTAATTTCTCCTTCATCACATCTTCCATTGAAAAATCCCTAATATATATATATATATATATATATATATTTATGTAAATTTTTTTTTTTTGACAAGTTCTATTTACGTAAATTTTGTTGCCTCCTAGTATGTATATCATTAACGCTCAAGTTTAAGGGCAAGTTCAATTGACCAAATGGATAAAATACAAAGTGTACATCATCTAAGGCAACCAATTGGGGGTTTTGTGCCATGTTTCCAAAATGGGAATTCTTGACTCATTACCAGGGGACTTCCTCCACTGAAAGTGATTTTGCAAGTTACATGCTTCTTTGATACTCGTGGATCAAGTCCCAAAAAGCAAATTAGATTGTTAAACATTAGAAAATTTGGTGGAAGAAAGGAATGGACGATACATTGGAACCAGAAAGAAGTAAAAACACTAGTGTGAAGGCCTATGGATTAGGGGATCAGTTAGCAAGCATTGCTAAAGGTCATTCATCGGAAACAGTGGCTAAATGGTCTTTTGGTTTTCTCGTGTTGACAGATGCCACCATGGCAGTGATAAATCTTACTTGGATCAGTTTGAGGTGTTTGGATAAAATCTAGCATGGACTGGATCGGGATTAAACTACTTCAAGCATAAGCAGCATACATCTCGTGACAAATATATAAGATTCTTAAAGCGAGTAACCAGAATGTTGCAGCAGGTCACAAGTTACTAATCTATGATCCGACTTGTACAATCCCCACCCCCCCCCCCCCCCCCCCCCCCCCCAAAAAAAAAACACCTTTCCTTCTCTGATACACATGTATAAATCCATCTCAAATGTACCTCACATTGTGACCTAGGAAGCATAGATACTTCACCTAGGGGTGACGTGGTGGCATAGGGCATATGTCAAATGCGCGGATATGGCTACAAGTATCCTGAAATTTAAATATGTTATTTTTTGGTTGAATACGACAAGGATACGTTTTGGACAATTTTAGGATACGAAAGGTAGTTTTGTAATTTTATTTAGATAGAAAAATGGGATCGAAGATAATTTAAGATATATATATTTTTTATATAAGTAAAAGATAATTTAAGATATAGCTTGGGTTAATTAGAAACATAATATAAAATTTTAGAAAACAAAAACAACAAACATCTAGCTCAAAGTTCCAAGTTAGTGATTTCATTCATGGTTACAAGGATAATGAGCAAAAATCATTATTTAAATTTATATATAAGAATATATATTATTATTGTTTAACGTATCCATGCCGTACTGGTATCCTAATATTTTTTTTTAGATTTGTCATATCGCTATGTCCGTATCATGTCACTCCTGTGTGACTGTGTCCCTATCCGTGCTTCTTAGATTGTGACATTCCATTTCAGTTTTTTCCATCACAGTTAATTCTCATCAAACGACCAAAAGCCCACATTTTCTCAGTGGTGAGCTGATCTGTAAATGTAATAAACAAAACCCCACGTACTGGCCTCCATAATAGACCCAATTGAGAAAATCCTTCACGATCAATCTATGGTCTTTGTAATGATCAGAATCACCATCTCTGCCTTTATTTTCAAAACAGGTCCTAATTCACCTCGACCATCAGGTTAGTTGTGCTTTTGAGGATAAGGTGAGAACATGATGGAAACAAAAAAAATTAATTAAACAGAAAGGAGCGAGAATAGAATTTCCTGCACAATAGATTGACAAAAGAGATGTCGTTGTTGCAAAGCAGTGCAAAGAGCACAGTTAATTAGCTGAGAGCTGAGGCTGTGTAATATAAACATTTTGCAGTGAAGGGTTCATATGTTTTCCCACAATAACTGGTATATTCAATTAAAAAACATATAGAGATTTTGACTTATCAAAAAAAAAAAAAAAACATATAGAGATTTTGATGGACAAAGCTAAAAACCACATACTCTGTCAGTGTTACTTTTCAAACTAAAAAGGAAATTCATTTAAATATAAACAAACCTCAAAGAAGGCAACATAATTCACCCTTTATTTTTAAAATTAGACAAACATTGCTATGATTTCTTCACATGAACAGTATAAATGATTCAAAGATGATATGAAGAAAAACAGATGTCACCAATTTCACACAAATGACCACTAGATCAAAAATAAAAGCACATATTTGCACTTCAAACATCAATTCAACATTTTTTAAGAAACAATGAATCGTAAATCTTCTCAGAACGAAAAAAATTAAAAATATTGAAATTTTAGAAGGAAAAAATAAATAAATAAAAAAAGCACATGCTAGCCGCATGAGCATGTTTGTCTAACTAAGCCCAAAACTCCAATCGCATTTCCTCCTTTTAACTCCCATAACATATCAATCTATGAGATACCCCTAATTACATGATGTTGTCAACATAAAAATATATTCCATAATTCTACCACCATAGTTTCCTCTAAGATCAAAGGCTGACATGCCTGAACGCCAGAATCATGTACCGATGTACTTATCCCCAAAGAAATCAAATGAACCATGAACGACAAAGTGAGCGGAACAGAATCAATGGAGTGGCAAAAGAATAAAAAAATGTAAATTACAAAAATAAAAAGCACTCAATAAAGACAGCTATGAATGAAAAGAAAAAAAGGCACCAAAGAGAACAAAATACTTGAAACAGATCTGGCATAAGATAAATATTGCAGAGCTAGGAAAAAGAATAAGATGGCAAAAATGTAAATGAGGAAGCCCAAGTAAGCACAGAATATCATTAACCAAAAGTTACTAACTATAAGCATCTGCCTTACCACTACAAAATCGGGACAATTCTTCGCGGTGGTGCCTACAACTTTCATGATCGCTCCCACAGATGCTTGCACACTGCTTTCAAATACCAAACAATATATGTAAAATATTATTGCATCACAAATATATCCAAAATCTAGTTTACAAGTTTTAAAAAATATATAAAGAAAACCCAAATGATAGTACTAATATAGAAAAATAAGAAGCAAAGAAAAAATGAATGCAAAAGAATAACATTTAAAAAAAAAAAAAAAAGGACGTATGAATCAAATTAGAATATTTTTAGTGGCAGCAATAAGAAATACACACCTCACAGACCCCTCTCAACTTAATATGCAACGCCAGAATTTTAACCACTATTCTATAATGACTTTTGACAATGGATCAAAGCCGATATAGATTTAACTAAAGAATAGTTAAAAGTACAATGTTCCATTGTGCCAGTAACATTATAGACTATGTTCCATAATTTATAGTAGTGGATAAAGTGTCTTCATGCAGTCCAACATAAACGGAGTGAAGCATGACCAATTCTAATTTTTGTCCGACGTGGAAGTGTTATAGCAAATCAATTTAGATTTTTCATAGAAAATTCAAGAAGAAGATTAGATAACAGGCAGTCGACTCTAACTTAACCTGATCCTATTACATAATTGGAAACCAAACAGGAAGCAAAAACTGTTGCTTCTGAAAGAAGAAAAATGACTTGAGAGATTGGAGCCACCACTTTAGTCAAACTTGTTGCTAACAATAACATGTCCGTGCCATTGATTTATAAATTTGCTGGACTTTAATTATTGCAGTGTATGAAAAGGTTTCATAATTTATAACTGCATTATGGAATTTAAAAGATAAGAGATGGCTCTTTTTTTCTTTTCTTTTCTTTTTTTTTTCTTTTCCCCGGGTTCCAACCTCGAACCCTAGCCTTTGGGATGAGAGTTTAGACCCAAACCCGATAGGGCAAAGGTAGACCAGTTAGATGGCTCTTTTTGACATAGGCCTAGATACAAATTTTAATTGGCCTCCCTATAGTAGATAACCGTCTCCAAAACCAGTTACTAACCTGTAAATTTTGGTATTTTCAAATGATTTTGATGAAAAATGTTAAATTCTCTTTAGTCTTCAGGAAGTAACATAACAACTCATTTATCATTTTGCTAAAATGTGGAAGCTGTTCCACTGATTCATTGCCATTTTAATACCCAAAAAGAAATATATCATGCCAAATATGGGTGCATATTTCTGTATGATAAAAAAGAGTGTAGATATATATATGCGCGCGCGCGCGTGTGTGTCAATATTCAAAAACCTGTATATGTACCTAGAAAACTGTCACATTTTCTATACAGCACTTCACATAAACCTATTAGCTACACGCTGGTTTAGCACTGATTTATTCTTAATACCACATGATACATATTAATTTTGATCACAAGCAGGCAGCAGTATATCTTCTAAATGATTATAATGGTGCCCTTGGTACAAATAACCTACTTAGGGTCATAGGAAGTTAGGTCATATAAGTTGACTTGTGAAGTTGTTTCTATAAATCCTTCTTAGGTGAAGATGATTTCATCAAACTTTCAAAATAATGAAAATAAAAAGAAAGCTTTATCTATTGGGAGAGAGAGGGATTTTATATTCTACAAGAATCTAAGATTTGTACGGAGAATTCAATTTTTTATGCATATATGTATTTTCTTTTCTCTGTGAATTGCAGATTGCTGTAAAGCTATAAAAGTAGTGGATTTGTTAGTCTGGCATAGGACAAAAAGTGAAGAGGAGTCTTGTTCTGTTGTGTTAATTCTGAATGGAGGAGAAAAGCTTTGCATTGAATCAAAATTGATGAGGTTCACATTCTATGAGTTTTGCATTCTTGAGGTATGAGATTCTCTACTCTCTCATTTTCATGTTATTAAAGCATATGTTCTTCATTTTCAAGTATTAAACGACTCACTGTTCTATTGAATTGTTAAAATATTTTCTTTAAATTGCAAATGTCTTGATTTGTGTGGAATGAAAAAATGTTTATGATACTTTTTATTCTATGGAAATGGCTCTTTTGCGCATTCACCAATTTGATAAGAAAAATGGAACATTGACAAATGAGACATGTAAAGCCCCTTTGATACGGGATAGTGGAATCCTTTAGTTTGGCAGAATGCTGAGTGGGTGGAATGCTCACTACCTCCAAAAGGACGCTTGTTAGGATGGCAACAATCCTAGAGTTGGTGGCTATGCACCAGGCTTTCATCACACAACAATGCGTAGTATGGAATTGTGATGACAACTCGAAAAGGCTAGCTCCAGTAGCAAGGATCTTTTCCTGAGTCTGCCCTTGGTCCAAAAGGGGTTACACTTTATTTAATGTTGGAATTTGGAATGCTTCAGCTACAGTTCCCCGGGCTTGGAATAGCAACGGCACCTACCACTTTCAGTTCTTGGCTGCTCGTAGATCAGTTGAAAATCTTTTTCTTGGTTTGTGAATCTTAGAGATTCAGGTACATTATCTCATAAATGTTGATGATTTATTAATGCTATTTTCTATTATGACCTATTGACATACATGATGTTTTCTCCTGCAATTTTTTTTTTTTTTTTTTTTGATAAGTAATGCTTTCTATTGGCTTTTACTGAATTAACAAACTTGGCACTATGTTTCCTATTTGAGATCCGTTTGAGAATTGATTATGATATCCTCTTGGACTTACTTAACAAAAGAAAAATGATATCCTCTTGGACTTGCTCTATGAAAAATTTAGTGCCACGACTTCCCCTTAGTGCATGCTTTGTTTAGTGCTTATGAAGGACAGTTTTTTTCTACAAGTCTGTCTAGTTCATTCCTATTTTCTAGACATGATAGTGAGGAAATAAGGAAAAGCAAAGACACTTATTCGACATAAGAAACTACGGACTTTTAGGTACTAAAGGCCTTTATCATAGATTTTAAGTGGTATTTTCACAAAGGTTGTTAAATGATTTATTTATTTGTTGGTATGGAAAAAAAACATTAAACAACATATATATAAATCAATTATGATTTACAATTTAAGTCTTAGAAATGAAATAGAACAGATAATCCATAGAAATAAAGTTTAATTGTTCCCCGATAAAGATCAAATATACCTCATCGAACATCATGGTAAGAGCCACACATGCTGCTTTGTTATTTGTTGACATGATAGCGTCATGCAACGGATCACGCCCATCCTCGACAGCATTGGCCTTTGGATGAAGGTATTCAGGACCTTCAAACAAAATTAGCAGAAGGATATACATATGAATAAGAGAGCAGTTCGCAAGATAAATCATGGAACCGGTTGCACACAAAAAAAAAATTCACATATGAGCAATTCCAACATCAACAAGAAAAGCTAGAAAAAAAAAAAGCGGCAACGACGCAACGTCAACAAAAGTTAATTATGAAAGTGGAAATTTATGCATATTCATACACACATATCCGCGTACATATTATGAAGAACGAATATTAATATACATATGTATATAAATAAATATAAGAACAAGGTTGGCTTCATTCACTCTTTTTTTCAGAATGAGAACCACAACTGAAGGAAAAGACCACAAATCAATTCATATCAACAGAATACAGATGTAACTCAGTACATATGAAGGGTTCATAATTCCCAACAAAGGATTACAATTTACATATGTACAGATATACACACACACACACACACAATAACAAGGATGGCTACGTTTACTCTCTTTTTTTCAGAATGAGAACCGGCAACTAAAGGAAAAGACAGCGAATCAACTCATACCGACAGAATACAGGTGTAACTCAGTACACATGATTGTAGGAAGAGTAGGACATCATTTGTTTTATGCATGTGATGTTGTGGCCCGAATTTGGTGCCGGGTTGTGTTGTGACCCACTTATGACCCGACAACCCATTGGATGAGCTTTGTGCGGGCCCAAGCCCACCGGAAAATTTTTGACCCCTTTTTTGCTCATGGGCCTTGACCCTAATTAGTCTCTTGTAGCCCGATATATAAGGGCGCTAAGGGTTTGGAGTGGTGTAAGAGAGAGACTCTGAAATTCGTACAAAAACATAGTTAGGGGCTTAAATCTTGTAATCTCTGATTTTACATATAGCGAAAACTTTCGCCGGATCTCAACCGTGGACGTAGGCTGTTGCCGAACCACGTATAAATCTTTGTATTCTTAGTGTGGTGTGCTTACTTTTCTGTCGTAATTCTTGATTTTATCTTGGGTTCATTGTGTTTGTCATAACAATGCATAAAAGACAAAGAACTTTATTTATTCATTTTTTGCTCTTAAAGCATAAGGATCTAAACTGGAAGAGGCAGGCATCTCCAAAGCCAATTCCATGACTATGTATAACAGACTAAAGCAAGAATATTGGGACCAATTTCACTGGTACAATTTTTAAAGCGCCACCCTTTTGTAAATTGGGGCAACAGCATTAATTATGTTATTATGCAACATAATTGCACAACCAAGAGTTTAGATCCAGTGAATTTTCTTCTCAGAAATCCACACAGCATGAACAAATTAGGAGGAAAATTTGGAAAAAGTAGCCCAGTTCACAAGGGTCCTGCCATTGCAGCATCTGGGAAGGCTCATATGTACACAAACTTACCTCGGCATGCGGATAGACTGTTTCCTGTTTTGAACCCATGACCTCCAGGTCACAATGCAACAACATTACCTTTGCACCAAGGCCCACCCTCAAAGGAAAAATTGAAACAAATAATAAAAGCAAGCAACCAGTCAAACCCAAAACTCCACTCCAATTTCCTCCTTCCATTCACACAAATGTTCTGATAATCTATAGATATACCCAAGTACCAGATGTTGTCAGCAAAAGAAATAACTTCAGGTATTCTACTGCCATATTTTCCAGGGTAAAGTGCAATAAACCCCCCTGAACTATTTAAGAAGTATAATTTGAGGGCAAAATCCAAATTTGCCGGCACCTGAGCTAACCGGAAATGTTAGATTACAAATTTTCCCTTTAGTAACAATTAATAATATTGCGACAACACAATACCTAATCACCATTATTTTTGGACAAAAATATCCACATTATGAACTGCCACATCATTAATTTTTTTTGATAAGTACTGCCACATGATTAATATTAGGGACATTTAAGTAATCTCATAATCCTAATCCCGTATCTTCTCTCTACCGACCATCGTCTCTCTCATTGTGCCCTCTCTCCTCTGAACCAGCCATTGCAGCACCACCACCACCACCACCACAGATGCGGAAGCGCCACTCCCGCGATCCCCATAACCACCACCACCATCCCCACCCAACAACCAACAGCAGCACCACCACCTTCATCTCCACCCCCATAACCACCACCATCTCCGTCGAACGCACACCTATCAACAGCGTCGATCTGTTGAGAACCAGAACCAGAATGCGGCGGCACCACCTCACGGAGGCCAAAATCGAGTCCACCGCCGCCGTAGTATTCTTTAACTCCTTCGCCTTCTATATATTGTTATCTATGTATATAATGTGTGTATAACAAATTTGAGGAGTGATTCCTGTTTGAAACCCAATTGATTATCTTAGTCCTTGCTTCCTCATCCTCACCAGAGGAAGGGTGAGCTCCTTTTGATTTGTCTTCAATTGGTTCTACTTCATACTGGGTTCCAACGACGCTCTGCCAGACTGCCATTTGGAGCAAGAGACAGAAATCCAACGACAATGATAATGGTTAGATTTCACGAGCAAGAGGGAGAAGTTTGGGTTCCAGCAGCCGAATTGCAGAAGTGGTTTTCTAACTCATGGCTTTCTGAGACCAGAGAGAGAGATGTGATTTGGTAGGGGTGAAGCTAATGGAAGTTAGGGTTAACAAATTGGGGGTTTTATTGATTTAATACTAAAATGGTAATAAGGGTAATATTGCCATTTTAAAATTATAGTGCCTGTTTTACCGGAAAATTAACCTGAAGAGTGACATCGCCTGTTTTACCGGTAATATTGCCATTTACCGGTAAAGATTAGGGGGGTTTATTGCACTTACCCTATTTTCTACTAAGATTACAAGCTTACATGCTTCCAAGCGATAACCATCCACCAATTTACTTATCCCTAAGAATTTAGATGAACTCAATAGAAATTATGACCTGAACAGAGTCAAAGTATTATCATATTAATAAGAACTTCCGGAAAAACAACTTAGAATGAAAATAGAAAAATTAAAAAGGAGAGAAAGGGGTGAAGATTGAAACAAATATGGATCATATGGTGTAAGATGAACATTGCATACCAGAAATCAATAAGAAATAAAAAATAGAAGAACGCAAACCCCTAAAGTGTCATACCCACAACAGAAGCATATCAATTAAAAGTTAGTCACTACTGAAGCATCTTCCTTACCGCAGTGTAGGGACAAAGCTTTGTGGAGCTTTTGACATTCTCCATCATCACACCCAAGATAACTTATGCACTGTATTCACAACAAAGAAAACCAAGCAAAGTAAACCAAAATTGCCCCCACAAATACTTTAACAACCTTGCCGTCAAGTTCAATGGATATAAATAAAGAAAACCTTATCCACAAGACAACCAAATAAACTAAAAAAACATGAATAATAGTATAAAATCAATAACAAACATTAAGGTACTCTATTTTAAAGAGAAAAAAATAAAATAAAATAATTGGAAGCCCAGTTTGGAGTTCAAGAAATTTCAGGACTCGGCTAAGGGTTTACCAATTTGAATTTATGAATTGATAAAAATAAAAAATAAAAAATAAAAAGAATTTAAGGTAAAATTTGATTCCATATTCATAGTGTAATCTTCCTGAAATGCTAGGCTTCAAAGAGAAAAAAAAAAAAAAAAAAAATCTGGAGTGACCTTTGATTCATATGTTTAAAGTACAATATTTTTTTAAAAGCGCAACAAATTTTCTTTGAAATTTATGTACAAAAATTAATTCTCAATTACGTAAAGATGTAAATTTTAGTCCGAGATCTAATTGCCACTCAAAGGAAATACAAAACAGATAGTCCCATTTACATTTAGAATTATATAATACTTAAACGGGTAAAGTTACGAAGTTTATTTTACTTCTAAAGACCTTCAAATACAATTGTTAATCCTATATTGGATTTGACTCAATCGACATCTTAAAACAAAGAAAAGAAGAAAAAGGAAAGGTGAGCTCCTGTTAAGAGAACCAAAAAAAGAAGAGAAATTATAACTTTTGAGAAACAAGCTTGTCTACGAACAATTTTAATTACATGTCATAGCACCATCTTTTTACCATTTGCATCTCTATATTTTTCATTGTAATCAAATGGAACTTTCCCATTGTTTGGCACGAGCTAATGAAGTTAAGGTGGGAGGGCCATCGTAGGGAGAAAAGGCTACAATTCGTCTTTTTGTGAATATGCAAGAAGAATGTCTTTTGTTTTCGCTAAAAAACATTTCTTAGATATTACAGAAATGTAAATGGTTAGAATGGCAACAAAAATACTAAAGAATGAAGAGAGAAAGAGAGAGAGAGATTCCTTTCCCTTCTTTTATTTCACCGACATTAAGAGGATGGAATACGAAAGCTTGGAAGAGAAGAGCTTCCTTCCTTTGTCCTTTTGTCCCTCTCCACGGACCTTTCTACCACAAAATAGAAACCTAATTAATCCATTTCGTTATCATTCGAACTTTCCTTCTTTCCTTTTAATATGTCCTCCTACGTCAATGGAGGTACATAAAAAACACAATATCATGGCTTTAAACTCGTTTTCATTCCAATTTTGCGTCATCTCTAAGGAGTTATGTTTACTAGAATGGAAACGCCGCGCAAGGTTTCCAGAGGATGGAATTTATAGCTCAAATCAGTTAGGGAGATGGCGCCCAAATTGATTTCAATTTTCATCACATAATTTTCATTCCTTCTGAAACTTATATAAGGATAGACAAATGTATATAAGGTAAAACGCTCTTTAGGAAACTGTGGTGCTATAGGCATCATTTGGCTTTCGTATTTGAAAAGAAAATGTAGCAAACAATGTGATTGGCTATGTTACCTTGACTATGTACATATATCCGATACAAGTGTGTGGCTAAGTGTCAGATTTCCCTAAATCCTTAATCCTAGGATATGTGGATTCGACTTGTAACGTGTCCAGAACTTGGGTAAGGGCATAAGGATATGTCTTGCACACTTATTAACATAATATATGCTACATAAAAGTATAACGCATAATGCTATGCATTAAAAATATACTCTATAATAATCAAAATTAAATGGAATATAGTGAGAAAAAAAAAAAAAAAAAAGAAGGAGATTTCATCCATCTTAAAAGTAAGTAACCGTTTCTTGCTATCATATTTGAGCGTTTATTGCTTCTTCCATCATCAACATTAGAAGATCTAGATGTTCGATTTTTGTAAATGTGTAAAACATGTATCACATACAATTAATACCATACCCATGTCATGTCGACATGATAACACAGACTCCACTAACAACCTTGATATATAGTTTCAAACAAGGAGCAAATATACCCTTTCATAGAGCATGGAAAGATGATGACACGAAATTGAGCTCCCTTTCGTAACACTGCCAATCTGACGATTTACGGACTTTAGACCCTCGGCGGTAGCAGCACTATGAAGGAGGTCATGAAAACCTATATAGAAGATTAGCAGAAGGATTAAATATACATGTAAATGAGAGAACAAACTGCAAAGAGAAGTTCTGCAAGCATCGAAATCACCAAGGAAAAAAACCAACAAATCCACAATATTTTCATATTTGAAAAATAAAATAGCCAACTCTCTTCCCGACTTGGTATCGGAAAAACTCACCAAACATATAACCAATTTGACCTTCCAACGTCAAAGAAAAAAGAAAAAAAACTGGAGAAACAGTGGGACACTAAACATATATATACGAACAGTCAAGGTGGAATGGCTTTGTGATTGTGCGCATATATACAATAATATATGAGGATACACACATATATATTCGTGTATAGAAAGTAATACATAAAAAGGATAATGAGGGTTGCCTTACTATCTGTACAAAACATATATATACACAAGCATATACGTATACATATACATATACATATTCGCTTATAGATAGATACATAGAAAGATAAGAGGGTTGTCCTTACTATCTGAATCTGAACGACAACTCCTAGCACGTCCTCCACTTCTTCCTGCAACATACGAATCAAAGAAAATTAAATGATAATCCTACACAATTAATCAAATCTATCAAAATAACACAGATGCTAAAGTTCATAATGCCCTAAATCAATTGGCAAAATCACGGCACACATATCACTTACGCTTGTGACCATGAGGAACCATGATTTCAGATGAGAAATAAGATAAAATAAAATAAATAAATAAAGGTTTTTTCGACGGCAGTGCGTGAGATTTTTGTAGCGTGGAAAAAATAACTCCTTCAGATGGATCGGTTTTTTGAACCGGATTAGGATCAGTTTGATTAGAAAAAGGAATGTCTAGAAAAAATAACTCCGGATCAGTTTTAGGATCAGTTTGATTAGAAAAAAATGGTAATAGTTTGTCAAAGGAAATTATTTAGTAACGTGCATTCCAACTAGTGCTTTAATTAGACAAATGTGTGGCACAGTTGGACTCCATTTGAATTAAGAGAGTTTGGGTTAGTCTTACATGAATTCAGATCGATACAATTAACTCATTTAATTAATCCTATTATATTTGAATTGAGAGTTGAACTCATATAACCTATTTATATTTGTTTAACAACGCATGTTATAAATATATTTCTATTTGAGTTCCGAAATAATATTTGTCTTTTAATTTATTCTTTCGTGCACTACAAACTATTTTGTAATTTGATTGAATTGAAATTTATATTTTTTAAAATATTTATTATTTTATTGAGTATTATTAATAATCTAAAAATATATAATATATCGTTTTAATAAATAGGTCATTAAATGGGGTTATACATGTATCCGTTTAATAAAAAAGTCGATTAGTGTTGAGAGTTCATAACATAATTATTAAACGGATCAAGTCGACATTTTATTTAATTGATAGGTGAAATTAATTTTACCTAGCTAGATTTGTTGCTTGGTTTTATATACTTAAAAATTATTTGTGAATATCATGGTTAAGATAACCATCCATTGTTACTTGGGAATGTGGTCATTTTTTTGTAAAGAAAATGATTTTAGAACTGAAATTTCAAACTTATTTGTCTAATCGAAGGGGTTTCTATCCATTTGATGTAGTAAATGGAACCCATATTTAAGCTTATTCATAGTATCAAATGGATAGAAATCCCTACGATTAGACAAATATATTAAAATAATTGGTGTAAATATTATTACTTTTTCTATAATTAAATTTAGAAAAATAATACTTCGAGGTATCTGGCCGATTACTTTAGTAGAAACGAGGTGGCCTGTCCAGCTAAACTATTTCCCTCTCTTTCTCTCTCATTTTTTTCTTTTTCTCATTTTATTTCTTTCTTTAATATCTCACTCATCCGGAGAAGGAATGAAGTAGGAAGTGGTGAACAATTTAACTAGTTTGTCCGCGCTGATTGAGTACTATTGTGAGGACTTGCATTTTTATTATTTTCCGCACATGGTAGCAGTTATGCATTTTATTTTATTGTCGAAAATTATGATTAAAGTTGCAAATGTGTTTAATTTAATTTAAATGTCATTTGTTTATTTCATAAAGGGCGTTATTGACTTTTATTATTTTAAATGGCATATTTGACATTTGGTCATTTCAAGGGGGTAATGTGGACTTTAAGTATACAAATGGCATACTTGGTAATTGGTAAATGTGTGAAGGGTCTTTTAGTCATTTCATTGGGGCATGCTTTGCCTATGTGTATGCTTGACATGTGGGGGTGTACGTGGCTACATGGTGTATATGTGCAGCTGACTATTACATTTCATTGTACACAAAGTATCTCGGCAGAATAACATTTTTCAGCATTATTGTTTCCTTCAGCATTGTCATTGGCTTTACATGCTTAATTGGGGTTCTTGTGTGGGGAATTTGTTATGGGTGTGTGAATGAGAAGTGAACTAGAGACCATGAGCATCCTTTTGGTGTAAAGCTTGTCATCATTTTTCCACTGTTGGGCTGTTAAAAGAGGTCTTGAAAGGGGAAGGTATTAGTTGTGTTTCAAAGAAGGTTGTTCTTCCGTTTCCATTACTTTGGTGGCTTTGATTCATTCTTGCAAGGGATTTCATCTACTTTGAGGTAAGATTACTTAACTCTCACATCATTTACCTTTAAGGAATCAATTCTATGTGTTTTGTGCATAAAACAATGCTGAAAAACGAATCTAGGCTCTTCGAACTCAAGCTTAAGTCCCAAAGCTCAAGCCTTAATCTACAGAAATTTCTGCACAGCGACTTGAATTTCAAGTGACCATAACTTCCTCATTTTAAATCCAAATTGGGTGATTTTTTAGTCTAAATTGACTAGCTCGAAATAAGCTTTCCAATGATATCAATTTTAGCCTTAGATTTCAACTGTGGAAAAAGTTATGACCCTTCAAACATAGGCTGCTACTTGTTCTTCAGAATTCTGGATTTTCGCTTCTAGAGCTCGAGCCAGACTTTTGGGGCTCAAGCCTTGTGCTTCGAGCTCGAGCTCAACTCCTAGAGCTCGAGCCTTCATTGTAGAAACTGAAATTTAACACTGTAATGGGTATTTCTTGGAATAGGAAGTTGGGTACTTGGTTTCTAAATGTTATTGGACACTGTTTATGTAGTTATGTGGCAAATGTGAGATAGAAAGCATGTTTATTGTGTTATACAACTATGGATTAGTTAGATTGTTAATTTAACATACTTGTGTGTGAATTAAAAAGCAATACCATGATATTGTATATGAGTTGAGATTTCCATATTTATTTCGTTACTTGTATATCATGTTATACAAATGTACATTCGTCTCACATGAGCATGGGGATGATGTTGGAATGAAAAAGAAAGTGAAAATATTTCATTAAATGGTTTTGAAAACCGGATAACAGGGAGGTACGTTGTATCCATGAGTTTAGAAAAGGGAATTGAATCAATGATTTTAAAATCGGATAAGGAGTTGCGTTGTTTGCACAGTTAATGGAAATCTAGAGAAGACGTAGGGAGTGGCTCTATGCGTAGTTGTGTCACTAGAGCCGCAAATGATCACAAGGAGTTGCCTTGGATCAAGGATAGATGACCAACTCTCTTCTCATTGTACTGGGGAGTAGCCTGGGCGGATTATATTAACTTTTTGTGATGGAAATGGGATTTTGGAAAGTGAGAAGTGTCTGTGGCATTAACATTAGCATTAGCATTGCATGACACTTCATTTTATTATCTTATATATGACATCATTTATATCCTGAGTTTATATGATCCCATTATCCTTTATCTATTATTTGTTTGGATTCACGGAGGTATTAAGGAGTGCGCTTTAAGTAATTCCCGTCGAGCTATGGTTGCTTATTCTTATTTTGTACACATCTTTTCAGATCATAGCATGGATGGTGTGGAGGGTGTTCCTCCTCAGCTGTAGATAGAGTCGGGGATGGCGTTGTTGCGTTTTATTTCGCATAATAGATTAAGATAATACTTAGCTACTCATCCCTCATGCGTTCTAATGACAATATACCATATCAGCTTTAATAACCAAATAATTCACGTTCTCTGTATTATCTCAAATCAACCATTGAATAACTTTTTATTAAAGCTGATGTGATATGTTGTTATTGTTGGGAAACGTGTTAAATTTTAAAAAAACTTTTTGAGGGATTTTGATTCATAGATCTTGATTAATCACATAGAGACAAGTTTTATGCAAAAATAAACTATGATGTATCATTCAATTAACAGATTGAATACTTACATCAAAGATCTGAGTAAACCTTTAAATCTTTCATCTAAAGTGAATGTTCTCACTTATTGTAGATCCCTTAACAAGATGCCTTCTCCTTGGATCTCCATCTTCTTGGTAATTGTTTTGCCTTTACGAATCACTCATAAGCCTCCATGAATGACCTTTGAAAACTAGGCTTGTAGGAGCCTCCATTAGATGAGAACATAAACCCTTCTAGAGAGGGAAAATAGATTCCTTTTTTCTTCTTCCAAAAATCACACTTAAAATATACATAGACCATGTATATTTATAGGCAACTTAAAGATAAAGAAAAGGAAACAATAAATCATTCTCAATCTCTAATTCACATGTCTCAAATATAATATGATTCCAATATCAAGTTGGGCTATGAGTGAGAATCCATTGGGCCTACTATTTAATTGGCTACAATGAATTAATAATTGGCCCGGTCCATGGATCTAATTCAATTAATTCATAAATTAATTTCTACTCCACTAAAAGAAATTAATTGAACTCCAATTAAATAATAAATAACCTCTAAGTCAATATTACACTTTGACCCCTCTATGCATTATTAGTTATCGGATAAATAAAGTCATCAATTCGACTACTTAATTAATATATTTATTTTAGTACCATTGATTATTTCTGACTCGATCACAATAAAACATTTGTTTGACAAAAATAATAATTTAAATAAATAAATATATAATAAATCATTTTATCTAAAAACATACGAAGGCCTTCGAATTTACTTTGTGATCAACCATAATCAATACAAAATAAATACAAGTAGCAATGATGTAAATATTGAAAACATAACACTCTAACTATTAATTACATAACTACCAAAAGTGTCGGTCTAAAGATCCCGAAGAATCCGCCGAACAAATCAAAGTAATTATTAATTAATAAAAGAATATATATTTTTCTCATACTTAAGAGTCAAATGCCATGACGGTGATAGGGAGCAATTGCATATGACGGCTCTCACAATATATCTCAACCTAGCTAACGCAGATCCAATTCAAGTCTTAATTAATTATGATTCCATCCATAATTACCGACTATGAACAATTTATGATTACTATTTATATTCATGTATTGATCGCCATCATATAAATATATAAATATCTCTTATAATCAAGAGGATACTATCAATTCTATAATGAATTGAAACATAATACATTGAATTCACCAATTGTACAAAATATAAATATTTCAGAAACGTCATGAACATATATCACTTTAATCCAAACAGGAATTTGCTATGTCAGAACATATAAATCTCAACAATTATTGAAACACATGAGGGGTGAGCAGGGTAAAGCTATTCACCAGTGAGTAGCTAAGCATCATCCAATAGATTATGTTTTGTATTATATTTCTTTAGAATATTCATATATACATCTTATTTATTTATTTTCTATTATGGTCTTTGAAATAGAAATAGAAAGGTGAATGGGTGGTTGAGACAAATTATACGGGTATTTATTGATTTTAAAATTATGATTGTTTGTATGTTGTGTTCACAAGGGTTATTATTGATTTTAAAATTGTGATTGTTTGCGTGTTGTGTTCACAATCCAGAGTAGGCCTGGGGGCGTGACGCGTGACAACTGCAGTTCAATTCAGCAGCCCTCTGACCTAAATATATGAAATCTCCGGTTGGTGTTACATTTGTCGGCCATCGGAGAGTTTAATGTGGGTCTCCTCTCTCTCTTAGTCTCTTTATCTTTCTCGCAAGATGAAGACCCATTTTTTCGTACAAAGCAAAGAATGGTCAAGTGGAATCGGAGAGGGAAACAAGCAAGAAGTGGTGAAGGTGGATCCAAGAAAAGAGAACAGAATCGGAGAGGTAAAAAAGCAAGTGTCGCGGGAGCTGGATCCGAGCAAGAAGTGTCGCCCTAGCAGTGAATGATCCAACTAGTTCGTCGGCACTGACAAGTACAGGTTGTGTAATTTGCAGAAGTCGTCGAAGCAGAGGAGGGTGGCTGATGAAAACAAGGACGAGTCCGAGGTTAATATAGAGATTGCCGGACAGATATGGGTTTCGCTGAGGCTTGAGAGCTCCCCGTTGCTTGCATCGGATTGAGCTTAGTCGTGGTTGCTTCGAGCCACGCGGTTGGGTCAGCTGAAATTAGGTCGGTGTTGCTCTGTTTTGGTTTTGATCTTCCAAAAATCCCTCTCTCGTCTTCGTTTAAGCTTTTTCGGTTGTCATTGGAACATACATTGTTGGTGTATATATATATATGTATACATATTCAGGCCACAGACACCACAAATTCAAACTTGTTTCACCGCCAAACACTTCGCCGTCGCCGTCAGACCGCCGGTTCTGCCCATCCGCGCTTCTCGCCGTTCAGACCTTCATCACCGGCGTCGTCCTTGCTTCTATTCGATGACCTCACTGTAGTTCAGCTTCTTCTTCATGCTCACTAGTCTTTAATGGAGTTCTTTGTCGGTGTCTCTCTTTCCGATCAAGGCGAGCTCACTAAATGAGTATCGACCGCAGACCCATCTTTCCTTGCTCGCCGAACAGTCCTGCCGCTCTCTTCTCCGCCGTTCAGTCGCTTCATCACCGGTCAGTTCAATCTCACCGTTCAGCTTGCCGTTTCTTGTGGGTAAAACAGCTTCGAAACCGGCGAAGGCGGGCCATGGCCGGGGCTTGACGAGAAAGTGTTGATGCATTAGGTGTTACGGGTTTGTTGATATGAGGGCACCATTGTCCTTCTGGGTTGGGGGTGGTGTTATCGTAGATTTAGAGAGATAGGAGAAAGGGGGAGAGAAAAATTCTAAAACTTGACAATTAGACTGCCGCACATAGATTCTGCCTAAAACATCGGTCTAAATTGTCTCCTGAGTATCATGACCCTTAAATTTAAGCGCATTATGTTGGGCCATGTTTGATTATTGGGTTGTTGTCGTCTTCATTGGCCTTTTTAGCCCATTCTATGATTTCTATGTGCTCATTTTGTTGGGTCTTTTTTGATCTCTATGGACAACTCAGCCCATCCGATGTTACCTTTTGTGTTCGACCTTTTGGGCTTACTCTAGATTGAATGATTTGGAAGGATTTCGAAAAAATAAAATAAATAAATAAAGGTGGAGGAGGATAGGGAGGTTTGTATCTGAGCTAAAGAGAGAGAATTAGAAGAAATTTGGAGGATAGTTATCCTTCAAATTTCTTATTATATTCTCCAAAATGAACTTGGGGGAGTAATGATTTAGGGATCAATTCCCATCATATGACATCATGATGATATTATACGAAGGAGTCGTAACTTTACTTTCATAAATTAAATTCGGTAATTACTAAATTTTGTCCTTAAATCATTATTGCTAGAGAGAAAGGATAACAAGATAAGTAAAACTTTTATACTATCAAAAATTTCTTAAACATTTTTTAAATTATTTTTTAAGACATTTGGGTCCCATCTTAGGGCATTTCATCGTTCACAGGACTGCTATTATGGAATAACTGTGTGTTGGGAACCACCACATATGAGTGGCCGCCAAGTAATATATACTGAGAGAGCTCTCTGTTGGAATTGGAAACGAAGTATGAATTATGCCCTTTGGACACGACTGTGCATATGTTCTATGCACCAGCCACCAGATGTGACCACGCCCTTTAGAAACCGCCATATATGATTTTTTTCTCTTTGAAAAACTTTGAAAAACAAGTGTGACCTATCAATTTTTAATGGGTACTATAAAATTATTTTTCTAACTTCTAAACTACACAAAATTTCATTATATCTTACCAAATTAGGTATAATTTTAATTAAAAAATTGCATGTTTAACTAATTTGTAATATAAATACAAAATGATATGATCGTAAATTGGTTAAAATAATATATTTTCTTCTCTCTTTTTTTATTTTTCTTTGTAAATAAGGATGCTATAATTTTCTTTTTTCTTCCTTCATAATTATAAAAACATGAATACAAATTTTAACTATCACTTCTTATCTTTTTTCCTAGTTGTCTTCACTAAAGAATTGTTTGCATTCAAGAGTAATCCAACCTTATAATTTATTTTTCTCTCTCATAACTAATGTTATCATTTCTTTTCTTTTCTTTTCTCTCCCATTTATTCAAATGAAACCTTAGCAATGGGTCTTCCCCATTTTTTAATTTCTTACCCGTCAATATATGAATTATATACATAATATACTTTGCTTAAATCCCCTCCTCTCCAAAAAGTAAAAAATAAAAGAAAAGAGCAGAAAAGAAAAGAAAACAGTTGAGAAACCTTGAAAGAACTGCAGATTAAAAAAACTTCACTTATTTTATTTTATTTTTTTGGGAAAAAAAAAATGAAGAATACATAACACATGACTTTTCATGTCTCAGAAAAAATAAATAAAAATATAAAGAATCTTCAATTCAATTGTCCAAATGATCATAATATAATACATATTCTTACGCCCAATTCAATGTGCATTATCTATCCCTGAAATGGTTAGAGGGTTTTATAAGTGGGACTCTTACATCGAATTTGAATGAGGGTTGAAATGTGTATAAATGGGTGGATATACAGTACTATCTAACAGTTTAAGTTTTTGGATAAATAGACAAACGTCCAGCCATTACACTTGATATCAAAGCTGGACCTAGTCCTCAATCCAGTGTCACGCCAAACTTCCGGCCTGGAGGGGGTCCGAATTTGACCCCGAGTAGGCAGGATGGCCCGACTGTAACAAGGGTATTACGCTGATTCGGATGGGAGAGAATGTTACAAATGGGACTTGTCCCACATCAAATTTGGATGAAAGTTGAAGTGTGTATAAATGGGTGAGTATGCAGTATTACCTAACAACTTAAGTTCTTAGATAAATGGACAAACACCCACCCGTTACTCTTAAAAAGAGAGGCAACTAAAGTGCCTGACCCTTTCAAATGGATGTATAAAATGTTTTCCCTTTTCACATCGGATGGTTTTTAGGCTTGCCCGAATTTTTTTTCCCATGAAGGGGATACACGAGGAAACATTAGTTGGCCCAAACCATAAATTCACCAAAGGAGGCCCAACAACTTTAGCTAAGTTGATTACAAGCCCAAACGGCAGTAATTGCATAATACGGAGTACATATAATTACACACACAAATGTAAAGAAGATACAAGAGGTAATCCACATAAAATTCCACAAATACAGAATAAGAATAGACCATGTTCAATGGTATTTTGACACCTACCAAACTGAACAAACATCTGAACAGAAAGGATGCAATTCAAAACACACTATTGTGGAATTTATATCATCTGGCATTCTGGCTTTTAGTGAATGATTTCTATCGCTCTGCTTGCTTTCCATGGTAATGTATTCCCATATTCTCCTTGTCTGAAACAGGGGAAAACTTTTTCCAAGCATTTTGATGCTGAAAATAAATGTATGAGGGTACCAAAAGAATAATGTTATAGGAATTTAAGTTAAATTATAGTTTCATGCAGCCACATTATTGTCCAGCAACTGTATAGTGAGACCAGTTATGTAACCGAAAATTTTCTGCCGTGGAGGGACGAAATCAGAGACCAAAGATAAATCTCTAAATGGTACGTGTAGCAGAGATAAATGGACAGAAAGACACCGAAAATTAAGATTAGCAAGAAGCAAATATGTGGGAAACCAAGAATAAAAGAAGAAGGGAAGGGAAAGAAAGAAATGCAATGAGATTGAAGGTTCAATATTTGATGCTTTAACTAGAGATTGGCTTACAAGAAGGAATGGGCATTATTTGTTTTGAATGAAATCAATATCACTGGGAAAAAAAAAAACAGGTTGATGTAATCAACGCCCATGAGATTTGCTGATTTGAGCTGAATCCTGTTTACAATGCCACAGAAATAAAAGAGAGAGAATGTCACTTTTATCACAAAAGCTAAGTTTTGCAACTACAACTTCTTCCAGCCACTTGATGAGCACAGATAATTAAAGAAAATGAATAGCACTTAATTTGGGGCTGAAAACAAATTGGACATCAATACCTTATTCTAATTAATTAAAGAATTGCAGCAGACAATCCAGGTCTAGCCGCATCACCAACCTGCATCACATTTTAGACACACTGTAAGCTGCATGCACCACTACCAAGTGAAACACTAATCCTGAAACGGAATTGCAAAGGACATAAACTAGGGGGAAAAAAAAATTGCAAAGGACATACCAGGTCTATTTACATTGATAAACAAGGAACAAAATTCTCATCCTCGAGCCAAGAACCCACTAGATGTAGATTCTTTCCTACACTGTTGCTTGACATGAATAGAGGCCCACCAAAAATCTGAAACTGGGTTTCCTTACATGTGACTTGAATTACCAGCCAAGCATTTCAAATGCATCATAGAGAATTATAACATGATCATCCTTGTTGGACAGGGCATGCGCCAAAACAATAACCGTGAATGTGTGAACTACTTCATTTCATATGTATCTGCATTAGGGAGCCAATTGATATCCTGGTCAAATTTAAAATTCAAACCACAAAATCAGTAAAATCACAAAACTTATAAAAAAGAAATAATAGCACATGACAAATGGAGAATTGAGTACAGAAAAAATTGCACACAATTAAATTTTCATGAGAACCAGCTGTTCATATGACAGCTTGTGATGTACATTGAACAAATTAGAAATCGTACATTTAAGAAACACAAAAAACTATTGAAAAAAGGAAGAAGGAAGAAAGGAAAAAAAAAAAAACGAGGAACAGAAAACAAACATCTATCTGTCCTTTTTCTCAAATAATATCCTTATCTTTAGCCCTTGTCCAAGATTCAGTTCAGCTGGAATATTATAACTACCTTGGGTGCAGTAAGTGCATGAGAGTAATGATGTACTTATAAGATAGAGGCATCGGCATGTGCTACAATAAGCCTAATCTAGAATGTGACACAAAAGTACACACACCTACATCAAATATAAGAGTTCTTTAAAGCATTAACATATCAGAATTTTGAGAATAAAGGTATATGCCACTGGAAAATTGTAAGAATTCAACAGACCTCATAGTCGGCCTTTCTGAAGCAAGATTCTGTTGCTTGCGTATTGAACTTCAAAAGGAGATGGAAATTTTGTAAAGGAAACAAAAAGGTTACTCTAAAAATTAAACTAACATTTATGTATCGTAATTTATATTAGTTAGCTAGCAAGAGACGCACAATAGGAAAAGCACAAAAAATAGAGAAGAGAGAGGGGGGGAGAGAGATTATTTTAAAATGACTATTTTTTTCTTTTAAATGGTAATTTCATATATAATGTTCGAGTTGGATAAATTGAAACTTTCTTAAAGCTTGAGATTTATGGATATTACAGAAGATCCAATATTTGGCATGTTGAAAATAATCTAACAAAGGAATAAGTTGCATTAACAATATCATAAAGATTGTGCAAGAAGATCTTGGAACCATGGAAAGGATAAAAAAAACTCCAAACCAGGAATACAAAATGCTTGAACCAATCTCTTGTCATATGAAGACCAATTTTCACAGACAGAATTGAGACCACGGATTTTGACGAAGATACACTTTTGGTAAAACCATTTAATGAGAATGACAATGAAGAATAAGACGTTGTTTATGATTTGACAGGGAATCAAGAAAAGTATTTTATTTTTTGAAAGAATTAGAAAAGGAAGAACTTGTCAAAAAAGATGCATATAAGAAGAAAAAATTGGATAAACTGGATATAAATGTCAAAGAAGAAAAGTAAATAAATTAAATACGAAAAAGACGACCAAAAGATCATAAATTGCAAACTTGGTTCGGAAAACTAAAAACTTACGAAATTGGAAAAATAAAAGGTATGAAGAAATTGGGAAGACTGAATCAATGTTGAGAAAAAAATTCAATGTTCAACAAATCTGTAAGGAGCATCTTTTTTATCAAGGATGAAATTTTATCAATTCTTAGAAATTGGAAAATAAGCAAGCAAATTGGCATGTGAACAAGAAACAATTGAAATTTATAAAAACTCAGGCATGAATTTTGAAATATACATTCTGCTACAATGTTTTTGAAAATTGAAACCATGAAGATATCCCCAACAACACCTGTGATTCTGTAACATGTTTAGATTCTTATATTCTATAAACCAGGTCAAAAGCCAGGAGAAAGGAGTGCTGAGATAGTAGCAGCCAAAGTAAATTTGTCAAATCTTTAGAAAACCACAAATTTCTAAAGTTGCAATGTAGTTGGAAATAAGTCTTAGATTAGATCTTTTAGAAACATCGCACAATTAAATAAAGTAATGAGGACTTTGGTGTGTAAACAATCAACAACTATGTGGTTTATGCATGTGTACTTCAATGGTTTAATGTGAGATAGCAGGATTAAGAATTACGCACCATGTAACAAAGGCTATGTGATAGTTGCAATGCTTCTTCCCACCTGTTAACCTTAATAAGCCCTTTAATTAGGTGAAAAAAGATAGTCAACTCTGGAACTCCACCCCTCTCTATCATGTGGTGATACAACTCCAAAGCCTTGTAAACTTTACATGAAAGGCAGAGGCTCTGAATTAAGGAAGAATACATAATATTGTCAGATGATAGAAATGGTGAAGACGCTGAAATCTCTCTAAGCAGCTCTAGAGCAACTTCCAGTCTTCCAGCCTTGCGAAAGCTATCGATCAGGATTCTGTAAACTGGAAGAATTGGCACAGAATCATTCTGACTCAGCTCCTCTAGAAGGCCAAGAGTGGTTATAAACTCTCGGCTGAAACCTTCAATGACTTTACGATAGCTTGCCATATGTCTCGGCCAATATGTCTGTTTCATCTCCTCCAGGAGTTGATGAGCCTCATCCAAAAGGCCAGCAGCACAACAGTGATTTATTAAAACCCTGTAGGTGACATAATTTGGAGCGCACCCCTTGGCTCCCATCTGTTCCAAGACTTCAAGGCACTTGTCCACTTTACCTGCTTTCCCATAGCCATCTATCATGGCAGTATAAGTAACAACATTAGGATGACATCCCTTTTCTTCCATCATCACCATAAGCTTGTAGGCTTCATCAGTCTTCCCAACTTTACAAAGGCCGTCAATCATCTCTGTGTAGATTATAACATTAGGAGGACATGAGTTTTCTAGCATTTTAGACAAGACTTTTAAAGCAAGATCCAATCGCTTATCCTTAAACAGCCTGTCAATCAAAGAGCTATAAGTATAAACATTTGGAATATACCCACATTCTTGCATCTTACCAAATACCTCTTGAGCTTCATCTAACTTCCCAACCTTACAAAATCCATCAATAAGAGCATCGTACACAATATGATTTGGCTCACAGCCTTCAACTGACATTGCATCCAGTAGGTTGCGGGCTTCTTTGACCTTGTGTGCTTTGCACAAACCATCAACCAAAGCTCCATATGTAACAACATTTGGTTCCGTGGTGTTGCCATCGTCGGCCCTGAAATACATATCTACATCTGGGATCATCCCACTTCCCCTCATTCTTGCATAAATCTGGCAAGCTTTTTCAATTTCACCAGCTTTACAGTGGCCATCAATCAAAGCAGTGTACGTGACAACATTTGGTATGCATCCTTCTAGCAACATCATCTCAAACAGCGCATTTGCATTGGGTAAGTTCCTCGCCTTAAGGTAAGCATGTATAAGGGCAGTATAAGTAACCACATTAGGGGCACAACCAACACTTTTCATTTCATCGAACCAGCTGCGAGCTTGTTGAATAAGGCCAGCTTTGCAAAAACTATCAATTAGAATTGTATAAGTATAGACATCAGGAACCATACCGTTCCTTTTCATTTCTTCAAACAATTGGAAAGCCATTTCTACTTTTGAGGCATTACAAAGAAGACCAATAACTTTGGAGCTTGTACTACCATCTGGTATGAAACCCTTACTCATCATTTTACAAACAACATCATATGCTTTCTCAAATTTGCCAGCCCCACAAAGACACCGCAAAAAGTTGCAGACGTTAATTTTATTCAGCACAATCCCTGCATCAAGCATTTCACTGTAAGCTTTTTCAGCCAATTCTAATACATCCGCGCTTGGTAACTCCTCATTGCCACAAATACCACCAATCAATATGTTGTAAACCACATAACCCGGTTGGTGGCCACAATTTGCCATTTTCTTAAGCAACTTGTAGGCATAAGAGTAATCTTGTGATTTGCAGTAAGCATGAACAAGAGAATTAAATATTTTAGGACTGGGATAACATCCTTCTGCTATCATCATACTAAGAATTCTTTTACACCTACCCAGCTTTCTTTTGTTCAAACACCCACAAAGCAAAATCCTATATGTTACAACGTTAGGAATGCAAGTACTAGACCGCATTCTATTCAAAAATTCCATAGCTTCGTCAAAAAGTGAAGCTTCACACAATCCAGATATCATTATAGTGTACATGACGGTATCAGGCACAAACTCTTCCTTCTCAATCAAATTGAGCGCTTCTCTCCACCTCCCTGCTTTGCAAAGAGAATGTGCAAAGCAACCCAATGTATGCCCATCCATACTAAAACCTGAGGCTGACATCTCCCTATGAACCAAATATGCCGTATTCAACCTGTCAGCTTTGAGAAACACCTGTATCAAAGCATTAAAAGTTGCTCTTGAGGGTTTGTACCCAAAATCCTTAAGCCTCCCTAGCTCCTCCAATGCCGTATTCCACAAGCCATTTTGGCAATACTTTCGAATCAATACATTTAGCAATGCCCCAAAAACTTCTCTATCATCATCCTTAATTTCTTTAAGCAAATGCTCTGGTACTCTATCGTTGTTATCACAACCTAATAAACCTAATAAGGCATCATAAACAGGTACAGTGTGACTATACCCAATCTGCCGACCGGCCCATATGAAAAATTTTGCACCAAATTCAGCATTTTGAATAAGATTCAATACATCGATTACCAAAGTTTCATTCAATTTCTCTCTAAATTGCCTAAGAGATTTCTGAGTTTTATCTCCAAAATTATCATTATTATTCCTTATCACGTTTGATATCAAATTTGCATCGTTTGAACACTTACCAGGCTCGAACTTCTCCTTCGAAGGGCCACAATCAGCACCAGAGTCCAGCACTGACTCCCGCAAAAAGGCAAATTCAACGGCCGACACGGACTCAACCCGTGAATTTTCCGATGAAATTGATTCATTGGCCGGAAAATTTAGGTCAGGATCGATCAATCCGTCGAGATTGTCGGGCGGCGAATGGGTGCAAAGGAATCTGTTGACGACCGGTAAGCAATTTTGGCGGGAGAATTTGAATAAGTTATAATGGGAAGGTGTTGCTGTTGATGGTCTTGTTGGAGGGAACAAAATATTTGATCGAAGAGAGATAGCAATCTTCAACCCTCGTTTGCTCATTCTCCAGCAACAAATTTGAATTTTTTAAAATGGGGGTTTAGGGTTTTAAAGAGTGAGCAAAGAGGAGTGTGGGACTGTAAAAATAGGGAATCCGGAGTGGAGTATATTGTTCCAGGATTTGGACAACAACATTCCTGGGTCCAAGCAGGACTCAAAAAAATAATAATCTGAAAATTATATTTATGCAAAATTATGCCTTTAAGGCTTTAATGATAACAAAATAGAATTAATATAGAGTAAAAAAATAATACAGTATATCTACATCAAACCTGGCCACCTTTGAATATATATAGATGTTGTTATGGATTTTCGTTATGTTTTTTTTTTTTTTTTTTGGAACAATTAGGTTGTTTTTCAATATCACTGTGCTTATGCTTGGTGTGAATAATTTTTTTATTATCAGTAAATAAGAAGGGAGCTGATATTGGTCCTAAACTCCTAATGTTCTCGACTTTCTCTCTCCCCTAAGCTGAAATTGAAATTATAATGCACCTTCACATCACACAAAAGTTTATTTTTATAATTTTAATTTCAAAATTGCCCTTTCCTTTATGGTTAGATTCTTGGCACCAACAGCTATAATTCTTGTAGCTAGATTTCGAGCCCGTTTGGAAATGCTGTTGGAATAAAAAATAAAATAAAAAAGTAAAATTCTATTGCTAATTTTAGCATAATATCATTTAATATGATGTAACATATTTGTAAATAACAACTTTATTAAGGAGGGGGTATAATTGTTGTTATAAAAAATAAAATGGACAAAATTGTCTAATGAAAAATAGTTACATAAAATATTCAAGCTCTACTCAGAACGCAGTTTTATAAACTACAAATTTTAGTTTCATTCAAACACTCGACTGAATTAAATTTGGTAACCATTTTTTTTTTAAAAAAAAACCAGTAGAAAAACAATTCCAAATTGACTCTTCTTTAACTTTATCTTCATAAATGGAATATCTCATTAATCAGTTTGAGTTAGAATAAGTTATTGAACTTGTTAAGACAACTAATATTGAAGAAATCTCAAAATTTTATGAATCAGTCAATCGTTCCAATGTCTACTATAATGGTAATTTCTGACTCTTTTATTTACTTTTTTTCTTTAGAATAAATATTTTTGAGTTAATTTTGAAAATATTTTTTCTTTGATGAATCTATCCATATTTATTCTAGAATAAATTTCATCCATTGGGATAAGGAATAATACACACAAATCGTGTACGTGGAAGGGTCATCCTTAAAAGTAAGGATTATGATTAAGATAATAAAATGCACGTGATTAGAATAAACATATTTGAATTAAGCAAACTCTATACCAATAAATAGATCCTCTCTAATTATATAAAAACATTTAATTGAATTGAAAATCAAGGAAATTTTAATTTTACTCAAATAGAGGTTTGATTATTTGATTTTAGAAGAGAACATATAGAAATTAAGAAATGGAAAGAAAAGAAAGTGGAAAAAAAAACATTTAAGTGTTTTGTTGTTGATGCTACATCAAAGTGAAAATTCCAAACTTGATTTTGCCGTATGATCTGGGGAAGATAACGTAAGAGAAAACATTGATAAATTAGAATTCTAATAAAAAAAAACAAAAAACAAAAAGGAGTTTTAAATAAAATAATAATAAATAACATACCGATTTTATAAATATCGACATACCTCATGTGATAGGTCTGTAAAAGAATCCTAAGAAATTATAGAAAATGAGTGAGATCAAAATGCGAATGAATTGAAAAAAAGTTAAAAAGAATAGGAAATGTGTCACTTTAATAGGGAAATACAATTATGATATTAAAAAGGGTAATAACCAAACTTGTGTGATAAGGGTTAATTTGTAATCTCATCTACAGAGAATGAAAGTGGAGTGTGGGAGTATTATTGTGGAGCTTATTTATATATATATATATAGAGAGAGAGAGAGAGAGAGAGAGAGAGAGAGGGTTAAATGCTCATAATAACTATACATTAGAAACCACCACGTAAACAAATTTTTTTTATAGTATTTTTGTCATCAATGACACTAAATTGAATGATTGATGATGATATATCTAACATATTATATGTTATATTTGGTCATATTGGATTATTTTTAGTTCAGATGGACCATAATTCATGTTTGATTCGTTAATTTTAAGAGATATAATTAACTAAAAATCAAATTTGATTTTGATTATAAACGACCCAATGGAATTCCTCTTTCAAAACAACACCTTATTGAATTAGATTTTCCAAGTTAAAAATATAATAATATCAAGGGTAAAGTATAGTTACACCTCCTAATGTTTGGTAAAAGAGCACCTAGAAGAAATTTACCTGTTTTTTAGACAAATACACCTCTTGAGGGTTAAAAAATGGACAAAGATACCCCTTTATATAAAAAATTGACCAAATTACCCTTTGACAGTTTGGGAGACTTTTTTAACTTTACAATTTAATAAATTGGACCAATCTACCCTCATGAATAATTTATGCATAAAAAAAAAAGTAAAAAAAAATTTTATATTATTCACTTTTTTTTTTTTTTTTACTTTATAAATGTCCCAACTTTTAAAAAATGTAGACGTCTAAAATGATTTTTTGATTCAATACATATATTTCAAATAAATTATATTTTGTTATTACTTCTTTTCTTTTTCTTTTTTATTTTAAAATTAAGATACTTAATTATTTCATCTAAAAAAATTTAACCAATCTCTTTTCCTTAAAAATAAAAAATATGGTACCAGTATAACTTTATGCATCTTAAATTATATATAAAATATTATGCATTTCTCAATATAAAAGAAAATAGGTACCAGTATAACTTTATTACTTTATGCAACTTAAATTATATATCAAATATTATGCATTTCTCAATATAAAATAAAATAGGTACCAGTATAACTTTTTGCGTACCTATGTTTTTTGTTTTTCCCTTTGTTTTATTATTTTTTTCTCTTTGTTTTATTATTATTTTTTCCCTTTTTATGTTGGAAAATGCATAATATTTGATATATAATTTAATATGCATAAAGTTATACTGGTACCATATTTTTTATTTTTAAGGAAAAGAGATTAGTTTAATTTTTTTAAATGAAAGAATTAAGCATCTTAATTTAAAAATAAAAAAGAAAAAGAAAAAAAGTAATAACAAAATATAATTTATTTGAAATATATGTATTGGATCAAAAAATCATTTTAGACATCTACATTTTTAAGAAGTTAGGACATTTATAAAATAAATAAATAAATAAATAAAGTGAACAATATAAAGTTTTTTTTTTTTTTTTTGGTTACTTTTTATTTTTTAATGCATAAATTGTTCATTAGGTAGATTTGTTCAATTTATTAAATTGTAAAGTTAAAAAAGTCTCCTAAACGGTCAAAGGGTAATTTGGTCAATTTAATGCAAAGGGGTGTCTCTATCTATTTTTAAACCTTCAGGGGTTGTTTTTATAAAAAAAAAGAAATAAGTTTCATCTGAGTATTCTTTTGTTAAATTTTAAGAGGTGTGATTGTACTTTACCTAATATCAAAAGGAATATTTTTATTTGAGAAGGATTGAAAAAAAAAAAAAAAAAAAAAAAAACGCATTGTGACATTGAAATCATCAAGTTGAACTTTGCTTTTTCAGTTGGTCAAACTCGATAGAATATGGCAAAATATTAATCAACCAATTAAAGACCAAAGGTCCAAAACCATCCCTTTTGTTGATAAAAGAGACCAGAAGGCAACAAATCAAAAAGTGATATAGGTAAAACACGCCACACCACATTACGCGGCTGATAGAGGAGGCCTTGCCAATATAAGCAATGGAAAATCTAAAATATAGTGCCATCCACATGAGATTGTAGCTCCAATACTAGGGTTAGGTTGTTTAAGGCCATCCATTATTCTATGTCAAGGTTGAATTTTTGTCCACTGATCCTCATATAATTAAGAAACACTATATAAAAGTACTTGCATCTTAAACTATATTCTCATTTCAAGCTTGGTTATTTAGTGCACATCAAAGTATAAACAATGTGTTGGATGAGTGGAGAAGACTGAATGCAAGTTTAATATTTGAAAGTATTTTTCTCACATTGTTAAAGAATAAATATTTCTTGAAAGTTGGTTAAGCTTAATTTAATTTTTAAAATTATTTAGTGTAACCTTAGAATTAAAGGGTTTTTCATTCTCAAAAGTTTATCATCCACAAAAGTTGGTAATTTTTTTTTTTCCCGATGAATACACCATTATTAGCCATGAGCAAAGTTGAATTCGTTGGGTCCCTTCAATTTTCTTTAATTTTTAACATGTGTAATGGTTTACTTTTAAGGGAGTAGTATAATGACAAAGACATTCAAATTGCATATTAAAGGTTGAGAGTTTGAATTTTTTTTTAAAGTTATGTTCGACCGAATAAAATTAGAGTTTTTTTTCAACTCCAAAACTCTATTTCTAAACCGTTGAACACAACTTAAAAAATATTTACATATATATGTTTATTTATTTATTTATTTATACAACATGATTTTAGGCATTGTATTTGAGTCATTTGAACCCATCAAACCTCATGTACCTTCCAAGTTCCAACCATCCCCAAAGCATCTGGACCTGAAGAATAAAACTCAATTATGGTGCTGGCGCAGAAAAGTGGTCAAAAAAAGAGGTTTCACGTCTCTTTCTTTTCCTATCCCTTCAAAATAAAAAAATGTCCTTTCCCCTAAGAAGTAGCTCTTTTTGCTCACTTAACCAGAAGTTTAAGCTTCAAAACTTATGCTCAAATCTTCTTTGGTCATCTCTGTGGGCCCGATACTTCTAATAATGCATAGGGGAGAGAGACACATATATATACAGACACATAAAATTATATATCTCTATATATATATATCTACATACACACTCACATACATAAAAGGACAAATTTGTTCTGTGTGATTCTCTCCCAACATTCAACGGCCTGGGATCGTAAGAACTTGGGGACTCCTCACAGCCGTTGGTTCACTGTAAGATTTTCCATATTAGATTGAAGGCACCTTTCAATGCTAGCTAGTATCATCCAAATAGCATCATCATTTATATGTAGATACAGCCTTTGAAATTGACTTCATTTCTACATCTCT